CTCCAGTTCCTGCATTCAGATCTGCATTCTCCATTTCGTTATAACATCTTCTGCCTTCATCGTTTGCCCGTACGAGCCATACACAGCATTTTCAGTTACCCCATTCAAATCTCACAGGTACGTCTATTCATTCGTCACACTCTCTCGTATCTACTTTGAAAACATCCTCTGATAGTACCTATCACGTCTCTCCTGATGGCTGGACGAAAATAGGTGTGCGTGTCACCTTGGGAGATACAGGTGCATCCACTTATTTAATCTTTCATCTGATCTAGACTGATTATCATTTGTAGATGGTTCCGCAACTACTAATATTCGGAAGGACTCTTCCGTCGCCCACCGCTACATCGCCCACAATCTACATAACACCCATCACCCCCGCTACTCGTTCACCCCGCCCAGACGACCCAACACCCCGGAAACCGCCCCAGTATCTTCTCACATGCACATCATTCACGGGTGGTGAGACGGGCGAGAGAGGTGATGTTGCATTTAGCGAATTCGAAACCACGAGGATGAGGAAAGGCCGAGGAAAAGCCCAGCACTATGTCAAAGCACCCGCGCTTTCAGCAAATAAACCAATAATACACCAGACGTATACGTTTTCGGACCCGTAAGCGACGTTAAAGGTAGAGTATGTGCAGTGGACGAAAGAATTGGTGATATAAAGCATGAGTATACATCGGTCTCTCCAACTCTTGTTCATGTCGTTCTGTTGCGCTTACACCCACACGTCGCATTCCACAGATCAATAAATGCACGGTGAGACACCTTGATGCAGTCGGGATGTCCGGACGCATCCGGAGTTTAAGGAACTCTTTGGATCCGTGTGTTGGAGACGGCATTCACTCTTGTGCGTAAATACTCCTCGTGGTCAAGTACTTATTTTTTTCTGTCTCAGAGAGTCACAATGAAGAAAGCTTCCGTTGGTGCGAGAGCTCTAGAGATGCTTGCAGCAGCACACATTAAACTTTCTTACATCACCCACTTGAGAGGAAGAGCACTTGCGAGCGCGGCCAGGAGTGAAAATTCGATTTCTCCATAATTTGTCTCGTATCTCGTGGCAAGCAGGACGGCTGTTGCTTCTCAGTACACTAAGGCAACCTCAACAGAAATCGGTATGTATTTACAGTCATACACCGTAGACTTATGCAGAACCCCGTTGCGAACATCGTGGTGTAAAACCTGCTTCTATACTTCGGCATAACTTTATTGTTTTTTTTTTAAAAAAAAAGTCAAGCTATTTAGAGCCGACAACGTCCGGAAACCGCTGGTTTACAGGAATGTTCGAACATCGCAACGGTCGAGACACGCGTCAAACATGTCAGTATAGGGAGAGAACGGTGCAAAAGATATATGCAACAGCAAAGACAAGCCTTTAACATACTCAAGTAGCGCGCGAAATGAACATGTGGTGAAGCGAGATGAAGTGGTATCGTACAAAAGAATGATTCCAAAACTTTATCAGTCATGTAACAGAGCGAGCGAGTAGCAATGAGCATGAATTGGCAGAGCACATCAATGAATATATATACATCCAAATCAAACTGGAAAAAGTAGTGCACCGCCGAGGAAAATCATATATTAATGATGACCATCAGTATGCTCAGCAGACGTACAACAGATAAGTAGCCAGAAGCGAGTCCAGAGTCCAGCCTGTCTTATCATTATATCAGGGCGGGAGGGCGTTGAAGTTGTACTAGTAGCTGTGGTAGCATCGCCGATGGCAGGTGTGGACCGTGTGGTGGACGACGGAGAGTCAGCTGCCTGTGGTTGCGAAAATGGCTTAGCGACGTTGGGCTTGGGAGGCTGCGAGCTGCCTGCAGTAGAGTTCTTAGAGTGCAATAGTCTCGTTTTCTGTTGCTGTTTCACCTCCCTGGCAGAGCGCGTTCAGTTGTGAAAACGTAATACAATAAGACATGCCCGTCAACTTACCTTTGAATCCGAAAGAAAGTCATCGAGGCCGGCTTCATTAACAATCGCAGCAACATCCCACGAGTATGCACTTTTGTCATTGCACCCAGTGGCTAGTTGTTTTCCATCCGCGGAAAATGATACACAGTTCACTGGCTTTGCGTGCTGGAGGGAGGAGCTGATAGGCTGGCCGTTCTCGAGGTTCCACAATCGCGCTGTACCGTCGTACGATGCGCTTGCGAGGATCCGGTCATTCGGTGATATTGCAAGGGCGAAGACAAAGGCAGTGTGTTCATCTAGAACCGCGTTTGGCTCCCATTTGGTGATATTCCATGTCCTAATCGAATGATCGTATGACCCGGAAATGAGCGTTTTTCCGTCTGCGGCCCAAGCCAAGCAACGCACTGCGATTGTGTGTCCTTTGAGAGTTGCGACAAGCTCGCCTGTCATTGCGTCCCAGATTTTGACTAAGCAGTTTCCATGTCCATTAGTCGCGGGCACATTCGATCCACTAGTCGCAATCAAGGTTGTGTCTGGTGAATAGACAACTGCCAACACCTGGTTGTGCCCAGTCTCGATCGGCTCGAGGATTGTTTCTCCGCTTTCCACGTCCCATTGCCTGGCAGTCCCATCGGTAGATCCGCTTAACACTCGCTGACCATCTCGACTCCAGTAGACAGACACCACGAGCTTTGTGTGACCCATCCATTTCGCGATGACTTTGCATGTGTCGATGTCCCACAACCTCACTGCACCATCCCTACTCCCGCTAACCGACTTTCTTCCCGTCCGGAGACAACGCTATGCTGCTCACTGCACGTTCTCCGTCTCTCCAGTCTTCTCCTATCTGTTTCCCGCTTTCCAAGTTCCACACTCGCATCGAGCCGTCCCTTGAACAAGTAATGATATGATGTCCACCTGGCAAATGTATGACGTCGTTGACCCAATCGGTGTGTCCTTCATATTTCTGGTGAGGCGTTATCGCTGATGTTTCTTTCATTTTAGCGGTCGGTGAAGCCATGCTTCAGAATTCCGACTACGGAGTGCAGCGCCATCTCAGCTTTCATCTGTCAAATTTCAAAATCACTTACGAGGTCTCTCAGAAGCGGTGGGCAGGCAACAGGGAATAATGGTTGTTTTGGTCAAGTCAGAGTTACACTGCTTCCTGGTACGTTGTTGTACATGCTGTACCATAGGCTGTGTAGCTGAAGCGCCCAAGCATCACATGAGGGACAAATGGAGTGTCAAATCATGACGTTTGGTTGGCTTCGAAGGGTGAATACTAGTTGGTGCGTGCTACACAAATTAAATTATTTCGTAGAACTCACGATAGCGTGAAGCTTGCGAGGACATACTGCACTCTACATACTCACCCAACTCGATGGTACACCCTCATGCACGTCTGGCCTCCTCCTTCCTGGTTGCTATCTGCATTGCCAAAGGAAGAATGGAACCTTCGCAGCACGAGACTTACTCATGCCATGGGAACGATGGACCTTTCGACATGCAGCCGCCGCGCAGCCGGTTAGAGGACCTTCACTAAATAGACGATCAGTAACATGGAAAAGCGTATGATTGATGATGCGGTAAAGGGATAAGATGTAAAGTACGTGGACGATGAGATATACATATATGGATGAGTATCATTAGGCTATCTCGTTCAGTAGAAAACGGAATAGCACGTAACGTCTGGCATGGGGTTTCCTTTTCAGCGCGCTTTCAATGACGCTGCTACCAGGCTGCGCTCTTATGGTGCCCGTAGAGGTGCTCGCGGATCTCCGATGCAACTCTTCTAGCAACATTGTCGTGCCCAGGAAAGCTTCCTCCACGTAGCGGAGCTCATGTTTCGTAGAAGTCCGGAGTGAGGTGTTTTGGGGAGTGTCCTCCGCGGTCCGACCGCGGATAGGTCCTCCTCGGACGATGATGAAGTTACTTTGGAAGAAGTTTCGGCAGGGAGAGCACTTCGGACCCATAACGAAACTACTTGACCAGCAGCGCTCACTCCTCGATCTGTCCTGCCGCATTTCTACCATCCACAGCATCCAAGCCGCCAGTTTCGTCAATAGCCTTGCCTTTACAAAGGCTTTAAACAAGACATCCTCGACCGTCGGAAGACGCGTCGGACCACTTTGATATGCCAGCCCATTGTACTCCCAAGTCGAATAAAAAAACTTGATAGCGATCTTGCGCAATGCGCTTTGGGTGGGACGAAAAATGGAATGGTTTTTTAGATGTTGGTGAGCGAGTTGACTTGGCGTGCTTCAAGTTGTTCACCTCCAGCTCTCTGAGACGCGCGATCAGCTCATCTTTTTACCAGGATTCGTAGCCTGGTGTCATGATGCAGGGTAGGGTAAATCCGAACCTTCAAAAGCGGATGGGAGTCGTGGGACTGCAGCAGCCTCGATGCTGACGGAAAATATTCGGCCGAACCAACTCGGCTAGAGTAAGCTACGGCAGCTCTGTCTCTGAACTTGAACCTGAATCTATTTTACATTTCTTGTGCTCATCCACTGCCCATCGCGCGAAGCCGAACCGATCACCATGCATTGTGAATGCCCATGAGCTAACCGAACAGCTTTGGTCTAGCGTTGAATTCGAGCAATGCGGTTCGTGGATTGTAACGGTACATATAGTCGGAATGGAATTGGCAACTTTGCTTTACCACACACCACACTAGTGATATCGGACGATTGGTTTGTCTGATACTTAACGCGATTTTGGTTAACGGGAACAGAAGGGAATAAGTAAGTGACGTTATTAATGTGATTGCGTACTATGACGAACCTTTATTGATTCTAATTCTGAAGAGCCTCCTCGGGTAGCGCTAGAGTAAGTAAGTACTAGTCCATTTCTGAACTTGAACGTTAACCTGAATCTTAGGCTGTTCTTATCCTCCACTGTCCGTCGTGCGATGCTCCCCATCGTGCGAAGTGAACCGATTAGATTTACAATGTGGTCAGTCCTTGAAGCAGATAAGTAAAGTAATTTAGGTAAGTCGCTTGTGCCACAATCAATTGCCTGGCGCCTAGACCCTGATGATGGAAGGCTCAAAGCGAGGCTCTATGGACCAATTAATTTAGCGTCTCCAAGAATCACGCCTGAATTTAACCAAGCCATCGAAGCCAACCTTGTTTTTTTTCATTGATAACTTGAACGAAATTTCTCGGTTTGGTTGTTGTTCACAACTTTCACGCATGACTGCGCTTGATCTGCACAATGCACTTTTCACATCAGACAAACGATTCGTCAATGCTACGCCTATGCCCGCTCCCGTGACACGTACGCACACGCGTACTCTTTCGCTCACGACAGTCCAAGAACAGTCGCACGATCCTACATCCCCAACCTACAATTCCCCCACCTACCACGACCTACTCTCACGCCAGCCACTCCACCCAGACGGTCCACGACATTGGGACCTCGGTCTTGACCTCACAGGAGACCCAATAACAGCAGCAGAATGTAAAAGCCTCGAAGACCGGTTCATAAAAGCAAAACTACGTCGTTTAAAGTGGATATGTGGGGTTTTTGAAGTTGTTTTTGGTATGCCCCATCCTCGATCTGTGCGTCTTGGGCTAATGCTGATGGCCTTTCGGTTTAACAGGTATATGGGCTATATATTGCACGATTCGCTATTCCCTCGCATTTCAAACGGCTTTTACGAGCGATGTACCAATACGCACGCTTGCGCTCGTGCTATGCGTTACTTCTGGGATTAGTGTTGCGGGAGTGGTGGTGACACTGTTTATACCGCTTCTTCCTAACGATCGAGATAGATTCGTTCGTTCTGCGAGGATAGTCTTAAAAGGGTGTTTTGTTGTGTTGATACTTGGGACGGCGATCGCGAATCTTGTGTTTGTTTTGGTGTGGAGGCCTGTGGATAGATGTGGATGGGACATGGATGTCTCGTGGTCGGCGACGGTTGCGATCGCTGGGGATTCGGCAGCGAACCAATGTCGTACTGCGGGTCTTGCAGCTTGGACGATCGTTGCGTCCTTAAGGGTTATTGTTACTTTGATTACGGTGGTGAGTCTCATTTTCGAGTTTCGATCGTGTTTCTGATTGACGAGCATTCTTTTCATGCAGTTGTTGTACCTTTACTTCCTCAGAGCGTATTCCGAAGCCAGACATCCTTCGAGATATGCCAGAGAGATGTACTACCCTCCATTAATGACCTCGGAGGGTGTCGTAAACTCGCCTGTATCCACTATCGATTCACCTGTATCTACTCTCGACCCATCACCATCAAGAACGCACTTCAGCAAGCTAATGCAGACTCGAGCTGCACTAGGAAGGTCTAACTCGACGTTAGCACTCACTAATTCAACCATCACCCTCGCGCCTTCCATCCCCCCTTCCCCCTCCCATTGTCACTCCTACTCCCATCTAAGCACCCAAGCCACACACATACAATCATCCAACCCCGCACCTCGAACTTCCAACCCGATATGGCGAAATTGGAAAAATCTGCGGATATCGACAAAAGACCATCCAAGGCACAATAGTCTTTCCGAGACACCCTCACCCCGCACGCTTCGCCGGAAGAACCGTATTACTATCCCGAGTGAACATATCTTGCTGAATGCGAATACATTACCCGGTGCCTGGGAGGAGTGCACGAAAGTGTATGCCGCCGGTCTTGGTCTCGGTCCTGGTGCCTCATCGCGGGTTGATTCAGAGTCAGACCACTTCGTGGGCGTCACTGAAGGTCAGGGTGTGTCTCGGATGGAGGGCCGCGGGATCGGGACTGATTATGTGGGTCCACTGGCGATGGACTCGGAGCTAGGTGGCCGAGATTCTGACTCTAACTTTGCCTATTCTTACGGATACGGGGCCTCGGAACCAGCATACCCCTACCTGGAAATCTACAACCCTGCACCGCCGGCTAATGCTAACGCTAATAACATCCTTACCCAACAACCCCGATCATCCGCGGCAGTCGTAGCGCGGGCAGACAGCATCGAGTCCAGAACGTCGCCAACGACCATAGAATCATGTGACGGTGAAGAAGACGAACTGATACCCATAATGGGCGGTTTCGTACAGCGGATGCCTACCATCGAGTCATTCGGGTCTCGAGAAGCTGCACTGTCGATGGCTCGCTCGCGCTTCTCGAGAGTTTCAGTTTCCGAGAGGCATGCGTCTGCATCTCCGCGTTCGTCTATTGAGTGGGCGCCGTCTATGGTGTCTACGTTGAGCAAGAACAACTCGCTTGGGACTGCTTCTGCTTATTTTTCTGTGTCGAGTGATTTGGGGATAGGTGGTTCTGGACCTGGCGTCGGAGTCAATGAGCGGGGCGAGTTAGAGGCGAAGATGACGACAAGTCTGCCTTCGTACAGTCGATTTCACTATACCCGAGAAGCTAATAGCACTACATTATCATCCTAGCGCACATGCGGCTAAGTGCAGCATCATATCATTACCGGATCATCATTATCTCAATCTGTCACAATCTAGCATCGCTATCTGCATCTCATCTACACAAGTACGGACAGCACAAATATAACGAGGTCTCGACGATGATATTAATCCTGTCGACCTATTTTTGAATGTAGTGCTATAGCTCAGCAAATGTGCAATGGATGTCTGGACAGTGTACTAGTCGTATGCCCTGAACCAATCACGACCATGAGATAAGCTATACCCCATGCAGCTATCTCGTACAACCAGATATGAAACGGGACGTAGGCTCAAGATAGTAGATGACCAAGGTTCCGGTTCCGGGAATGCCATACGGTGGATCATCGATAATTTCCCGGCACCGACGACGGCGGAAGGAATAGAAGCCACATCTAGAAAAACGAGCGGTGTTACTGAGACTGGACGGTGAAGATCGTGCCATACGAGTGTGTACACGTAGGATCTGTTTCACTTGGGAGCGGCGTGTCCGGCTGCTATTTCTGATTCTGTGTTCGAGTCTCTGGGCGCGACTTGATAATAATATTAGCCGGACCTGTTTCCCGCCGGTCGAGAAGTTACTTCGAGTTAGTGGACTTGCCGCATCGCGCAGGCGACGACCGGAAGCAACTGAGCTGACACTTTCTGCCATACCGTTGCGCCGCGGAGTGAGGCTATACAATAGCGTCCAAAATGAGATTCCACCCGTGACTCGAGCAAGGGAAGTCAAGATTCAATCCAGCTTGACGCCCCTGGCCTGGAAAGCCTGCAGGGGAGCCAAGCGCAGCACTTCTCACGTCTTACCTTTCTCATGAATAGAGCCGTATTCTCAAACTCAAGGCACTGCTCCACGTGGTTCACAACATGTAGCACGTCGAGTCTCATCAGATGAGCCATCTCACATATGAAAATTTCCTCACCCATTCATTTCTAAGCTCCCGAACTCATCTGATTGGTGATTGATCATGTCAGCATCGTCCAGTAAGACGTCGCTCCAGCAATGCAATTCGCATGCGATAAGAATTTTTTATAAGTAGGCATGACAATAACCACATTCCGAACTCTAGGATTGAAAGCGTGGAACATCGAGCAAATATGGTGCTGATTGATATCGATATTCTGAGCGAACATACGATAGTGATGACCTGTGCATATGCTCCGTGTATAGCCACATGGACTGGGAGCTCATGCGGACTAATTGCGCCCAGGAGTAGCAGAAAAGCAAAGCATGCGCGAGTGCCAAGGGGGCGATCATGACATACACGTACTTCCAACGGTCCGATCACTCGACGAATGACAATGTTTTCTTCTTCTTCAGTCCCGTGGTTTCGACTTCTGCGTTATCCTGCTCCTGTCTTCTCTTCCCCTTTCGTGCGAAAGAGGTAGAAGCTGGAGATGAGGGTGCATCCCTGCTCGAAGGAGAAGGATCATCTACGCCAGCGGGCTTCATGAACGCGTTACTGCCACTGGTATTGGCTGACTTCGGTGCTGACGTGCGGTTTGAAGATAAGGAGCCTGAGCGAAGGTCAACGCCAACGTTGCTGTTGTCGTATATCACCCGACTCGCCGGGTCCTTGAGCTTCTTTGATGGCTTGGCGGATAAAATACTGTTAGTTGAGCTGGATATCGATTTGATCTTGATTTTCCGCGTTTCATCAGGTTGGACGTCTGCTACTGCTGCAACTGCGGACCGCACTTCTGGAGGTTTGGATGACTAACGATAAGGAACGTTTCAATGAACAAGGTTCTTTATGCTTCAAGGGGATATAACCCTGGGGGGTATCGCGGATATGTGCTCACCTCTTCCCCGTTTTTATTAAATTTGCGACGGCCGTGGGGTTGGACGCCACTAAGAGACGTCGATGACGATGCAATTCCATTTCCTTCCCCAACACCAGCCGTTTCAGAAACAGAAGGAAATAGGAAAGGCATGTACGATCTCTCATACAGATCGTCATTTCTGTACATTGCAAAAAGTTCGCTAAAGCCAAAAGGACAGAAAATCCAATTACGCGCAACTCACGAATCTGAGTTGGACCGAGCTCCATCTACCAATCCCCAGGCTTTACGAATTTCAGGCGCCACTTCCCATTCGGCCTCATCTTTAACGTGCGCTTTCTCGAGCTCGACATCGACACCGGATAACTGTTGTGCTCTCCGAGTATTTTGCATGAAACGCAGATTCAAAGTCCCTGTGCTAAGCGTTTTCTGAGTCTCGACGACCATGGTTGGTGGTTGGTTGTAAGTTTGGTTGGTTTTGGTAAACTTTTGTTCCTTGAGAAAATCTTACGTAAGCGAGAAAGAAGCTGGCCTGAGGGATCGGACTTTGATGCAACTCAATACTGCCCCCTCAAACTTAGAACATCGAAGCATGCCAGCAAACTATAGAAGCTAGGCTCTTAGCGGAACTGAGAATGACATCGGTATATCGGCACCCTGGACCCTGGCTAGTCTGTAGAGTCGATCTTGAACCTTCCCTTAGGAGGTGACCTTGAGAGGAAGGTAACGATAAGTGACGCATGATGAAGAAAAAAAGAAGTTAGAACCAACCTTGGCCAAGCTCGGGATGTTTTCAATTTCATGGTATACTTTAACTCACAGCCGCTCATTAAGGAAGCCATTATTAATAATGACGCCAACTTCATGGTCACGCTGTGCATCATTCAGGACTTGGTCTCTCGCGTTCATCTGGATGAAACCTTTCAATGTTATATCCGACGGTGGGCTCCACAGATAACAACTCATTCCCCCTACGCCCAGGTATCGAATACGAAGAAGTCGAACCTCCTGACTGCTCGTGCCACCTAGCGCTGAGGTCTAGGCGCTTGGGTTGTCAACATCCTGACAACTGCGTTCACGCCTCAGTACCAGTCCGCGTCCATTTCGGATACAGTTCCTTACTTTTCGCAGCGCCACCTGTTGTTCCCACCTGTGCAGGAATGGTATGTATTTCGTTACAACCCTGCTTTACGACTCCGAGTCCGCATCAAAACCCTGAACCCGATGATCGTGCCATCGATAAAGCTAGTGCAGTGGGATGGCACTAGAGAAAACCCCGGTTGGACAAGGTGCCTGCAGGAGCTGTGACGATGAGTATGGAGGCGTTCCCGACCGCTTGCGAATACAGCGTCAAAGAAGACAATCCTGGGAGCGAATTGGAAAGCAACGGTTAACGGTCGCCTGCGCACGTAAAGGATAGCAGGGCTTCGGTATCTACGGTGAGATTTTTATCTCTAAAAGTTCAATTTTGGACGTTACGGTTATCAGATTCGCCGACGTCACAGGCTACATTGAGTTCTCATAGGTCCGGATATCCAATAAGACGTGCTCTTTAGGCACGCAATGGACCGCCGATCAATGACCCAGAGATGTGGTTGTAACATGGTATCGAAGTGGGGCCCAGGCACTGAATGAGTTGGTGGACCCCTCGTGGACACTAGCTATTTTTTTTCGAAGGATGCGGGAGATATGCTATACGGACATGAGATGGATCGGGATGCTGCCATTTGGGTCAGTCGGAGAGAGGAAATTGACATGTCGGGTTAAAACGAGCTGCGTTCATGAAATTGGAAGAATAAATTAACCACGTCAAGCTGCGAAAAGTGATTCCCAGCATCATAGAAGAATCTTACTTTCGCACGATCATTAGTGTGCTAGGGGGGAAATTCATTGTAACTTTTGGCCATAACGACCTGTAATGCTGTAGGGGGGGAAAAGAAAAAAAGGAAGAAATTAAATGGATGGTGAGATAAAGTCAAGGTAGGGTGTGAGGATCGTGTGATACCATTTCAGGTATAAAAAACGAGGTAAACTTCGACGTTGTATGGTCCGGAATTACATCAAGATATCATCAATCTAAGATTACTTCAAAAGAGAAAAATTTAATGAAATACCGTGTTAGTGACGTTTTGTACTCGTTTAGAATTTATTACATCGTACCCGGAATCAAATATTGAAAGTTTCTGGGGATGGACTTGATCCTTCCAATTAAGTTCCTCCGCGTTCCTTCTTCCTTCAAGTTAGAGAGGACGATCAATTACGGCCACCATATCTCTTCGGTTCGTCAACCTATATAAGATCCTTCTTCTTCCATTTTCCCTTCATCTCACCTATCCACACAATGTCTTCTTTCCATCTTCGTCCCGTCGCAGAGCACTCTCCCTCCCCACCATCAAGCGCCTCGACGACAACAGCAGGAGATCATAGTCCCCTTCACAAATCATCAATAATTCATACTTCACCACAATCAGGCGCACCAAGGCGTCCTCTCTCTCCAAGTTCACTTCGTGGTAAGCACAACTTTAACCTCCAATACTTTATCATCTGATATGCATCAAGATGTCAACCTAAGTCAGGATGGTAGTTCTACACCCAGAAAGTACCCTGCACCACCCACAGGTCATGAACTCATGGCCCTTTTTCCCTCCTGCACCACCAGCAAACTTTGCGGAAATGAGACCTGGCCCTACCAGTGGATTCTTTCAAAGACAAGAGCGCGCATTCTTCGCTCAAGCCGGAAGGGAGATCGTCCGTGTTCGCGTAGAAATCGATGTACCACAGCAAGAGGATAGCCATAATGGCGCAAAATCCAGGGAACCGCCACAAAATGGTGCACCGCGGTCTTGGCCACAGCTTCCGCCACACCCTCAGCATCACTCACCAATTGATTCCCCGATGGGTCCCTATCCCCATCATCCAAAGCAACCCCGGTCTTCTCGTTCGATGCCGACACCCACACAACCACCATCCATGTTTCCCGTGGCACCTCACGGCCAACCACCTCAGCCACCTCTCAATCTCCACTCACAATCACATCATGGTGGCGTCGGATTACGTAGTCCACCTCATGATGTACATCCTATTCCTGGTGCAAAAGTAGAAATTCCTCCTACAGAGGATTACCGAGAAGACTCAGATGATGCGTGGCGGAGGCCAACTCCTTATGCAGATCGCCGGCGAGCAGGAAAGCATACCAAGCGTATTGTCGTTCGAAATTGATAGGTAAGAGTTATCCGTACCAAGTATATCCGTTTCAGGCTAACGTGTCAGTGTTCAGACCGTGACATGGGTTCTTCGGTTGATCCGATAACAGTTCCTATTATATGATTGGACTCTTTACCATCTTCCGCCGGCTCAACACCGTCGCACCATACCATAGTCACCTCATACTGAGAGGTTATACGAAGTATAAGCCTTCTATTCTCGGCGACGTTTCGCAAACCCACGGTCTATCTGTCCTGTAATTATTTACGAGCCAATCCGGCGCTTCCCGATGTCAAGTAGGCTTCTTACAGTGAGTATAAGTACGCAGGTATACAGCTCGGTTTGCGATGATTGCCGGAAAGCATACACATACGTACACATATACATAATCAAAGCAGGTACCGGACAATCGTCAGAGATCCGGAGAACGCCCCAACCGAAACGTTTCACACTTCTGCCAAATATCCGACACTTCCCTCGGGGATCCGTTAGGAACAAAGCCAAGGCCATGCCCATGACTTCTATTAATCTCGTCCGTCCAGATCTAGGTTCGCGATCTGGCACTTGGTTACAACAATGAGATCATGGCATGCTTGTTTCGGACATGACTCTTTTTTATTTAACTTGAGATGGATATCTGTGGCTCATCACGTTCCCCGCTTTGTGAAATGGGGACGAATTACATATACGGCTTGTACCCGATATCGGTCCGATTTCCGATTCCAAGTTTCGACTGTTCAAATGTCTAGGAAACATAAAAGCTGTCGTAGACGTGTCCAGGCTAGGTCAGGTCTCGCCACCATCAGCTGCGATTTATCAGACACACAAGGGAAGGAGACAACAATAGAATATCGATTGAGATCCGCACGTGCCTGTCTTCTTCTCACGATTTTCTTGGGAATATTCCGTGACCGATTGACCCGTTCGAAACGGGATTGTGGGGGACCCGACCCCTCCGTGAAAAATCAGAGATGAACCGAAGGAGCGTGCATTTGACATGTACTTCCGATGTTCTTTATTCGAACAGAAGCGCGGCAAACCTACGTACGATGAAGTATGTCTCCGTCAACACATGTTCGTCGATCGATAAAGAAGACAGCTCTAAAAGGGGTGGAGGAATGGAAGTGGTGTCAAATGATATTTTAACCGAACCAGGCTGGACCCAATGATTCATTTAATACTTATTTATGATCCGCCAAGATAGATGTGTACATACATTACAATGAGATGGCTCGCTGATAAGCGCTGGGAATCAGCCACGAGGCATCTGGAATGGGAACAAGAGAGATAAGTGACAGAGTAGGCGAGTGACAAGGCGATATCATTTCACAAACGTCACCTACTAATGGAGGTGAAGCAGTGAATGAGGGAGATAAAAAGGCTGTCATGAGGCTCGATTCCCCGGGACACTGGCAGTGATGCATGAGGAGTGACTCGTTGAGGATGTGAGAAATAGACTGAAATAGATCAACTTGCCAGCTGGCAAGGATGCGTGCTAGAGACATGGCGATATACGAAGAACGGCGGATAACTTCGAATGCTGTGCAATGCGGGGAAAGAAATCATGACGTCTACTTGACGTTTACCATTCTAGGGTACTTCTACACTTAGGAGGTAACGGAACTATTGCAACTTGACTGAATACGTCTTTGCATGGGCGGTGCCCTGAGCGGGCTAATTAATGAGTCGACGGCCACCTGACTGCCATGAACGATTACAGGGTGGACCCTAGTGCACCAAATGAGATTATCATCATTCGCCCGGGTCCTCATTCCATTCGTCCGATCAAATGGAAGATGATGTATACATTCCCTGACTCGTATCGAGGCGAACTGTAGTTTGTACTGCCAGCTGTAATCGATTTGGATCCAATATGACCAAATATTTGCGTGTCGAGGACCGGTGTGATCGGCAACGTAGAGCGCGTGGTTTGAGCCTAGCGAGTAGCTAATAAAAGAGAAATGGACGGCCGCTATCTTCTTATGATGCCTTCGGGTCTGCCGCGGCAGACGGGACACCTGCCTGCCACTGTCAAAGCGTTGCTTGGGTAAGTGAACTCAGCGGCCCGGCAAACGCCGCTTATCTCCAACCGCGAACCAACACCACGATCTTTCCGAGTTGTGTCACTTGTGGAATCGAAATTACGCCTCGAGTAGGATTCGGTACGATCGATACGACCGCGATACGGGGATTTTCTGTAACTCCTTGCGATTACAATGGTCAGTGTTCAACCATGCTGGATCAATTCAGATTACCATGATATAGCAGTGAATCTGATCATATGCGTTGGCTGTACTTTTAGTCTAAAGCGTCCAAGGATGCTCTTTTATCTGAGTTCTGTTCCATCACAAGCGCATCGTGAGTTTTGTGTCTATCCGATCGATCGAGTTTTTGGTGGCCGAGATATTGATCTTCTTCTACGCAGTCCGAAAGATGCTAGACGGTATCTTGACAAGCACCAGAGACGGCTCGACGCGGCAATTGATGCCTATTATCAAGAGGGCGGCAGTAGATCAACAGTCGCTTCAACAAGCAAGTTGAATGCCCTTTTCGATAAATACAAGGGCGAGTACCGCCTACATATGCCATTATCCGACTATCACTGAATACACACGTCTACGCGGCAGATCCCACTGGAGACGAAATTTCAATAGATGGAACTATTCAGCTGTGTCAGGATCTTAAAGTTGATCCAGAGAATGTCGTTCTGCTCGCAGTCGCTTACGAACTGAAATCTCCGAGAGTTGGCGAATGGAACAAAAAAGGTTGGGTAGAGGGATGGTCACGACTTGGGTCAGTACGCCGTGTTCAACAACAGGGCAGCCGAACTAATTTTACTGTACAGTTGTGATACAGTTGACGGGATGAAGGATACTCTGACACGGTTGCGTGCAAAGTTGGGATCTGACTCAACCTATTTCCACAAGGTATACGATCACACGTTCGGTTTTGCTCGGACGGAAGGACAACGGAGTCTAGGTACGCACGGATCAGACCGCTGAACGGTCGAGAAAGTTATTATTATTTTAGCGATCGACACGGCGCTGGCGTTTTGGAATCTATTAATTCCAACAGGTCTGACAGGCGGTGCGCTAAAACACGACTTGACAGGTGAAGATGTAGATATGGATGGCGGGGAAAGTTCCGGGTGGACAGATGAGCACACGCAATGGTGGTTCCAGTTCTTGACGGAGAAAGGGGGTAAGGGTGTGAGCAAAGATACATGGATGATGGTGAGAGGTCAGACAAGACTGTCTAGGCATCGACTGATCAACAACAGCTGTTTGATTTCATCCGCTCGATTGATTCCCAATTTTTGACACATGATGCGGAGGGTGGGAATGGTCATTCTGTCCTTGAGTGTTGACGCTGACATACACATGCAGCTGCATGGCCGTCAACGATAGACGATTTCGTGGCTTGGGCAAGGTCAGTGGGGAAAGTCCCGACCCCGGAGGCAACATGACCGTTAGTTAGCGAGATGAGAGACTAGTAGGTCTTCATAAATTGTAGAGTATCATTCCCCGTGCAAAGTACGCCATATATACCGGTGGGAAAGAAAGGGCTATACCGTTGCACCGGTCCATTGACGCGCTTTGCAATGCAATGCAAAAAGAGATTCATTGCGGGCAACAGCTAACAGGCCGCGGGACTTGAGAATTTGATGGCGATCATGTAAACCTCTCTTTTGACAGCGTTAAGGATGGGAGGAAATTTGTTTGTTTGATCGCCGACAACCTTGGAGAGGCAGGCGTTATAACCACGGCTGCCATCAGTTTCGGGGCATCCCTGACGTCAAATTCCGTTACCGAGAAAAATAAATGTTATACTCGTGACTAACTCTTCGGAGAGGCGTATGACGACCTCTAAGCCACTTTCAGCAATCCAGAGGATATCAAGGTAGGTGCCGGAGGCTGTAATGCCAAAAGTCTCCATCAAACCATCCTGCATCGCTTTCCTGAGTTTTAGAGCATCTGCACATGGTGGATTGATGGAAAGAAGAATATAGGATTGTTTTTTTGAGAATGGGTGGCGCGTCATGATGGTAGCGTGGTGTGGTGTAGGTGTGCGCGTGCGACGTGTTCACTCCAACTCCCAAATTAAAAGCTTGGGACGACGACAAGATGAATCATGTATGAACGAACGTTCAGAACTACGCAAAGAACTGAAGAACCCCATGATTACGTCATCCTGTATCCTTGGTTCAAACGTTCAACCACGCAGGGGCCTGTCCAAGCCCCTCGGATCTCTTCTGATTCTACTCCATTGGTTTGATCTTACTTACCATGTCAAACTCGGACCGAACATGTTGTGGAGTCGTAGAAGAGGCACGCATGCGAGCACACAACCGACGGGCTCAAAAACCCCAGCCTTGGATCGTTCTCAAGTTCGCCGTTGGGCTCACATTAGCTCTAATTGGGTATACAAGCTATGTATATGTCGGTATATTCTGTAAGGATATGATTGTAAAGAATGAGAGTGCATTGGGAAGTCAGACTACCGGGAGTATGTACATCCTTGCCTTTCCATCCCATCAGCGCTGAGTATATGTTTTAGTCGTGTTTTTGGTAGTGTTCTGCTTCCTTCTATTGATGGTTTTATGGTCGTATTTTGCGGTTGGTTGGCAGATTTTAATGGTATTGGCTTCGTTAAACCTTTGCGTTTCCTCAGGTCGTGACCACATCACCAGGGTATCCAACAGACGTATGCAGTATTCAGTCTGTCGTTATACATCTTCACCAATTATTTCTTCTCAAGTTTATAGAAAAGACAGAGCTTGAGCTTCCGGAACCTCCGCCAGCGCATGGGCAACAGCCTGCTACTGTCAGTGACACTCGTGGAATGTCTTTCGAGCTTATGGCCCCTGCGGCCGGCCTATCTAATGATGCCTCAGCATTATCAACTCCTGTGATGCCTCCCGCTGTTCCGGCAACAACGAAGCAAGGCAAGACTCTTCATTACCTGGGCACATCTACCCTTGATGAAGCACGCATCGTGAACGCACCCGCTGATCCTGAATCCACGCACGTCCCTGGTCCTGCATCACCCTCATCCCACGAGAACTTCCACGACCCCAACTTTAAATGCGTCTCCAGCAATTTTCCCGCGACAGCCATCAACGACACCTGTCCTTGCGCCCGAGTATCGTTTCTGCAATAAAGACAAAATCGTCAAGCCTCCTCGTACACATCATTGCCGAGCTTGTGGCACTGTAAGCGGAACGATCTATTCACGACGACATATTCTCACGTTTTGCGGCCTTAGTGCGTTCTAAAGTATGATCATCACTGCCCATGTCAGCAAAAGTTATTTTTTGTATGTGATGGCTAATCACATCGGAACTCAGGGGTTGGACATTGTGTCGGTGCTTACAATCACAAGGTGATACTTGACAGGACTGTCAACTCCCAGACATTTACTGACATATTTCATCGGAGTTTTTTGTTAACTTTGTGCAGTGGGCATCGATACTCTCCTTTTGGATGTTCGCAACAATCTTAGGTCTAAACATCAAGTCGCGTACGAGATCCTCGGCTCCGGCAATCAACCCACAACATATTGTTTTACTGGCCCTGTCTGTCCCAGTCGGATAGTGTCGGCATCGTCGCTGACATGTTTTTTTCATAGAACAGGTCTCTTCGGCCTTTTCTGTTTCCTCATGTTCCTGACACACGTGCAACTAATTATGTTGAACCAAACAACGGTAGAATCCCTTGGATTCAGATCAATGCAGGAGCGTGAGCAGGATAATCTGTCGCGTATGCACCGTTGGTACGATTGTGGGTGCGTAATTGATCTGTATCTATTTACCGTTTTACGTGACAACTTTTTGGTCATTTCCCGCTTACTCATTGTGCGCTCTGAACTGAATACCCAGAGCTAAGAGACGAACGCGGCGACGTTGGGATAAGGAATGGGGGAGGATCGGCAAGGAGGGTAATCTCTGGTGGCTGGGAAGCCGTCGGGCCAACTGGGAAAGTGTAATGGGCAAGAACGTGTGGTGGTGGTTCTGTGAGTTTAATTACGATTTTATCCCGCATGTTTCCGTCCCTGACAAGCGGTATGGTTCTGCAGTGCCAGTTGGTCGTGGACTCGAGGATGCAGTGAATTTTCCCACAAACCCACGATTTGACAAGCAAGGGAGATGGAGAAGAAGGAGAGAGTGGCCTTCTGACCTACGATGATATACGCCCATTTTTTCTGCAGATTTACGCACGCACACACTACACACTATACCACAGCTACAAAATTAGGTCTTAGGACCTGCTTAGGTCGCCGGTTTCTCTCCTGGACATACGGGTTCCTGGATTTCCTCTATTGTTGTACAATACATGTCACGTTATGCTCACCGCTGTCGCCGGTAATTCGATTTTCGCCTACGGCATCGCGAGGGATTTCAAGGTGACTTCGATAAATGAGCGCACGAGAGTGCGCTTAGCATTAACCATTTCGGAGTCTTCCCAATTTGCCAGCGATAATTAGTCGTCGCACGGGTAACGACGAGACAGGACACGGGCCGCACGTCGGGCTCCTCTAGTTGTTTGACCTCTCTTCCGACGGTCGAGCTAGCCAGGGCCCAGCACACGTAGGAACTCTTTGGACGAATCACTACAGTCAGCAGGAGGAATGTCAATACGGCATGACTTTGTGAGCACAGCTACTGGAGTAATAAAGCTAATCAGTGCTTAGGAAGACTTCGAGTCGTTGACACATGTGACGTTAACTGGTAACCGTTGGGGAGTGGGTCTTATCTTAGTCTATTTTCTCACTTTTACGATAGATTTCGAGATCCTGTGCTAATTACTTGTTCAGGCTCGATTTTGGGCAAAACGGCAACTATGATCGTTCTTAGCTCAAGGCGCCCCGCCTATTTGAGTGTGCTGAATTATTGGCATGGACTGACGCCTGTCTCGCAAAAATATGATGTCGACTTGGCAGGGACTGTGCAAATGAGCGCACGGGAATGTGATATCATTGATAGTATCATAATGTCGGCCGAGCAGCCCGAGCCGATATGCTCCACTTCCATCTTATCAAGATAAGACTATGGACAGTAACATTAAATTATTATGATACACAAATTGAGCGCTGCTCATAGGTGGTATGGGACTGGGATGTATCTGGCAAGGAAAAGCGTGAAACCCGAAGTTCCCGCAGGCAGTGTTGGAAGTAGCGGGTTTTGCCACGTCACTGGCTGACCCGTAGTATACGGTACTGCTTATCATTGGGGTGTTAATTTGAAGCACGAAGGCAACGGCATACGTCAAGACTCTCGTGAAGGGCGTTCGGACTGTCTCAGAATGACAGGACGATATTTTGAATACTTACAAATCGAGGGTTAAAACACACTAAGGTACGCTACCTTGGTGTGCGCTAGTGACCTTGCTAGGACTCATAATAAGAATTCCAACAAGCCAACTAGCGCACACTATGTTGAGTCAATCGGTACGGTAATCTTCGGGGAGACGCGGGGGCTGAAGCTTGAAGGAAAGGAGCGGGTGGTAAGGTACTGGAACGAATATTGCAAGGGTGACATCGAGTACTGTAGAAAGAATAAGCTAATGAGTGTAGTCAGGGGTTGGACGAGAGTGGGAACGAATAAGTCAAAAGTTAATCATGTGGATTCATGGGCTGTTCGGCAGTGCCACCGTTACAACGCACTCGGACAGGCCAAATGCATCAGTGACCGAGCTGATGGCTCAAACTCGTCGTTTGGAGTTGTGGAATTGGATAGTACCATGACTCACTAGAATGAAGTCTACGCATCTGCAGCTAGTATTCCACATTGTAGATCTGTTCAGAGGCTCAGAGCCTCGACATGAATGGCCTCTACGATGAGGCGCTACTAATCGGAGGTGGAGTATGTGATATCATTGAATGGGCGCAGTGGCAAGAATGACGATAAGGGCGGAAGTGTCGGCTCCATACAAGCTTGATCGTAGGGACCGACCGGGGTCCCGTCTCGGGCGGACCAAAATGACTTGACTCACGCGTCGGGCTCCTTCTTCCTACCCACACGTATCTCACGTACTCTTGTCAGGTTTTCTTCCAACAAACACATACTAAGTTACATCTCACAATGTCTCCAACTGCTGTCGATAACGGACACTCTCATCAAGTGACGACTCACAAAGTCGTGAAGCAACACAACGGGAATGGTGTTCATGCCTCCAGCACTACCAACGGGAATGGTGTTCATACCTCCAGCGCTACCAATGGCCAAGTGACTTCAGCAACACTCATCAGTATGGAGCACGAATACGGCGCTCACAAGTAAGTCTTCCTCTTTTCCCTAGCGAACGAGCGCCTTCTTCGACCTATGGTCAAAATCACATCGAGTCGGCCTAAGCCGAACTCGGTGACGGTTTAATTTGTTGAAGCGCCACGAATGCATACTGATGGGCTGATGCTTAATTCTTATAGTTATCATCCGTTACCGGTAGTGTTTGATTCCGCGCAAGGGGCAAAGTGAGGGACTTGTGCCATTCGGATCGGGTGTTTTTAGCTCATTGCTGACTACAGGGTATGGGATCCGGAAGGCAATGAATACATCGATATGTTGTCGGCATACTCGTAGGCGCTTCGTTACTTTTCATAGGCATTCTGATTCACTCATCTTTATCAGGGCTGTTAATCAGGTTTGTCACCCGCAAAAAGGCGATGCATTGGGGGGATGGGCTGACTGGAACATGGTCGAATTTTTAGGGTCATTGTCACCCAAAGATAGTTGCTACCCTAGTAGAGCAAGCACAGAAACTCACTCTGTCATCTCGTGCTTTCTACAATTCTGTCTTTGGGAGGTTCGCGCAGCAGATTACACAAATGTTCTCATACGAAAGTGTTCTTCCGATGAATACCGGTGCCGAGGCCGTCGAGACAGCTGTCAAGCTTGCTAGGAAGTGGGCATACCTAAAGAAGGGTGTGCCGGACGGGAAGGCTATTGTGTTCAGCGTTGAAGGGAATTTCCACGGAAGAACCCTGGGGGTCATTAGGTGTGTTTGGCGCTTAAGCGTCCTTGGAGCCCGTTCGAGAGCCTAATTTATTCATAACTCGCGGCCAGTATGAGCACTGATCCGGAGAGCCGCGGCGGCTTCGGCCCTTACCTCAACGGTGTCGGACCAACTTACCAGGATAATAACGAAATTCGTGTCATCCGCTATGGAGAGATTTCGGATCTTGAACGCGCCCTCGAACTCCATGGAAAGCACGTGGCAGCGTTTTTGATAGAGCCAATTCAAGGAGAGGCAGGGTGTGTTCTTCAGCGAGTTCACTTTGAAAATATTTCTCAATTTCCGCATTGCATCTAGAATTGTCGTACCACCCAGTGGCTACTTCGCTAAAGTTCGGGAACTCTGTACCAAGCACAAAGTCCTCCTTATCTGCGATGAAATCCAAACGGTCTGTTTCCTTATACGGGTTTCATGAGAATTATGACTCATATACTCATTGACGCTTTAGGGACTGTGCAGGACGGGCAAGATGCTGTGTTGTGAGCACGAAGGTATTCGACCGGATATGGTCCTACTTGGGAAGGCACTGTCAGGTGGAGGTGAGTCAGTCTTGGTATTGTTCCTTACGGGTTCTCACACACCGCCCCGATACTCCACAGTGTACCCCGTCTCGGCGGTTCTCGCGGACCGCGAGGTCATGTATTGTATTCAACCTGGAGAACATGGCAGTACATACGGCGGGTGCGTCATCCCGATGATTTCTTCGGATGCATATTTACGTCGTCATTTAGGAACCCCTTGGGGTGTGCTGTCGCTATGACATCCCTGCGTGTCCTTGTAGACGAGAAGCTCGCCGATCGTGCACAGAATCTCGGTGAAATATTCCGCGCGGGAATTCTGGCGTTTAATTCTCCTCTTGTCAAGGAAGTCAGGGGCAGAGGCCTTCTCAATGCTGTAGTTATCGACGAAGAGAAGAGCTCCAAAGGCCGCACTGCTTGGCAATTCTGCTTGCTACTGAAGAGCCGAGGTGTTCTGGCGAAGCCAACTCATTGCAACATGTACGTGACTTGATGTCTTCTGCTTCGATTTGCTGCAACTTTTTCCGGCGCAGCGTTCGTTTTGCCCCTCCGTTGGTAATACTCGAGGAAGAGCTTCGAAAGGCCATCAACATCATCGGGCAATGTCTTATTGAGCTTGACCAAGTAAGTGCCTCTAACTGGGAGTCAATAACATCGCGCTTAAACTTGCTTGATTTTAGCTTGACGACATTCCAGGAGAAGTCGAGAGTGAGAAGGGTTTCAAAGAGATGCTTGACAACTGATCAATGGCGCTTTTGGCTAGAAGGATGAGGTAACACTAGTGTGGTACATAGTACTTACATACGTTTCCTGTAATTGCTTTTTTTGTTTCTTCCTAGGTCCCTCTAACGCAGTGAACCTGCCAGGTTATTAGATGTATGGAGAAGCTTCCAGTATTGATGTTGCGGCATTTCAACTCAAGGATTTCGTTCCGCGGGAATAGTGAAGTGCGATTTGGGTGGAGAACACGGGTCGCGTGCCATTTTGGCGCCGTTCAAGGTGTCCCTGAGGGAGACATCGAAGTGCAATCGGTTGTCACGGTGAGGATCCGTAATCAAACAAGTCACGTTATGCACGGCGACCTCGTGCCCAAAGTACACCTGACAAAACATACATTGGAATTCATGGCAGCAGTACAAGCAGTTTCAAATGACGAGAAACATTGATTCTTGATAACCAAGGAAGAACATATGCGGAGCCACGTAAATAAGGACCTCCTAGAAATCAATCGTGAAGGTGGTAGATAGATAAAATACAAAAAATGTGAGACACCTCGTAGGGTCAACTTCTATACAATCCCAGAAGTCAACCGAAAAAAATGCCCCGGTCCGATATTATGGACACATTCATTCTTCCCTGACATTAGCAACTCGACGCTCGATGGGAAAAGTTCGAGCGCCTAGTGAATAAAGAGGGATATACACTTCAGATGACGTGCACGACCTGCAAAAAAAACCATCGGGCTGTGATGTGCCAATGCATGTAGTACACGACACCCGAGGCCTGAAAGTTTGTCGATTGAGCTGGAAACGGATAGTTTGCTGGAGATCTCAAGTTTAGTGGAGCATGAAAGGCTCGGAACTCGGTGCGCAGACCAGCGGAGGACACGTCGCGAGAGTAGGTGCAACGTTGAAGCGGCGACAAGGAGAAGAAAAAAGAAAATTCAGCCGCTTATGGGTTGCTCACGGAAACTCGCTAAAGAAAAAAATTACATAAATTCGAAAAATAAGTAGTATGTAAATGGTCGCGTGCTTTAAACGACTTTCATCCATTGGTCTGCGCGCTGCGTACGAGAGACTATCTCAGTTTCATTCTAGGTTTTTGTCGTCTGGTTGAATTTCGAGATGGTCCTCTCGAGTCCCCAAGGACTCCGCCAACGAAAGGCTGCCGACGATGGATCGGGAGATTCAGGAGCCGAATTTAAAGATGAATGTGGCCAGTCAGAGAAGATGCGTCGACAGGCACACGAGGAGGTGGTTTGGGGCCAGACGCCGGACGGCGAAGGTAGGCGGTAGTGAACAAGCTTTCAGAATTGGATTTGACAGATATAACAGTCTTTAGGGTTCCAACTACGCACGATGTACTAACCGGGCTTTTCCATCCGCGTTACCCAAAGAGTCATCTGGACATCCTCAATCTTTCATTGCTTGGATTACAGCTTGTTCTGTTCTACATATTACCACGTCCGACGGCCAAAATTTTCTTTCTGTTTTATTTTGCATTCTGGAGGGCAGCCTATGATGCTGGGTTGGGATGGGTCCTCACTAAACAGAGCAAAAGAAAGTGGATGATTCGCGAAATACAACGCCTCGGATGGCTCGATGAGAAGCGTAACCCGGCTGCTAGAAACTGGATTCGTGCTCAGTTACAAGGGAAAATGGGAAAGGACTATTCATTCGATGTGAGCAGCCTACTGACGCCAGCTAATGCATCGCTCACGAGTGCATTTTGACCGATCAGGAACTTCCTTTGGAATACAACACATGGTTGTTGTTTAGACAGCTTGTAGACATGATTCTTCTGAAGTCAGCTCTATCAAGTGCATTAGCGTTCGGTAACTAACATGATTGCATATCAGTGACTTCTTGGCGTACTGCATGTTTGCCTTTACTTGTTTCAGAGTGCCCGAAGGACTTTCTTTTCCCGTCCATGCCATGAGGTAATTTCTCCTCAAAACACGTGATATCTCACTTATTCATGCGTAGATGGATCGGTGGTGTTGCGTTGGTCGTATTCAACCTTTGGGTAAAAACCGAGGCACACAATGTTGTCAAGGATTATGGTTGGTACTGGGGTGATGTATTTTTCCAGCGCGGTGCACTTGTATTTGATGGTGTCTTCGAGCTGGCTCCTCATCCAATGTACTCCGTCGGTAAGTTGTGCTGCCTCCTCTTGTTAACGATTGTAAATCAATGAGTCAGGTTATGCTGGATACTACGGTCTTTCCCTGATAATCGGAAGCTATGCTGTCCTTTATGTCAGCCTGGCAGCTCATGCAGCTCAATTCGCATTCCTGGTTTTGTTCGAAAACCCTCGTAAGTAATCTCCGACCTACAACCTACAGTTTCCTGATATGCGGTAGATATCAAACGGATGTATGGAGAACGCAAGCCTATCGCGCTGCGTAAGCCTATTTCTGTGTCCGAAACCAAGAAGATTCAGAAAGTGAACCGTTCCTCCCAATTCATATCATCCGTCGAGGACAATGCAGATCAGTTGTCCACACCCGCTGCCACTGAAGGCGAGAGTGCCACGGATACCGAAACTGAGACGGAATGCGAAGGGAAGGCTTCGGGCACCCTCAGATCTTACCGCCCCACGCAACCCATACTTTTGGAGAGTGCTATCTCTCAACATGATCTGCATCACAAGTATTTCAGACGAGACGTGGTCATTCTCCACAACATCGATTTACCTCCGGCAAGTACGCCCCTTGGTGGGTGAATAGTTATTCTAACCCCCTTTCAGTTCCTCAGATGCCATGCTTGCGCTTCTGTTGGTCTATGTCGTGTTAGGATCGTCTCTGCCTGTACTGTCGTATCATGCGACACTTGCGTTACACTTCGCACACGCTTGTGCTTGGTGTATGTTCCACAACGTTGGTCTTGGGCTTCTCCTTCGTGCCCAGAGCAAATCGAAATACCTCGTCCGGCACTTCTTAAAGCACTATCATTATCCGTCTCGTGATCATGGTGATGGCGCAGTACAGGAAGCATTTACCAACTGGAAGGCTTTGTACAATATTAGCTTGTGCATGACATATAGTGTGTACCCGAGGTTTATGCGTAGCAAGCTGCTGATCGGAAAATTGCGTGCTAGCTTCACTGACGAGTTTGGCGTGGAAATCATACACAGCGCCCGTTGCCTGGTTTGAGGGTGATGCCCTTCTCTGTCATACGCTAGGAGCAGTTCGTATTTTTGCTTATTCTCTTTCACGCGCTCAGATTATTTTAGCTCTTAATCGCACTCCACGTGTGGGCAGCTATGGAGTCATTCGAAGTATTGGGTGTTTTCGGTATGTCTACCGTCACCGCTTTTATTTATTTTATTTACTAAAGGCAATTCTGAATGCAAGGTTGGTTTTACGGTGACTTTTTCATGGATGATTTCCCAGCGCATCTGGAGTACACTGGTATCTTCAGGTATGACTGGACGAAATGCCTCATATCCAACATCTACTCATTGCATTCTTCCCAGGTACCTTAATAACCCCGAACTTATGAGTGGTGCCTCCTTTCTGGGACTTGCTTTAATCAGTGGCAGCAAACTTGTTGGCATGCTTGCGGTCATCAGGTTTGTGTCTCACTGGTGGTTCCTCCAGACCTGTCGAAAAGTAAGCATCGATCGAAATATCAACGCTCCACAACAAAGCTGACTTGCAGTCGCATCGCGACAGCCCCCACATGCGGAAATTATACGGCGATAGTCTTCGCAAGGATGCCGGTTTTGTCAAAGTTATCAAAAACGTTGCTAGCAAGAATGCTCGCCTTTTAGAATCACGTGCGGGTCGACATGCACCTGAGATCAGGAGAGTTGCAAAAGAAGTCAAAGGCACTTTCGACAAGGTTTTTGAAGAAACTGCTGATGTGGTAGAAGAGTTCCTTGCGAGATGTAAGTGCGAAGTGATTAGGCGTGGTGCTACGCGGCATTTATGATTCCGTTACAGCGAAACCCAAGATATCGGAGGTGATGCAGGAGACCAAGGTTCTTCTCCAACAATCACGGGAAAGACTGGTTATCACGTCAGTATAAAGTTCTCAATATTGACTGTCTTATAACATTCTGTGGTTTCAGTCGCGTCGCCCGTGACTTATCATCGTATGACACAACAAAGTACAAGATCTCGATTGTCCCTAGTCAATCTGGCGACAAGCGTTTCCATATCGGCGAGCCTATCAAAGTCAATTGGCAAGCTCCTGCCCGGCACTCCCGTCGTGACTGGATCGGAATATACAAAGTGTGTGATTTTTGTCTTCTATTACAAGATCGCTCAACGGATTCTGGTAGGTCGGTGCCAACAAGTCTACGTTGGTGACGAAGATATCATCTATCGGGTTGTGGGTTCCAGTTCATGGCGAAGAATGGGATCAGGATGCGCCTGTTGATGAAACCAGTCGCATTACCACTTTGGGAAAAGAGCCAGAGCTTGGTGTCGTCTCATTTGAAGGTTCCACGCTTCCATGGACCACTGGTCAATACGAGGTGAGTCTGAGTCACGGCCTGCATTGTCATTGTGCCATATCAACTTATATTGAACAAAGGTCCGTTACCATCACGATGGCAAGTACAATGTATTAAGTCTTGATGGACCGTGCGAGGTGTATGGTATGTGTCCGGTGTTCGGCCAAGCATATTGTATCTGAAAACATCGTTTTGCAGTGAGTAAACCTGCGGCGCTCGATCTCACCTCCATTCGGGAATGCCTGGCTCACATTGTGCCTCTCTGCCTGGACTCTGATCCCGACCTGATTCCCCTATCTTGCGGGGGTACCCAAGAACCCACCGATACAGACTCTGCCGTTGCTCGTGACATGGACGATTTCAGCTTCTGGTCTGAACAGCAGGCCAAACGTATATGCTATGTCATTAAGCAGGCATTCGGAGTCGAATACGCGCCAGATGTGGTTATGGCTGATGCTAATCTGACTGCGCTTGCCAATCGGATATTGGTCTCAAAGCAATTGCTGGTTGTGTAGCCCTTGATTCATCATTTTCACTTTCTCTCTTACTCAGTACATTTTGATTACATATCCACCGGGATGTTTTTCGTTACGTGATGACCCGCAGTTTATGATCATCGTAATGGCAAATTTGGGGTTGATTTGGGGAACTTACAGGCGTACCGTCAATCCAGTGGTCGGAAAAGTTCAGCGTGCATTTGACCTACTTATGCACCTATGACATCTCCATCCACCCTCATAATTGTTGGCCAGGCATGCCTTTTGTCTGCTCAATGAACCTGAGCTTGGTGCCTGAGTTACATCAGTAGCCAATAAAAATCATTTTACCGTTGATCGCTGCAACGTGGGAGTTAGGGACATGTCACTGATCATGATAGCTGCCTTCACCTTGTCTTCACCAACTCGCTTCTGATCAGCCAGTCTACCAATACTGTCAGAAACACCATTATCTTTACTCGCTTGTATTGTCATGGCAAGAAAGACGGATTATTATCTCTCTCAGTGCGCTATTGCTGCCAGCAAGGTGAGTTCATCAACTCCAACTAATTCACCAGTTTTATCGAAGATACATTGATCGATGTTTTCAACAGTCATCCATGACGTACCATCTTGGCGCAGTACTCGTAAAGGAGGCAAAGTCATATCAACGGGTTATAATCATCATCGCACGCACTATGACGGAAATGACATTTTGAAGCACGGTCATCGCAAGCCCACTTCCATGCACGCGGAAATGCATGCCATCTTCAGCTTGACTGGCATGTCTCCTTCATTTAAGCAGCAAGTTCAACTCTCGCTGCGACGTACCGCTGCAGCCAAAAGAAGGCCGCGGTTTGAAACACGTCCCACACAACAAGCTGGACGTAACTCACCCACACGGCGGCGCGTTTTATGAGACTAAATCACAGTCTTCCCTTCGGAGCTCTGACTCTTGTTGCGCGATTGATGCTGAATTGTCTCCGCCTTGCGACATGCTGTTTGTAGAGCCACCGAGAGGGTGGAATGCACGCCGCAGGGACTCAAAGGTAAACGGTGCAGATATCTACGTTGCGCGCGTCATCAAAAATGGCTTGGGTGCCGCAAAACCTTGTTGGCGATGCATACACTGGTGTTGGTGGTTTGGTGTGAAGAGGATATTTCATTGGAATCCTGTCGTCGGAGATTTCGAGGTGTTGAAGGTGAATGAAGGTTATAGAGATCACTACGAGACGCAAACCGATGTACGACTTTTCGCGCGTTTGGTGAGTCCTGTTTTATTGTTTGGTCCTGGCTGTTAACTCGTTCGATAGAAACTACTGAATGAATAGTGGAATTACTCCCTTACATGAGTGATGATGAGCATTTGTCGGCCACCATACTACAGGCCCATGCCTTGCGCAACCCTTAACAACTGCTCGCCGTATCGCTTCTTTGCTACGGACGCTGCGAGTTACTAATATGGGGACGGACAAGTTATGCACGAAATTCAGCCCGGTTGTCGATCATCTGATCATGACCCCTACGGTTTACTGCATGCTTCACATCTTTTATTTGTCGACCTTTGACTAACTTGTAGATGTTGAGAATGTTACATATTGCCTTGCTTGGTTTTTGTCACCTCCTCGACTTGCCGATAACTGCCTGACATCATTAGCCACTAGTGAGCATCAAGGGAGATGAAGCTTCAGAAAGCGCCTAGACGTATGGTGGAAGCACGAGAAGGTCATCTCCAAATGTTTACAACGATGACAGATCCTCGTTCATGCGCACTGCTCTCATCCATAAGGTACCCCTTTCGTGGGATGCCGGATCTTGCTCGTCGGAATCGGGATGTCCCGGTGGGTCTTCCCGGTTCTCGGATGGCTAAAAACACACTATCCTCGTTTTAACTACGAGCTCGCAGACCCATTCCCAAGACGATGTCCCATCCCCTGGTGCACTGTCGACGAATAAGCCGCACCTGACCGCTGTGCACTTGCACCAGGCGATAACTATAGGAATCCTCCATGGGAGGAAGATATCTTTGACGGCTCATTGTGGGAAGGAAACCGCAAGTATGAAATCTCATTTAGAGATGAAGTCGAAAGCTGCAAGCGCCTTGGACACCTTTAAGGTTTCATTATCACCCGGCTCCATGGTTTGGGTCGGGTTATTGTTGTTTCATGCCACGGTGATAGTCGCGCCATGTCTCCCGGGGTGCTTTTCATGGAACGTATCCCAGGCGAGAACCTCGCAACCATTCAAGACCCCCAATCAGTCCCTATCTCAGCGAACCAGGAGCTCGTAAAGGCTGTGAGCACCCTCGCGTCTTTCGGTATCATCCGTGACGATATACTCCAGACAACACCCTAAACGAGTGGTCCTCATCGACTTCGGGACGTGCCAGTTTCGCCGCACTGATAAGTCTGACGACAATTGGGAAATGACTGTCATGAGGGAGATGGGAGCTAACTCTGGTGCTATATGCAAAAGTTAGGTATTTGGCGCGGGGGATGGTCGGTACACCAGAAATGATGCTCGGGAGAGTTGGCTTCCTACGTCGCTGATTCTCGAGACAATCTGACGGCTTCGCATGCAGCATCCAGTTATGGCTACGCGCAGCCTACGGTCAAGGAATTACATGCTGATATTCCAGACGATGTATACTTCACAGGAATGCACACCCGAACTCGACTTCTATTTGCTAGTCACCCCTTGAACGTGAGAAGTGGGACAAACTATCCCGATTTTGCACTGCGTCCAAAGGATACAGGGAGCTCCATCAGCTAGATCGACACCTGCTGCATGGATAAGAGCAATAGCGCTGAGATTAACATTAATGGTCTCGGCAATATCGCAACGGCCATGTATGCATTGCATATTTATAGTTAGCGTAATCCGCGTCAGTGGAGGACTGTGATAACGATGACTGGCGGGTACGGGGGTGGACGCTGCAGGAGCTGCTAGCCCCTCGACGAATAAAATTCTCTGGCAGCCTTTGACATGGTCGATGACCCCACCGCGGGCAGGGGTGCCGTTCATCATATTCATTCGTGCCCGGGACAAACCGAAGTGCGAGACCACTTGAATCGAAGACACGGCATCTTATGCATACGAGAGAGGGCCGACATCAAGATTCTCTCGTCACAGGTGAATTTCAGAGATTCCTTGGGGTTGGCGTGGAGACAGTACATTCGCGTTCACGAACCATGGTCTGCGGATCAAGGCCATGCTGGCTAAGATACATCCGCGGAACGTATTGTCAACGATCATCGAGGATGATGACGTGTCCGAGCGGACTTCATTCCGAATTTCCAAGGAACATCCCGTACCATTAAACTTTAAAGAGGTTGTTGCCATATGCAAGAATTCACCGTGATTGCAAGATCGATTCAAAAAGTGGGCAATAGGAATCTTTGACCCATGACTCGGAATCGAGCGAGATGGGCAGGCACTGATCCCCGACCGGGAATATCGCTGCGTCTTGCTTGGCTGGCCACAAGTAGGTTGGAAAAATGCATCGACAAGACTTGTCTCGTGGGCAAAACTGCTCTCTATTAGGCAGATCTGAGACGGAGGAAGACAGTCGTTCCTCCTAAACTGTGTATCCCCCAAAGGGCTTGGCACATCCCGAGCGTCGAGGCAGGATGAAAGAAATCCTGGCGGAGGGTGGGGAATCGTACAGAATCTGCATATTGAATCAGAATGTAATCTTTAGTGAAAGCGCCGACTAATCGGATGTGACTGATTTTTACATTGTTGTGGTTGGACGGTGAATGCTTGATGCCAGATCTGTCTGCATCGGCGAAATCAAGTCAGAACAAAGTTCTCCAAACGAGCCAAGTAGAAGCAAGATAGACTTGTCTGGCCATCGATAAGGGCGTTGGTCACTGTCGGTGATAGCCTAAAGAGAACTTGGTCTAATTGGGTTGGGAACGCGCCAAGAGCTGGGTCGGCAAATGCCGATGCTGCTTGTATGAAGACCGTCAGCGCGTCACATCTGAATTTCTGAAGGTACTTCACATCAACTATCAGATCGTTGGCCCAATTACGCGCTTTTCATGTAAATAACCCCAGACAGCCATACACCGCAATTTTTACTAAAAAGTCCTCAACTTTACAGCATGGTTGCAAGCGACAATGAGGAAACAGCACAAGATGTCCATACTTCCTCCCTCCCGTACTTGCGGTCTCCTCTGCCTTCGATGAATTCTAAAATCCCACCTCTATCGGTGAATGACAAATCAAGTACACAAGTAAAGGACAAACAAACTATCGGGACACCTCTTTCGTCGGTGGTGGAGCTATGCGGGAACACGGCCCAGCTGGACGCTCACAGGCCTCTCCCGTCCGTCACAGGACTGTCGCCTGCTTCGGAATCTGTCCAAATTACTACAACTGAACACTCGCCTGCTGTCGTGCCGTCTGGTACAGACGTTACGATCCGACTCCAGACCGAACTGCTAGCTACCGCCGACGAACTGTACCGCAAGGATATAGATGGTCACGGTGAAGGACGCGCAGGGAAGGCTCCTGAGCGGATTTCAGTAATGCCGCTACCGCCATTTTCAAAGCGCTTCCCTAAGGCAAATACGCAAGAGTTGACAGATGAGGATTATTGGTCTTCGTTTCCGCCACACATAAAAAACTTTGTACGCAGTACTACTTTTAGTCTCATGCGAGGCTTGTTGACTCGCACAAAGGCGCAAAAAATGTACAATATTGCGCAACAGATGGTACAGTCCGATGCCGTGCTGAAGACTGGATTCAGCGCGACTGAAGCTACCACGATAACTGCGAGGGCCAGCATGGACGTTCCAGGGTGTCCTCCAGGAACGTATCCGTCGCTACCTTTTGATCCATCAATTTTCTCTGATCCCGAGTTCACGTTATCGGTAGACCGAGCAACAGCTGCTCTGGGGACTACTTTGCCATCACCTGGCCAATCGCACCTTCCTGAGTTCGGTCAAGAGGAGTTTATCGAGGATGACTACAGCGAAGATGGTGATGCTGTAGACGGCGACATTGAGGATCAAGACCTCGATGAGAACGATTCTGATCTGCAGCCACAATCAACATCAGTTCCGCACGCGCCACATTTCCATGGATCGCTGCCTGCGACCTTTGCGCAGGTAGTTCTGAGCTACGAGGAAACGGTTTTGCGAAGTGGGCCGCTTTCGACTGACTTCAGAACTAAGTTATCAATGCCTGCTATGCCAATGCTAGCGGCGCCTGTTGAGGAATTGGTATTTCATAAGAAAAACAAGAAAGTCTCTATGAAAGTGCCGGCGGTTAGCGCCGAAAGTCCGGTAGTGCCGGGACAGGGAGTGGGAAAGGGAGGTGCGGCACCGGGATCGGCGCTGGAAAAGGGTAGTGGAAGGACCGGTGGAGAATTGAGGAAGCGCTCACTGCCTCTCACCGCCAACGCCATGCCTGCAGCACGAGCAGCGACAAAAGAAAATATATCTTCCAATCCTCCACCGAGCTCCCGTGCACAGGGAAAACAGCCTATGTCGTATGCACCGCCAACAACGACAGCCACAGCGACGACGACGACTACCCCAACAACGGCCACGGCCACTGTCAATGGCCAGCAACCAACAAGAACGGCTCGTGCGGCATCAAAGGCACCGATTCCTGCGCACGCCTACCAGCATAATCATTCTCATCATCATCCATCGCCTCCATCATCTAATGCATCCGTGCCACAGAAACATCGTCCTCCGGCAACCGCTGCTCCAGGTAAATCCTCTCAGAACAACTCCAAGATCTGGAGTACTAGCTCGACAGAGGAGCGTGAGCGTATCAAGAATTCTGGCTTGGTCTAGGTGAGGACGAGCGTCGCAATTTGGTCAAGATCGAGAAGGATACTGTTCTCCGGAAGATGAAAGAGCAGCAGAAGCACAGTTGCAGTTGTGCTGTCTGCGGCAGGAAGCGGTCCGTACTCATTCCTTGATCCTATCCATGAAAAAATTTTACTGACCTGCGCGCTTGTCTTTGTGTCTTGTTCTTTCATCGGTGTTGGATATCTGGCGTCTGTGCGCATGTATCATCGATGCCTATAGACATGCGATCGAGGAAGAGCTTGAGGTACTGTACGATGCTTATTACGAGGAGCTAGAACAGTACGCGAACTACCAGCAGCGCTATGTCTCCTCTGGTGGCACCATACCTCCTCCCCCTGGGCCAGGTCCATTTCCCGGTAGCGTCGAACTCGATAAGAACGGTGCTGTTATCGGTCATCCCCCAAATAAAGTTTCCCATAATCCCCCGCCATCTAATAGAACACCAGCCCTGACGAACGGCCGAAAACCTCCGAAACATGAAAGTGAGTTGATGATGACGATGGGGATGAGGACGAATATGAGGAGGAGGAAGAGGAGGAGTATGAAGAAGACGAGGAAGAGGAGGAGGAGGATGAAGATCCGGAAGAGGAGGAAGAAGAAGTAAAACCACGAGATCGACGTAATCCCGGTGTTCGCGGACGAAGGCCTGTGAATAACGCGAAGGTTAATGGTCGCGACGGTCTGTTCAACCTTGGGAGTAGTTTGACTGTAACTGGTAAGCTCACTTTCCACTCCGCATCGTTTCCCCTAATCGTTCCTGTGTAGGTCCAGGTAACATTCTGACAGTTGCAGACGATCTCCTAAAGAATGATGGGCAAAAATTCTTAGAGATGATGGAGCAACTTGCTGAGCGTCGAATGCAGCGAGAAGAGGAAGCGGCTGCTGATGTTGAAGATGACAGTGATGAAGAGGACGATGAGGAAGGTGAGGACGATGATGACGACGATGATGAAGAGGAAGAGGACGATGACGACGACGACGATGAGGAGGAGGTGAGTATCCTTTGCATTGAATCTTTCTTTTTTAACCTTGCTTAGGTGATGACCGAGGAGCAGAAGATGGAGGAGGGCAAGCGGATGTTCTCCATTTTCGCTGCTCGGATGTTTGAACAGCGTGTCCTTCAAGCGTTTCGAGAAAAAGTTGCACAGGAACGTCAAATGCAGCTTCTGCGCGAACTTGAGGATGAGGACAAGCTCACAAAGGAGCGAGAGGCGAAGAAGCAAACTCAGAACCAGAAGAAGAAAGCTAAGAAAATGTGTGTTTCTGCATTGATTTACCGCTTCGTACTCAAAACAAAACGATTGTTCATACAGACTTCAAAAACAAGCCCGCGACGAAGAGCGAGCTGCCAAAGCAGCCGAGAAGGCTGCAGAGGAGGCCGCTGCAAAGGCTAAGCAAACAGCTCAAGAGGACGCGCAGCGGAAGAAACGCGAAGAAGAACGTGCTCGTCGTGAAGCTGCTCGGAAAGCTGCAGACGAAGAGAAACAACGTAAAGAGGAGGAGCGTCGTAAACGCATTGCGGAGGAAAAGGAGCGAGAGGCCGAGCGGGAACGTAAACGCAAGGAAAAGGAAGAGAGGGTCAAGCAGGAGCGCCGTGATCGGGAAGAAAAGGAGCGCAAGGCCAAGGAGGAGAGGGATGCCAAGGCAACTGCTGAAAAGGCTGCCCGAGACGCCGCCCGAAAGGAGCAACAAGAGAAGGATGAACGCGAGAGAAAGCTTGCCAAAGAAAGGGAGGAGAAGGAGAAAGCGGAAAAGGAACGGGTTGCCCAGCAGCAACGAGCTGGCAAGCATACCCGTCCATCAACCTCTCCCCGTCCTCCAGGCTCTACGCAACGCACTCAGAGTAACAACGGACCATCTAAGAAAATTCTCAGCAAGCCCATCCCCATCACCCCCACCTCGTCCGGAAGTACGCCACGGTCGTCGCTGCAGCAGACCCCACAGCAGCCGCAACGTCCCGTGTTGTCTAATTCTCAACCCGCAACTCCTGTGGCACCCTCCGTGCAAAATCATTTTCCTCCGCCCACCACTCCTCATTATCCTGTCGCTCCTAGCATGATGCCTCCACTTCCCGGTGCGTTGTCCCCTCGCCTACCCTTTGCGCAACCTCCACCTCCATTTGGACTGTTCGGTCCAGGACCATCAATGCCACCTCCAGGACCTCCTCCGAACCTCGGTCCATCTGCCCTTCCTCGCAATTTCGGCTCGCCTACTTCCTTCGAATCAGGCTTTAGCCGTCCTTTGGCTCCGACAATACCCATTGGACCGCCTTCGAAAGTTTCGCAGAATCTTCTTGGTTCACCAACCATACTGGCACCAGGGCCTCCGAAGCGAACGTCTATACCGGACCCGGGGCCTGTTGCACGGCCGGTTTCTATTGTTCCAATAGCACCACCTGCACCTATCGCGCCCCCCGCACCCATTGCAAGGCCAATGACAGGGGAGACATCTGGGTCAGGCTCAGGTTCTCCTAGTCGTCGCTCTCCAAGTCCGAAGGGTATCCTTGGATCTTCTGCTCTTGCAGCTGATGATGATGAGGTCGTTCCTCCGCCAGGACGGCGCATTGCGCCGGGTGCAGTGGGCCAGTCGTGGGGTGCTAATACCAGTCCACGGGCCGTCGTTGGAGATAACCGGCCTCCTTGGGGCGCACCCGCGCCCCCAGGGTTTGGCTCGCCTCGTCCTCCAATCGGACCTTCATTGTGGGGAAGTGTGAACCCCACATCTGATTGGCAGGCACCTGGAACATTCTTTCCGAATTCTTTCGTGAACCATATTAACTCATCCCCGCCCCCTCACACAGGTTAACTTGGATATGGCGGGTAGCTAGTCTTTCGTTTTGATTCCTCTTGATACGCTCCCTAGTGCTCTTCTCTTTTGCTCTATTTGCATCAATGTTTGCGATCAAACAAGGAGAAATACATTATAAAAAGATGTCAGATTTGGAGTGACCGTCAAGTTACATGGTGCATAAGTATTATAGCAACTTGCTCGACGCTGCCGGAGCGACTCTACTACGGATGAGCTTGATGACGTACAGGGGAAGTGCGCTGACCGCTACGATAACAGCTACTTTCCATGCAAAACGAGTGGACACGACAAAATCGAGGTCTACAAGGGACGATGAGTAATCCTTGGGATGGATGATAGGAACACGCACCGAAATACTCCGGTAAGAAAGCGATACTGATAACATAAAAGAAAAGGGTGACTACTTCCGAAATGACCATATAAATATGCCTGTCGCCAGGAATCAGCACGCGTCCATCCGGAGAATTACTGTAGTTCTTACCAGGTTGTGATTTCTAGTGCAACCATAATGAGTTCGTTGATGACCAAAGCCGTAAAAGAGATGGACACGATGTTTAAAAACTCAGTTTCGAATAAGAGGAGAGACATTATCATGATGGCTGCGCCTATAGATACAACGATCAACTAAGGGAATCCAAGAACGAAATTAGTGGACTGACCTTGGTATAGACTAATCATCAACCATTGGAAGAACGTCTTGAAAGATAGAGCACGTCCCTACACCCAGCTATCAATGAGCTATAAACCTATTCACACAACCACCAACCTTGGTCAGTTCCTTGTATAACTCCGGATATATCAACGCAAGATCCTCGTTCACATCACAATCCAGAACTAGCGAAAAAACAGGCGCCATGGTATAAATCGTCGCATACCCTACCATCAACCACCCCTGGTACAACGCAATCGGGGCAAAGTAGAAGATAGCTGAGAAAACGGCTTGCATGATCGAGATGATGAGGCCGCGGTGGATGACAAATTGAGCGAGTTTTGCAGAACGACGGTATGAGTTGCGGCCATGCCACATGAGGAGCTTCGTGAGGTGGCTGAACTGGGTGACGGAGAAGTCGGCAGCGAGGGATGCTTGCTTTCCTTCTTTTCCAACGATACCAACACCTGTACGCGTCAAGGTTTGAGAATTATGTTTGGAATCAGTGTTGGAAGGCTCACCAACGTCAGCGGCTTGTATCATGCTGACATCATTACCACCGTCTCCGATACAGCAAACACGTTTCTTGGTGTGATGCCGGATTAATCTTGCGACATCTGCTTTCTGGGTGGGAGAGCATCGACAAGCAACGACGGCCGATAGCTTGGTTGTAATCTCGATGAACTCGTTCTTGTACAGGTTCAAACAGAGCTGAGTGGATAGGATGAGCGTAGCACAAATACGTGTCTAAAGAAAGCAGTACCTGCAACGACTCGCCATCAATCACCAGACAGCAATCCAGCTTCGACTGTAAGAACTCCAGCTCGTCCCTGACTTGATCAGAAGTCTTTACTACAAGCTCAAAGCATGAGTGGCGGAACAAAAACACAGGGTTCAGAATGCTCACACTTGGCTACCTCATGAATATACTGATTCCGCGCTACCAGTTTCGTCGAAATGGCAATACAACGCGCCGTCTCGATCTTATCGCCAGTAAGCATCCAAATCTTGATTCCCCCATTCCTGAGTAGTTCTAGTGTCCCTTTCACCTCGTCCTGCAGCTTATCCTCGACACCTGTCAGGCCAAGCAACTCCAAGTCATGCTCCAGGTGCTCTGCAACGACAGAAATCATCGCCTCGCTGCGTCCATCAAGCCGGATACTGGCAGCATGGTGCGCAGTCTTAAATGCCGCATACTGCTGCGGAGTTAGCCGCTTACGTGCAACGACGAGCGTACGCAAACCCTCGCGCGCCATATTCCCCGTCTCCTCTTCCAGCCAGTCATTCCGCTGCACGATGCGAGCCATGACGACATCCGCGCCCTTTTGCAAGAAAAGCACCTCGCCGCTGTGTGCGTCTCGCACGACGATGCCCATGCGCTTGGACTCGCTCGTGAATGGGAATATGTCGAGAATGTCGTAGGTGAGACGTGCGCCGGTGGGCGTTTGGAGCTCTATGCGTGTGCGGTCGCGGAAGACGAGCGTGAGGCCGACGCTTTCCGTCCACTTCACGATTGCGACTTCGTCCGGGGAGGAGGCTTGGTAGGTCAAGGTGCCATCGTCGTTGGTGACTGGAGTGACCTAGGTTCCGAGGGGTGAGCTGGAAAGAAGGAGGGAAAGTGAGGTGACGTACATTGTGGCAAAGTGCAAGACTGAGCACTACGTCTCGGAGCCTTGACGACATATCCCTCCGTCCTCTCATGGCAAGCTGTGCGCCTGTAGCTATTGAATTGCTTCTTGCATGAGCTGTATTTCGTGACTGTCAGTCTATCCGTGATGAAAGGAGTGGATGTGTGAAATACGCACCTTGATCAGCACCAAATGCACTCGCAAGCTGGTGAGCAACTTCGTCCATACTGTCAAAACCGTAGGACATAGTTCCCACTGTGCAGCTTCTTCATCTCCATCTCTAGAATGTCCGTCAGCCATCCGTGTGCACATAGCAAAAGATATAAAACAGAATGGGTAAAAGGAGAAAATAGGTAACGGAGAGAAGAAACAATTTTACACACCATTTTGCGTAAGGGTCCCAGTTTTGTCGCTAAGAAGGTACTCTATGCGTCCCAGCTCCTCAGGCAGTGTGCTCGTGCGGACGATTGTGCCAGGAATCTCAGAGTCGTTCATTATTTGCTGTGCGTAGACCGTCTTGCCCATGTCAAGGTTTACACGCAAGCTAGGTTTGCAATGAGCATGATACATGAAAGAAGCGACAAAGGGAACACAAAACACTGGGTATATGCGCTCGTTTTCGGTGGAGGAAAGACATACCTTATGGGGATGATAGACGAAAACAATATGAGGAAACGAAATACATAGATATACCACTGGCCCCTGAACCCATTCGACGCAACGAGTCCAAAAGATAACGCGAACGTCACTGCGCAAAGAATCTATACGTAGACTGTCATGAAAGTTCCCTTAACACAGGTACGTACGTGCCTACCTTGGCAAGTCTATTGATCTCCAGATCCAGCAGACCAACCTTGGTCTCAGGATGGCTCGTGTTCATGACAGCGCGCGTCTCAGACCCTGTGTATACGATGAATCCAACAGCAGAACCCGCAGCTAATACGGTGTTGCTCCATAAGACATTATCTGCAGACAGGGGCTCAACAGCGGGGACCTGTACCATGGGCACATCATCAACAGAATGCGTGCGAGGTGTGTGTATCGTAAACGTCCCGATAAAAGTGTGAATGTCCTTGATTGGAGCGTCGGCTAAGGTTCGGACGTTGAATGAACATCTAGAGGTGAAGAGGGCAGGAGCACACACCATAAACTTCCGCATCCAAATCTAGTAGTTCCCTGTCGTTAACAAGCTTCTGAGTAGCAGAAACTGCGACACGAAGCTTCCAGTCCGTCTCTCCGTCGAGCTGGTCAGTTCGGATGAAACACGTTCCAGAAGCATCGCTCGTGCGCAGAAGGATCATATCTGCCGGTACACGCTGATTCTTCTCCAGTACGACGAAGTCGCCCACCTTGAGGGAAGAGGAAGGGACAGAGCGTGTATGCGGACCGCTGTCGGAGGAGGGAACGAGGATGAGGTATTTCTGGGAGTTTGCTTCGCGGTCGCGGAGATTGCGTTTGTAGTCATCATAGGCTTCTTTTCCCATTGTGACGAAGAGCACGAATGCGAGGGGTGCGACATATGTAACAATAAATCCTGGGCACACATGGTGAGGTGGTGCAGAACCAGTATAGAAGGAATAAACGTACCGATCTTGAGTGCTGGAACAAACTGGGATAGAGCGACGAGAAGGAAGTAGAGATTGAAAAAGAATTTGAACTGTTCGTAGATGACGATAGGAAAGAAAGTGAATATGTTGTATTTCTGATTCCGTACGAGGTTGGGCGGGAACCTTGATTGTAATTTTTCTGCAAAGTTGAGTCAATAGCTTCGTAAGATATGCATGGAGAAGACGTACCTGCTGGTCTGAATGGTATTGTCCTGGACTTGTCCTGCGTCTTATGTATACTCGACGGTCGCTGTCTCGATGAACGCTATCTCCATGTAAGCCTTGTGATGCTTTGCAGGTAGATAGACAACTCACCCTTTTCGATTGTTCACCTACATTTCCCTCTTCAACCTCTTCCAGCGTACTGTCCCTGTTCCCAAGCAAAGTTGCCTCCTCATCAAAGTCGTCTGCGTCTATGTATCGTTCGCGCTGTTTGCCCTTTCCCTTTGCAGTCAAGTTTACGTTGCGTGCCGCAGCAGTTCTCAGAACACTCGTGCGCATATCGGTATCCTGGGCGTCGTTATCCTGGGCGTCGTTCAGAGGAACGTACCCGGCTCGTGTCTTTCCTTTGCGTCCGAGAGAGTGCAACGGGATGTCAGACATCAACGTCGACCCTGAGGCCAATCTCACTCAAAGTCAAGGCTGCGCACCAAATAATAGATGCCGCCTGACGAGTCGATGAAATGTGACGTCAAGAAGCAAGTGGCAGGCCCGAGAAATTAGGGCACAGGCGAGAGTACTAATGCGCTTTTGCGTGAGATGGAGCACCGCTGTCAGGTGCTCAGGCTAATGAGCAAAGTAGCTGTCGATATAAGCAACAGTGGTAACGCGTGCTACAATCAAGCGACCATGCGTATATAATGTACGTGTACTATACACATGCTTCATGAAGTTCTAGACTCTGCTTCTGTGCTTCTGCCCCAGTCTGGAAACTTCTGCGGAAAATTTAACGTTCGGTATCTTGGATAATGAACATCATATCCAAACGCAAAGTGAAGGATATTTTTCGCTCATAATGTAAGGCGATGGTCTATCAATATTATCATCTAATTCAAAGGCCAACTTCATCTGCGAACGGTAATGCCTGCACACTCCCAATAGCTACAAACGTAGGCTTGGCTTTCGTGATCGCAGCAACAGACTAGATACGTGTTTCAATATCCTCTACACAGAACAAAAAAGAAAGTACACACCTTCGAGAATGCAGCAGCATCAACCTTGTCTATTGACGCTAGCGTAGCTTCGATCGAAGCATCCGAGTTTGCGAAGACCTATAATCATGAAAACGTCCTCAGAAATCTAAAACCACGACAAAATGTCAGGAACGCACCTTGGCACTGAGAGCGCCTAAAATTCCATCACGACCATCCAGAGAGCTGGCAGCAGCAAACTTGGCTTTAGCCACAGCCATTTTAAGTGCATCACCCTTGAGGCCCGTCGACTCCTTCAATGCCTTGGTGGCAACCTTGGCAGCCTCCTTCACCCCATCGGCGCTCGAGCCCTGAACAAGCAGACCGAAAAGCGTTGCATCCGAATACGGTATAAGAACAGGCTGCACCGACGTCCCCTGCGGAATAGCAGCAGAAATAGGCGAAAGACCCTGCGACCACTTGACGGATGGCTGAGGTGAAAGGTGCGCAGAAAGGATAGCAAGCGCAGGGTCCGCAGGGCCAGCAGCACCAAAGCCAATAAACACAGTCTCAGGACCCCCATGTGACTCCACCCGCGTCTCACCACCAAAGTACGTCGATGGTTTACTCTCCGCAACCACATTGCCCACAGATGCACCTGCAAGCGCTTTCTCGACTAATTGTGTAAGCGCAGCTGAGTCGATGCCGGTACCCAAAACTGCGATGTTGCCCTTGCTGAATGCACGAGCTGCAAATTCCTTGACGTCATCGAGGGAGACATGACTGTGTGGGGACGCGAAGAGGGAGGAGCCGAGACCAGAACGGAAGGCAAGCGAATGTGCGAGTTCGAGTGCGTGCGTTGCGGGGTTTTGCGAGGCAGCGGTGCTCTCGGCTTCGACCACAGGGAGGACGTACTCTTGGAACTCATGTCGCTGAAACTTGCCAGACGTGAGGAAGGAAGACATGATGTCGACGAAGAATGACCTATAAACATCACAGTTACATTAAAATCGACACATAAAATGTTGCATGTAAGGAGACGGACTCATCACCGCGCAAGAACTCGGAAGTGAGTGCCAAATATTCACGGGACAGACTTGCAGAGAGGACGCCGCCGTACAACTCACTTTCTCTGACCGTGCCCAACGCCGACCTTTTGGCAGTACTCTGCAAAGACTGCTTGAGAACGCGTATTCGGAATAGAACATAACACGCACCTTGAAAGCAAAGTTTTTCAGCGTATGCGCGACACCAGGTTTAGGCTCGTATCGGCTGCCGGCCTTAACGAGGAAGGTGACAGCGGTGGTGGGTTGACCGTTGTCGATGGCTGCGACCTTGACCCCGGCATTGTCGACGACAGTGGCGAAGCTGCGTGCGAAGGCCGACGCTCTTCTTGCAAGCATTTGTAGAGATGAGTGTACTTGAACGGAACGGATAACTTTGGACTCAAGTTGCAGAGCGGAGTTGGCTCGACAAACGGTAGATTCCGTGTTCGTCCGAAATTTTGCTATGTCCGCACCGTGACCACAATCGGAACCGGGAAGAGGTAAACTCAGTACGCAGTAGTTAAGAACCACAAACACATCACATTGTATTACAACCTATGAAAGCAATCGACAACAAGTAGGTAGGAAAACATGAGTACGTTCGACAATCAAAGCATAACAAACAAGAAAGCAATCAAGAGAGCAGTTACCAGAAAGCACAAGACAACATCTCACAAAAAAGCACGAGAAAGTAACAGTCATAGAAAAGCACAAGAAAGCATTTAGAAAACAAACACCCAAGATCCTTTACAACTTCCTCGCCCACGCGGTGTGGTAAACCCCAACCAGGCCGGGGACGTGCTCTATGTCCTCAATAAACCCAGTGACAAGGGTGTCAATCTCGTGCTGGGTCATCCCTGCTTCACGGAGCATAGGCTTCAGGCTCTCCGCAAAGTCCTTCAGGGCAGCCAAGTACATCTTGCCGACACGCCTCATAACCGGGTTCGGGTGCCAGTCACCAACGGGGATATGGAACGTCTGGATAGTGGACACTGTGAACTGGTGAGACTGCTGAATGAAGCTAGGGATTCTGTCGGCAATGGGAACCAAGTGGCGGAGCTCAAGGGAGCGATTGACCACCTGAAAAAAGCTTCGCGCATGAGGTGCCTGGCGAGCAAGGTCGAAGGAAGACCCATTGGCAAGGTCGATGGAGCGCCCAATTTCGCCAGAAAAGAATAGACCGCCGGGACGGAGCAACCGAGCAACTTCTCGAAGCAGTTCTGGGTAATCCGTAACCTATTCATGATCAATGAATAAAAACGTGGAAATCAATGAACAACGTACAGCTAGACCAATATTACGAGCATGGATAAAGTCCATAGTTCCATTGTTCCATCTGAAACGTTTTGTGATATCATGGATCTCGAATTGCACATGTCGCAAGGGGCGCCTAGTGGCAATCGGAACTGGGCGGGGGTAATTTAGAACTATTCATCTTACGCGGGCATAAGCAAGCTCACCGATATCAAGCCCGTAGATCTTGACACGGGGAAATAATCTCGCCATATCCATCGGCCTGCAAGAAGGTTAGCGTAAGAGAAGCACAGATCGGAAGTTGATCAATAGATCGCGCACCAACGGCCTGTCCCGGTGCACAAATCGAGCACACGTTTTTGCCTGGTGCGAGCATCGCTGAGTACCTCGGTTACTGGTCCAAGGTAGTGGGATTCGACGGTATCGCGCAAGATTTTATGAACACTGTTCAATCTCTAATGAAAAATTAGAGATTTTAATTGTATGGGTTGCGTGGCGCCTACTGCTTGCTCCGGCCCGTCGGCAGGCAATGGATAAGGCAAGCTACCATGAGAATGGAAGAGCCTTCCGTCCCTTTCGAAAAAGTGGTCCGGAAAGTCATATTCTTCGAGTTCAGTCACGTCAGAGGACGCGTCAGAGGCATCGTCTTCATCTGTGAATTGGAGGAATAGGTGAGGGGACGCCATCTGGGGGTATAAACGTTGGACTGACCGTGCATCATATTCTCAGTATACTCGAAGGTCATGAGCGGGATGGCGCAGCGATGAGGGGACGACTGCGCGACAACTTGATATGATGTGATAGTTGTTGGCAAGACGCCGAAATTGGACCCCGCCGCAATTCCTGAGTTTTATACCGATAGTAACTCAGCGAAACAGGGTAGAAGGCTAAACACGAGGTCAAATCCAAGCGGGCCCTTTTGAATCCAGGTTGAGATGGGAATGATCCACAATAACAACGTGTCAGCGTTGGTAAATGGGGAGTGTCAAAAGCTGTATTTGCGAGTTGGTCGGTGGGTTGAACTCAGGTTGAAGTCAGCGGCTGCCAGGAAGGGAAAAGAAGATTGTCCAGTTGATGGGGAGTAGAAAGGCCACGCAGGCACACTCGCTCGAGAGAGGAAAGCAAAGACCGAAGAGCGGCATAGGTGATGCATAAGTATCAGCTCAGGAAAGATGCTAATTTTCGAGGGATGAAAAGAACGATAACAGTTACGTGATAAGCTGAACCGCCTTAGCTGACCATTACAACAACAAAATGACATACCATCTTCGGCGTGGATCTTCAATTGTAATCGATAAGGTCACAACAAAAGCGCCTTAGGCCCGTGTTGGACTAGGCTTTCATTACTGAATAGCTGTCATTGGGCAAGTCAATGATGCGCTTCTCACTGTAAAAAAAGCTGCCTCATTAGTGGACGGCGCCTACTTCTTCGCCTATTTTTTTTGGCAAGCTTGCCGTCGTCTGAGTCGATGCCCAGGGATGGGAAACAAATTCACCCAGATTCAGCTTCCTCGGCGTTCATGCCGGCCAGGGGACATGTCGATGACATGGCTACAGTCATTATAATAAAGCATCTTTTGGTGAGTCACGATAATATTTGTCTGGCAAGCTGAAAGCTGCTGACCGTGAGCATCCCCCACCAGTGGGATGATTCAGTTCGTGGGATTTGCCACCTCCTCGAGTTGCCACATTGCAGCCTACAGCACACTTGCCAGCAAGTGGTTCACGTTATCTATCGCTCTCTTGGCGCGCAATATTTCTTGAAGACTCCCGCTAGCTTGCCAACAGGAACTGGCCAGGCCCGTCTCAGAGACGGTGGATGTAATATTAATATTGTTTTGTTTCAGGACTCAGGAGAAAGCTGATAAAATTTTATTTACTTCTGCAGAAGCATCCCCGCGACGCGAGACATCGGTCACGTGCACGTACATGTGGTGTGACTCCTATAGTAAAAGACGCGTATAAACGTCCACACGGACCACACGGACCACACAGGGAGTGTATTTCATGCCCTTTGCTACTACGCACTAGCCATCCACCATACTATCCCCGTCTGAATTCACTATGGACGACATCGATACATTTTTCGCTGAACAAGAACAACGCATGAACCTTCCTGACGAGGACGTGGATGAATACATTCGTGCACGATTGGAAGATCACCATAGGAACAGGTACGCGCGCCATTCAATTGGTTCCCTTCTGTCAGTCCCCTGAGTAGGATAATCACAGAAGTCATGTTATCGATCACGTTATTCCCGCGCAAGGTCACCCGCGCAAAGTGGATACACGCTCTGGACCATTTCTCACTTCTGACACGGAAAGGGAAGAGCAGCAGATCTCCAACAAAGAATTGCCCAAGCAGTGCGTCTCACTTACCTTCTCACTTTGCTCTTGCAGATCTTAGATCATCCATTCTACAGGTTGAAGCGCAAACACGCGGAACCCGAACATCCAGCCCAGGGGAAGAAGCCAAAGCTATACGAGATTCCCAACGCGACCACATCAGGAGTACCTGTTCTACCTACTTTTTTCTCACGTAGTGACAATGCTGAACATGCCACAAAGTAGGTTGTGTTGACCCTTATCTCAATTTCGGATCAATCAGATCCGTCCCTTAACTAACACATTTGGACACAGCGCTATAGCTTCAACTCAGTTACGAAGCAAAGGCCCCAACCAAATTCCGCGACCCCCGGCCCACCGAAATGGGGATGGCCCAGTCGAAACTACATCGTCTTCTCTTGGCCGGCATACTAACTACGGGCCGGTCGACGCCTCGTCTATTGTAAACTCTTCCCGAATCCCGAACCCCAACGATGAATCAAGCACTCATGAACATGAGGCAGCCGAGTTACTAGTACTTGGATCTGGATCTCGTATCACGGAGCCCACGATACACCAAGGCAACGGTGACGCCAAACATTTGTCGCCAGCAAGACTGATGCCCTGTGATTCCACTGCACGGACCCACAAAAGAATTGCTAAGCTGGTGGCGCATGATGCCATCAATCAAGAGCCCACAAATGACAACAGTCCGGGTCCAGAAACTCGCATACCATGTTTAGATCATAATGGAGAAGTCTCCTTTGGGAACGAGAGCGCGCAGTCTTGCGCGCCAGAACTTGGCATGCCCAGTCCACAGTCGGAGTTACTAGAACTCTCAGCCACGAATACCAGCAATATCACGAGCCCCAGCAATTCCCCCCTTGGAGCATCACGCCGCTCGAGTACCCCAGCTTCATTATCATCAGATCCAGAGGCCATTGCATCCTCATCGACAGTTGTTAAACTCTCAAAAGTCCGGAAGACTGTAAGCAGTTCAAGGAACAAAGCTGACGTTTCAAAGCAAAATAAAGACCAGAAAGGCAAAGGAAAACCAGCGCTCGTTACTCCTCTCGAATATGCGCAGAAGTTGAATCTCGACTTGCCAAAGAAGCGCAAGTCCGATTACCTCAAGGGCAAGCAAATCTTATATGTCGGTGGGGACATGCAGTATGCAGGCGTCCAGACGCGTGGTCGCATGGACTACGTGAGTTTCCCATGTTCTGCTCTCCCTGACCTTCCGTGTTTCCCGGTGCGCTGTTTACGCGCCATCATCATGTGGCGAAGAACCTCCGCCTTCAACGCTGACGTGCATTACGTATCGTCTACGTGCTGATCGTCACCATTTAGTCAATGCCGTTGAACGTATCTAACACGAGGTTTTCAGATCGTCAAGCATGGTGGCACCTTGGTACCATCATACGATCCTACTACTGTGACTCACATCGTGACGGATGCGACGACACGCCCGACACTGAAAGCCCTTGGACTAAAATCGTTGAAAGAGATCCCTGACAATATCCCAACGGTCACTTGGAGTTGGGTGATATCCGGGTACGGTCGTTTGGGTTACAACAAGCTCAAGGGCAAACGCGACGGGGAAGCAAATGATACGAAAGGGAATGCTAATGCCACAGATGATGACGAAAGTCTTCTCGATTTTGAATTTCTACACGCGGCATTCCCTCAACGCATCGATGCCGGTAGAAGCTGGCAGAAGAGAGGGCAGGTAAAATTGGTTCAAGCAAAGGGTCAAGCAAGCGCCTCTGCGAACGACCTTGGGGAAGATTTCAGTCACATTTCGTACGTCCATTCTCGGTTTCTCTTCGACTATATTTTTATGCGGTCACGTTTCTTAGCTCCTTCACTGAAGACCATCAAACTGAAAATCAGCAGCGCATAGCGCCAAAACTAGTCGTTTTCCCCCCTGCACCCCTTACATTCATTCCCGCGGGAAAAGCTTCCAGCACAGCCCATCATAACAATAACCAAAGCAGTCACATTCACAAGCCACAGTCTAATACAGAAGACCCTCTTGCTGAGTTTTACGAGAAGGCGAGGGCTGAACGAGATCGAGCTGTGAGTTGTAATGTCAAACAAAAATTTCACATCTCAATCATCTTCAGAGAGGTCTTGGACAGGCCGAGACAGACGAGAGTGATCAAGAAGAGGATTTTTCAAAACTACCACGGGTTCCTCGGCGCGTGAGTGGCTACATTCGAAGTCCCTGAACTAATCTTGAATATTGTCCCTGAAGGGTTTTACATGTGACCGGAAGGAACCTGAGCAGCGCGAATGCGTGAATCAAGATATTATTGAAAAGGTTTGCATCTACATTCTGCATTATCTGCAGCTGATAGAGCACACGAATAGTTGGAGGAACTTATGGAGTTGCACAAGGCAAAACTAGGTGAAGATGATCGTTGGCGAGTGTACAGTTACTCGAAATGTACGCAATATCTGTGCTTCGGAATTATCGATGCTGACGACCCTGGTAGGTATTCGTGCCTTGCGCAATTATCCAAAGAAAATCAAATCATACAACGAGGCCCTGTCAATCAACGGCGTCGGTGAGAAGACTGCCCGAAAGGTGTGTATCCACTGACACACATTAATGTCATACTCTCATAACACGTATTTTTTTAGATTATGGAAATAATTGAAACTGGCGATTTGAGACGCATCGGCTACGAAAAAACGGATGATGTCGAAGCCATTAATCTTATTTCAGGGGATATATGGAGTCGGTATGGAAATGACCGCTCTTCGTTTGTCAACCTTCTGAGCCATTGGCACAGGCCGACAAATAGCTCACATGTGGTACAATAACGGATGCCGGACACTAGATGATATTCGAGCTCGGAAGGGTGACATCAAGTTATCCCACGTGCAGGAAATCGGTTTACAATTCTACAATGGTCGGCCCTTCGTGATCACTTGTATCGGCACATCACTGATTTTTTATCGCTAGATATCAATGATAGAATGCCACGCAGTGAAGCAGAGAGTATCTTCAACTTGATTAAACCCATTGGTAAAGTCTTACGTTGCGGGTTTTCACGATCCATCGATCTTGATGTGACACAAACAGCTCTCGAGCTCGACAAGCACCTCTATATCGATATCATGGGTAGTTTCAGAAGGTTTGTGGTCATTTTCTTTTGCTTGCCTTAGCCTCACGTTCCTCGATAGGGGCAAAGCTACTTGTGGCGACATTGATATCCTAGTGACTCGACCAACCTCAGATGGGATAACTCACGCAGGTGAACGCTTTTTGCATTCTCATAACTTGATGTCGTTTTACCAGGAACATTTGCTTAGGTCTTCTTCCGGAGCTGCTCGCCCGTCTGCATGCTGCAAAGATCCTGACAGAGGATTTGGCATTGCCTGATGATTTTTCCGCTCTTGAACTATGTTATCGTGGATTGTGTAAGGGTCCCGAACCGGATGCAAAGCGTCGGCGCATCGATATCTTATGTGTTCCTTGGCAGAACAGGGGAGCAGCCCTTCTTTACTACACGGTAAGACTTTAACCCGTCTGATTGGCTCAATGTTATGACATGTTCATTTGACAACAGGGTGACGACATCGTAAGTAATTTGAATACCTGCTGTGTGATAAATGAAGTAGACATATGTACCATTACAGTTCAATCGGGCCATGAGAATGAAGGCGAATGTTCTCGGGTATTCTCTCAACCAACGAGGTCTGTATGCAGGTGTGGTTCGAGACCCCCGGAACAGACGTATCAAGATTTCCGCAGGTGTGTCCTTCAGATGCAGCCGAGTTTGCCTCATTTTCATCGTCTTTTAAGGTAACATTGTTGCGTCTGAGACGGAAGAGGAAGTATTTAGAATTCTAGGTAAGAGTCAACTCATATGGATGTCGTATTGATAGCAAACGAAGCCATAGGGGTGCCATGGCAGCAGCCTCATGAACGTGTACGGGGTTGAGGTAACGCAGTCGAGCTCTTGGAACTTTATTTGAAACTATTGTAAACATGCATATTCATCTTTGATATTGCATCTGGATGTGGAAATTGGCCAGTGCCATGTACTGGACTTGTTTATCAATCATGCTAGTGCAGAAATTCCGATCAATAGTGGTAGTCAGAGAATTCAATAGCTTTTCATACACTCTGAATACCACTAGATCACTGGGTTTGGCCTATATCGGAACTGACATCAGGGGAGGACGAAGTCGCCTGTCTCCTAAAAATGATGTTTGTTCAGGAGACTTGCGAAGTGTCATGAGAACTAACAGGGCTGGAGACCAATATCCTCACAGCACATCTAATGCAGCCAAAAATGTCAATTGCCATATCCGATTCGACGGCGTGTTGTCGCAGATTTGGACGTCTGAATTGTTCCAATCATGATAATCTGGGGAGTAGTATCTAGCATCATAGATGACTCGGAGATGCCCGACCCTACCACTTTCGCGAACAACCAAGTATTGTCCGTGGCCTTCGCTCCCGTAGGGTAGCCGGCAACCCGTCGTGACTGTGCGGAATGCATATCAGCTGTATGACGCAGGATGCCAGGTAAAATGTGTCGAACGAAGAGTCATCCGAGACAGTGGCATCGGTGAGGCCACGAAGGAGGATCTGGTAATCTACGAGGCTCGTTAAAACGGCACTTCTAAACGGCACTTCTAAACTGCGCAGCTTCCTAGCGCCTGGGGTAGAACGGTCGTACCAACAGAGAAGTAGTGGCAGTAATGCAGGTCTTGGGAAATTCCAGAGCGTGGCCACCAGGGGAGGACAGGAAGTTGAATGCGTGACTGAACTCGAGTGCTGCTGGAAAAAGAGAAGGACATGGAGACCGAAATTTGACCGAAATTTGACCGTAAAATTACGGAGTAACCCAGACCTCATCACACGACCGACCCCACCATAGCGAACTGCTTGGAAGCGAAGCCCAAACCAGAAGCGTCCAGCAGAGCTTAGCACCCGCTGCAGGCACCCGTCTCCTAGGATAAAGGACTGTTGGCTAGAGCAACAGGGACGCTAGGTGGCAGGGATGACAGTGGTTTCGAACCTGCGAAAGTTCTCGTCGACGTCAGGAGGCTACCGCTACCCCCAACCGCACCAGGTCACCGTCTCGTTCTGTTTAGGAATGACACTACTGAGCCTATATACCCAGTGGGAATAAAAATTTCGGGCACGCGTTGTGATCGGCCAGCTGCACACGGTAATTGTGACCCACTGGGAGGGTAGTTTGTTGGGGTAGGGCTATGTAGTGGGGGCTGTGGGGGGATAGGAACCAGATCCTGAGGCCTTTAGCACATCCGGATCCTAAAACTTACTACTTAGTACTTACTGAGAACCCTAATCGGCTGTTTCCGAACCCACCGAGAATTTTAGCAGAGATTGGCACAAAAATCAACATCAGGTATCTTTCTCATCGAATGCTACGATTCTGTATGACATGTGACTGATTTGAGTGTATGCAGTGCTCATTCACTCGATGCGTCCGACTTCTTTCGCCTAGTTTTCATCGCCTCGTTCTGGATGTTTTGATCGAGAACCTATTCAATTTGAAGCCTTCTGCAACATTCACGGAAATTCGAAAGGCTATACGGACGTCTGTTGTGGAAACCTCTAGGATACAGCTTAAACGCCCATCACACTGCCCTTCTTCCTCGTGTTCTTGCTGTGGCTTCTGCCTCGCGGTAACTTTGAATAGCATCCTGTGGAACTTGCACTGAGATAGGTGATTATGACCCGACCAAGCCTTCAAAGATCTGAATCATTGATTGATTGATTATATCTTAGCGCCAGTCAACGGGATATAAGGAAGTCTATGCTACCTGTGGTCTCCAAGGATTTCCCCCCCCTTCTGCCCACATCGTTGAGATGAAGTACGTGTCACGGAAGTTCATCGACCTCATTCAGGGCGCTACATCCAAGTGGGCCAACTGGGATCCACCCAGACCGATCAATGTATGTACAGACACCACTTGGTTTCAATCGATCTGACAGGCACAGGTGGGCGACTATGGAATGATCAACAATGAAACTGGAGAGTTCGAATGGGAAGGGAACCTTTACACAACAACGAACGACATCGGTATTGATATGACAGATCCGGCACTAGGCCCGATAGAACAGGAAGAAGGGGACGACAAATACATCGTCAAATCGTGGGGTGTCACTACCAAGGAACTCAACGTATCTGCTGAAGCGTGGGTGCCACAATACGCAGGGTTTGGATATATATCTGACTGCGTTGCAGCGACGTGCCGGGTGGAGTGAATGTCGCCCTCAAAGTCAATTTTCAGTTCGATGGTAGAAAACCGGCAGCTGCGCTGGTCATGTACAAGCCAAGATATATCAGCCTTCCCAAGGACGAGCGCATCATCTTGCTGCTCAAGTCCAGGCCTGATGTCCTCAAAGGGAAGTATGTCGTCACCGAAGTGATATCTTGCGCAGCATATATGATGTACATGTCTAGCCAGAGTAAGTCCGGTACAGTGTCGATTCTTCTGCGCTGTTCACACTTGGCATAGAGGCAGAAAATTTTTCCGTGACACTTCAAGCTACAGGACCTATTGCGCCGGCTGTCAATGCTGGAGGAGCGGCCGGTTTCACCTGGTCTGCAGAAACTATTTGTGGTCTTTACCGTGAAGGAAGCAACTCGACCGCAAAATATATGCCCTTGTACAGGCTGAAAAAGCCTCGTCACAAGTTCTGGTTGCCTTTGAGTCAACGCGGAAATGAGAAAATTGATGATGGGATCGACAAGTGAGTTGAATCTGCTCGTGATTCAGCAATACAATGACCTCCTTGTAGGTGGGAGGATGTTGACCCACCTTGGGACCCCCTCGACGATGAGGGCGAAGAGGACGAAATCTATGATGCAGTACGTTCTCAGGTTTTTTTTATTGAACTTGACTTGATCTATCTCTCTCCAACAGGAGATGCATGGTGACTTCGGCGTTTTCAATGATGGCTATCCTGAGTGAGTGTTGCTCCTGCACAAACTACGCATATGTCTTAAGTGCCTCTCATAGTAACGATGATGACTTATGATCATTCACAAATGCTATTATCGCTACCCAAGGCCAGATCGTGCCACTTTGTATATAGACGAGCGTCATTACTGGAAGAGTATCAACACGTTACATGAACAAAGTACCTTCTCTACTCAAATTTGAACGTTAGACAACTATACCAATATTTGCCTTGTACATGAGTATGCTGTTGCTGCACAGCATGATATATCTCGTAACCCTAGGGACTCGAAGCCTGAATCCAACGTTTCAACATGCCGACGGTGACACAGGATGACACAGAAGTTCAGAACTGTATTAGAACTGCGCAATAATACAAACTTTGAAATTTGAAACTTCATTCTTACTCTATAGGTTAGCTAAGAAGCTATCACTGCCCTAAGGCAACAGATCATACAAACAGAAGCTGAGTTTGGGGGATTGGGCTGTTCAAGTGCATCGAGTTGGCATACCACATGCACCATCGTCTCTGCACAGAGACGCTAAAATTCACTAATCCGCTAAATTCAAGAAGGAAGCTTCCATTTGCACTTATAGTCTGTTGCCTTCTGTTGCCTCGACGTTCAAGCTAATTTTAGTGATCATGCATGTTGAAACGTTGTGCTCAGGCTCCGAGTCCCTAGGGTTACGATAACATGCTGTGCATTAACAACATACTCATGTACAAGGCTAATATTGGTATATATAGTTGATTAACGTTCAAATTTAAGTAGAGAAGATGCTTTGTTCATGTAACACATGACTTGATTGTCTTCCAGCAATGACGCTCGTCTATATACAAAGTGGCACGATCTGGCCTTGGGTAGCGATAATAGCATTTGTGAATGATCATAAGTCATCATCGTTACTATGAGAGGCACTTAAGACATATGCGTAGTTTGTGCAGGAGCAACACTCACTCAGGATAGCCATCATTGAAAACGCCGAAGTCACCATGCATCTCCTGTTGGAGAGAGATGGATCAAGTCGAGTCCAATGAAAAAACCTGAGAACGTACTGCATCATAGATTTCGTCCTCTTCGCCCTCATCGTCGAGGGGGTCCCAAGGTGGGTCAACATCCTCCCACCTACAAGGAGGTCATTGCACTGCTGAGTCACGAGAAGATTTCAACTCACCTGTCGATCGCATCGTCAATTTTCTCATCTCCGCGTTGACCAAACGGCCACCAGAACTTGTGACGAGGCTTTTTTAGCCTGTACAATGGCATGTATTTTAAGGTCGAGTTGCTTCCTTCACGGTAAAGACCACAAATAGTTTCTGCAGACCAAGTGAAACCGGCCGCTCCTCCAGCATTGACAGCCGGCACAACAGGTCCTGTGGCTTTAAGTGTCACGGTAAAATTTTCCGCAGCTACGCCGAGTGTGAACAGCGCAGAAGAATCGACACGTACCGAACTTACTCTGGCTAGACATGTACATCATATATGCTGCGCAAGATATCACTTCGGTGACGACATACTTCCCTTTGAGGACATCAGGCCTGGACTTGAGCAGCAAGATGATGCGCTCATTGTTCGGAAGGCTGATATATCTTGGCTTGTACATGACCAGCGCAGCTGCCGGTTTTCTACCATCGAACTGAAAATTGACTTTGAGGGCGACATTCACTCCACCCGGCACGTCACTGCAACGCAGTCAGATATATCCCAAACACTGCGTATTGTAGCACCCACGCTTCAGCAGATACGTTGAGTTCCTTGGTAGTGACACCCCACGATTTGACGATGTATTTGTCGTCCCCTTCGTCCTGTTCTATCGGGCGTAGTGCCGGATCCGTCATGTCAATGCCGATGTTGCTCGTTGTTTTGTAAAGGTTCCCTTCCCAGTCGAATTCACCAGTTTCATTGTTGATCATTCCATAGTCGCCCACCTGCGCCTGTCAGGTCAATTGAAATCAAGTGATGTCTTTACATACATTGATCGGTCTTGGTGGATCCCAGTTAACCCACTTGGATGTGACGCCCTGAATGAGGTCGATGAACTTTCGTGACTCGTACTTCATCGCAACGATGTTGCCAGAAGGAGGGAAAATCCTTGGAGACCATGGGCAGTATAGACCTCCTTATATACCGTTGACTGGCGCTAAGATATAATCGATGGATGGTCTTCAAAGGTTTGGTTGGGTCACAATCACCTATCCGGTGCAGGCTCCGCAAGACGCTAATAAAAGTTACGGCGAGGCAGAAGCCGCACCAAGAACATGAGGAAGAGGGGCAGTGCAATGGGGTATCCTCGAGGTTTCCATAACAGACGTCCATACATCCAGTGTTCTCCTTTCGAATTTCCGTGAATGTCGTAGAAGGCTTCAAATTGAACAGGTTCTCGGTCAAAACATCCAGAACGAGGCGCATCGATGAAAACTAGCGAAAGGCACCGGATGCGTCGAGTGAATGAGCACTCGATAATCGAATCAGTAACATGTGCATGAAGAAAAACTCCGGATTTTACCCATTGCAAATACTAGAAATAGAAGGAACAACTGTCTTCACCTTGTCTTCCTCTTTTGGACTGACTAGATTTTACTAAGCGCCCTGAATGTACGAGACCTAAGTAGTGCCACACACTCATGCCCTGGAGTCAAGTTGGAAACAACCGATGGGATAGATGCTTCTGATGAGGCACAGGTCCTTAGAAGAGACCATGACTTCGAAGATTTGGGTCAAATTTGAAAACAACACACATCAGGGCTGTTGATCACAATGTGTAGGATTCACGCATTACATCTGTGCTTTTACTAAAGACTCGGTTGGTAATAATGCCACTGCATAGTCAAAAAAAAATTCCGAAGCGCTAAGGTTGGATACTATCCATCGCTAGTGAAAGAAAGAACAAACTCAGCCAGTCGTTGGAAAATACGAACCTCCCTCGCTGCCCAGATGAACCACGATATGAACATGATAACGACCACGCACCCGCCGACAATTGATGCCAGCATGGCCGTCGTCGTAGACTTGAACACGTTGTACAGAAGGCCGATTGCGAAGTAGATCATCCTGGTGAAGGGTATATGAATCAATTTCCCTGGTTAAATAGTATCAATCTGCGTACCCCCACATAAGCATTGCATATGGGAGACTGTGAACAGTGGCGAGGGCTTTCACTCCAAAAAATGTGTTTGTCAAATTTGACAAAAATTCGGCCTACGCAGATTAGTTAGTGCGGTAGAAATAGATGCATGGGCGACGACTTGCCGCTTTGTCGGCTGATTCAAAACCGTATCTCTGGTTCTGACGCGCCAGCAGGACTGAGGCGATCAAGGAGCCGGTGATGAAGATAATCGAGAGGTAGGTAGCAATGATCCCGATCGAGTGTGACGGGCCGATGTTCATGTTCGGCACTGCAAGAAAACTGACGTCTACGGCTAACATGACGGTTGACTTGGAGGAATCAAGTTATGGAGCAGAATGGTGACTTAATGATACGCACATAGATGGTGATCCCAGTCCACTCCGTCATGAGATTTCTGTTGAAGTCTTTCCACCGCGGCGTGTTGATGCACTCATCCACCCATACCCTTCGGATATTTTTTAAGTGTGCTTGCGGTGCCCAAAAAAGCATGACCTCTAAAACCAGAGAAAGAGGGCTGATCAGTAGATGAAAGCCTGTACCCTCTTCATACACGGATCTGTCAGCATCGAGTCGAGCACAAGGTAGGCCGCAGAAGTTGAAAAACTTGGCTCTATCTTCAAAATGAATGAGTAACCTGAACCCGGCAGCGAAATGAAGAACGTACAGAAATAATGCATGAACCGAGCTATTGATAAAATAATGAACAATCAAGGGAGATTGTACCATGTGTATAGGCTTTTCTTACCAATGACGCAAGTGGAATGAGGAAAATCATTGTCCTCAGCGTTCTCTGGAAATGTGTAATTTCAATACAAATGGTTCCAAGGGAGCTATCGCACCTCGGAGGTGGTTGATCAGCTCCAGGATTCTGGAGAGTTCATCGGCATCAAAGGGCGACAAGGACGTGTCCGAAGTGATAATCTCTGTAATGCCGTGTTCAAAAACAACTGAAGGTTAATGGCAGGCGATCACTACCTGCACTCGCATGCATGACAACCTCCCTCAATTCTTTGAGAAGCTTGACTCGATTCATCTGGTGGTTCGGGTAGCGTTCGCAATGTGTCCTGTGCGTCTCAGGCGTTGATGGTCATACAGGATCTTCAAGTACATTGGAATCAGGATGATGGCAGAAGTCACTGAAACTTACATAATTGCAAGCGACAAACCAGTATTCGGACTCCAAGGCAAATCCTACCTGCCAAGTTCATATTAATGTGATCAAAGTTCACCATAACGCACGAATATGGCTCGGATCATCGACGCCCCGAAGCCCGCTAAAGATTTTCATTGTCGCTTCACGGCTATCGTGCAGCCAAAAGAGAGTTCGAGCTGTGTGGTCGGCGAAGTAATATTGACAGGTCATTTCGCCTTCAATCGGCCATAATTGCACGACAAGCTCAATGTCATCGGCTTCGAGCCCCGCTGATTTTGCGCGTACCATGTCGTATAGCTCATCCACGCATCCGACAAGTAAGTGGAACGTAGTTTCGTCCATGATGGCTTCGGTGAACGTTTTCTGAGAAGACAATATGTTTAGTAGCCCATGAAACACCTGTGTTTCCTTCATGATTGGATGCTTACTAGACTCGTATTGTATAAATACAGCGCGCCTTCGGGATGTATATAAGACCGCCAATCACCATTCAACCATGGACATGACCTGCATGGTTTATCATCCAATTCAAATATTGCCTGGCTGATGCACTCACTCATTTGGGAAGCACCTCATAAGTGCTGGAATGTGATCACGCTCACGATTTTTGTTTCTGGAGAGTGATTCCTCAAGACCATCCACTATCATGAGGGCGCTGCACATACACAAGAGGACGATTTTCGTATCGCAAAACATCATTCGCGGCGAATGGTACAAAACGGGGAGTGATGTTGGGAGCATTGGAAGGAATCGCACTACTAACTCCTGGTGGCGAAGACGTATGAGGCGGAATAACTTGCTTGGGAGTATATGGAACAGGCATGGCATACGGAAGTATTGAAGACGATACCACATCTTGAGTGCCGCTTGCTGTATTAGTTGAAGTTATTTGGTGGTGAAGCGGCAATGGCAAAGTGGCCTGTGGACATCGTGCATTGGAAGCCCCGGAACAGCATGGATCTGCAGTGGAAGACTTTGAGTCAGTACTGTGTCCAGGTAAAGCGTGAACCTTGGCGACACAGCGCCGCAAGCAAAATATGAGAATGCGCAGTCGCTGGGCAGATGAATGTGCGAGCGCCGCCAACACTTGCCATAGACGTTTTAAGAGCTTTCGAATTAGCCTCGTGTTCAGCATGTTTCGTCGTCGCCGTTTGCTGTTCAAGTTGAGCAATGTGAGCGCTAATGATCCTCCCCTTTCAGGATCTAAGTTGTCACGAGCGTGGGATTCGTGCCTCCAGCTTCGCGCCTGAAAATTAATTCCTGGTGTCAACAACCACAATTTCACGGCAACCGTACTAAGCGGCCCCGCCTCGGAGCCACGTTACCCGTTGAGCACGACAAAGTACGACTCATCGCGCATTGGCCCATGACAGAATGTGACTTGTTCAACAACTTCGCCTCGCAATCGGTAACCTACCTAGTGTGCGTACAAACTGCGATACGCGAAACGGCTGCCACCCGGGCCATTGGCAGGAGTTTCCTCATTGTCTTCTTGAGGATGTGGCTGTGAACACTCCCTAGCACAGCTTTCCAACATGTCGAAGTCGAGAAGGTGCTGCAAGCTGAATCCTGCAGTTCGCTATAGCCTCCTTAGCCACACCTATTGAATTTGGGCCTCAATTCGCCACGGGGATCATATCATCGATCATCACTGATGCGGTGCCAGTTCTTCATGAGTTGATGGTCGCGGAACGCGTGGGTGGAGCTATTTTGTATTCAACTGCATGCTTCTGTGCACTGTCGTACTGGCACCTCAGCCTCCTGTAAGTCTGCACCGCACACCGATTCATTTCACAGTTCGGATGGCAGTTACTGACGATATCATACTTACACACAAGACAATCCCTACACAGTAAGTATCAGACGCTTCAAGTTCAAAATCTAAGCACTTGAATGGCGTGGCAACTCAAGTTAGCATTGTGATCCTTCTACCCTGGGACTGGGATAATCTACAAATTCCCAACGAACAACACTTCGAACTTGACTCATAAAGGAAGTGCCCTCGATACTTGATGATTGTTACAACGTTCTCAGAAATCCGAATTATGATAACTACGGCGTACTCGGTCGGTCAGTCAATGTCATCGTTGCCCTAGCAAGTACCCACCAGAACCCGAACAGGAACACGGGGTGCAGAAATTTGCCCGATTCCATCATGAGGTGAGCATCATGCGGGCATTCTTATGTCATGGGTTCGTTTATATACCTTACCATATTTCCCGGGAAACGAGCCCCACCGTTGCGCTACGTTATGGAGAGCTCAATTCATGCTTAAGGGTCAGGTGGAGGGCGATGATCTAGATTTGATAGCGAATGTTGAGTTTTCATGACTCAGCACGTAAACATCTCGCCGGTCATCATGCCGCAGAAGTTCAGAACAGCCATCAACCCATTCGCATCTCCGAGAATTTCGAGTTCAAGGGTCCTGAGGAGCGAACACGGCCTTTAGGGCCGGTGTCGGGCTGCTACTCGTGCATCGCATATAGTGAGTTCTTGTGAGTTTAATGAGCCCTTGTATCTCATACTGTCTAGGTGGCGGTGGTATGGGGTGGGAATAGCTTTGGCCTGAGGGTGACGACATTCAGGCGGTGCCTCGCAATATTTGAATAACATGCCCTCCTTCTCTTGAGCCTCGCAGCCTACTCATTTTGGCTACTTCAATAAAGATCGCACCTTATCGTGATAACGCACCTTGCTGTTCAAACCAAATCTGACACTATGAATGAATCTATGACGCATGGGCAGCTCGATATGCTGTGAATCGCTTCTGTCCAGCTTTGGGACATTCCAGCCCATCAAGTTGTACAATCATGATCGCACTGCGTATGGGTGCCACGTGCATGCTGTGGTTTCCTCCTTTATAATTCATACGGGCACTGCAGTTCGTCGCTCTATACAGCATACATATTACCCTCAAGTTTAGTTTCCACACATTCCTCAGCAGATGTCAAACTTCGTACCTGATCCTCTCGAAGATTGCCCTCCACCCTTGGGAGAGGAGCCAAGTCACCCAGAGCACCCGGGAGAGACAAACCTCGTGATCAATGAAGTGTTACAAGTCATTATCAATAGTATGTGCCACATCTGATTTCCTTCAACGTATACTAACAAATTTTCCGAAGCCATTCTAGCAACGCTTTATCGCGTCATTACTCTGCTACTTCGTTTCACGACACGCTCTGTACCGGATCAACTTGATTATACCATCCCACCTGTGATCGAGGAGCTAAGCCGCCCAGAACACCCCCAGAACCCAAGAGAGACACACCTCAGCAGTGTGCAGGAAGTCGCCATCACTAGTACGTGATATGTATTTCCACTCAGCACTGAATCGAATAAGTTTCTCCAAGCTGTTCGTGCGACTGAGTGTGATTTTTGGTCTCCGACGGATCCCCGCTGGCTTCTACATAACAGCACAGACTGACGGTGCTGAATGGCAGACGAGCAACACACCTGTACATGTAGACCAGGCCATCGTCGAATGGAACGAGCGCATACCACTGTAAGGTGTCCTTAATTTTGTCGTTCCTGGAGGTATTGAGACAGATTCTAGGCCATCCGAACCATCATCTAAAGTTCGGCTCGGCGTGTATGCCTCATTTGAATTGGATCCCATGCTCGGTCATGGCGAACTCCTTCGCACGTTCGAGATCTCCGTTGGCGAATTGTTGGATCGCAGTGAAAAATCGCTTCGTCAGTAACTGTCTATTGTAAATCATGCTTGACGTGTGTTGATGATCATCCCAGCCATGATCTTTGAGCACAAGCAGGAGGAAGTTGTATCCTCTTGTACTTCACTGTTGGTATTGATGGAGCGGCGACGTTCTCATGAAAATTCCACCACAGTTCTTCGTCTTGTTACTCCCGTAAGTGACTGATGCATTGCAAAATCCTGATGCTAACAGCTTGTGGAATACAGTCAAAATTGTGCGATATGCACGTGTTAATACTGAGGACTGGATGCTGGACATCGTCTTCTCTCACGATACCGCAGGACACAGAACAATAGGGATCTCGACCAATCCATAAAGCACTTCAAACGCGCCTATGATCTCTGCCCCACGGATCATCTCTGCTGCCCTGTAGCACTGTTCAATCTAGCCACCGCGAAGTTTGTTAGTTGCCAAACTAGTGGGTCATACCCTGACCTCGACGACCCTATCTCACTCTTCCAAGACGCCCTTGATTTGCGTCCCACTGGTCATCCGGACCTGGCCCGCCACCCAACTCCATCTTGCCAGTGGCTCTGCTATCTCGTTTTGCGAAAGGGCATTGTCAAATAGATGCGGATGCAGCTGAAGAATCACTGAATGAAGTTCTCAGTACCTGTCACACCAACAGCCACGTCTACAGAGCGGCACTTCTGGTGGCTGAAACATCTGTCCTACACTCTGTTGGAAGTACAAATGCAAACCATGTCGGAACTGGAGGGAACAACTACACCCATGCTTCCGTGTTCGCTGGACGAACTATTTCAGTCGAGCGAACCTTTGTTTGCAGAGAGATGATCCACACGCCTTAGATGAAGTGATATCCCTTCATTACAATGCACTGGAATACTACAGCGCAATGCATGCTCTCCGAGGGCAATTGCTGTGTAATTTGGGTGTTATGCTGGACATTCGCTTCCAGCGTCGAGGCAACATCAAAGACCTCCACAAGGCTATTGCGCTTCACAGAGAAACGCTGGCTTTACGCCCTGTTGGTCACCCAGATAGGTCATTGTCATTAAATAACCTTGCCAATGGACTTTGCACCCGCTTCAAGCACCGAGGCCATGAAAAAGACTTGGATGATGCTATCGTGTTTCACAGGGAAGCCTTGACTTTACACCTGGTCGGCCACCCAGGGTCGGTCCTTGTCATTGAATAATCTTGCGGAAGACCTCTCCTCCCGCTTTGAGCACCAAGGCAATGACCAAGACTTGGATGAGGCTATTGTGCTTCACAGGGAAGCGCTGGCCTTGCTCCCCGTCGGTCACCCACACCGGTCCATGTCATTAAACAACCTTGCAAAGGGACTCGCTGTCCAGCTTCGAGCACCGAGGCAATGACCAAGACTTGGATGAGGCTCTTGCATTTCACAGGGAAGCACTGGATTTGCGTCCAGTGGGTCACCCAGATTGATCCATGTCATTCAATAATCTTGCGAACGTACTCTCCTTCCGCTTCGATCACCGAGGCAACGATCAAGACTTGGATGAGGCTATCGCACTTCATAGGCAAGCGCTGGCTGTGGGCCCGGTCGGTCACCCAGATCGGTCCTTGTCATTATATAACCTTGGGAATGGACTCGCCATCTGCTTCATGCACCGAAGCAATGACCAAGACCTTAATGAGGCTATTGTGCTCCAGAGGGAAGTGCTGGCTTTGCATCCGGTCGGTCATCCAGATCGCTTGGAGTCATTCGATAACCTTGCAAATCGACTCTCCACCCGCTTCGAGCGCGGAGGCAATGGCCAAGACTTGGATGAGGCTATTGCGCTTTCCAGGAAAGCATTGGCTTTGCGCCCCGTCGGTCACTTGTATCGACCCAACTCATTGCATAACCTTGCAGCTACGCTCTGCACCAGCTTCGAGCACCAAGGTCATGTCAGAGACCTCAATGAATCACTAGAGAATCTCCACCGTGCATTGGCCCTGTTGACACAACATGATCCACGTCGATTGACAGTCCATCGGTCCCTAGCTACTGTCTATCTGACGTCCCATTGATCAGGACTTCACGGCACTGGCGAATATGTCGATAGTCTGAATGCAGCCATGCATCATCTCAAAGCAGCAGCACATGTTGTCTGTGGAGGTTTGCTATTTTGCCTCCGAGCAAGTCTACACTGGGTTCATCATGCTAATGAATACACACATGGCACTGAACTAGAGGCTTACGCAACTTCCATGCAACTTTTGGATGCTTACATGTCCGTGACAGCTTCAGTATCGTCTCGTCATAATGCCATGAAGGACTTCCCACACACACTTGCCATGGATGCTGCATCATGCGCTCTTCGTAGTGGGGATGTGTGCCTGGCTGTTGAGTTGCTGGAACAAGGCAGGACTCTCATCTGGACCCAGATGACACGACTCCGCACGCCTCTCGACAGCCTCGAGAAGCGCGGTGGTCATGCAGAGGCCCTGGTGAAGAAATTCCGAGACATCAGCTCCCTCCTTGATAAGTCTCCTGCAGAATATCGAGAAGAGACTCCAAGAATCAATGTGGAAGCAGAAGCTGCCCGGTATATGCGTCTAGTGGAAGACTGGAATAAAGCTGTGGAAGAGATCTGGAAGCTCGAGGGTTTCTCTCTGCTTCCTGCTCCCCCCCTTGTTCTCCGAACTCCAAGATGCAGCTCGTGATGGGCCTATCATTCTTCTCGTTGCAAGCAAGTCATCTTGTGACGCCATCATCATCCTGCACAAGCAACCTCCAATTAGCATTCGACTCCCTACCAATTTAGAAAAACTCGTACGATTAGTTGCTGCGCTCCAACACGCAGCTCAAAAAGACGGTGGTCCTAAAAGGGCCCAACCAGAGCTGATAAAAGCTTTACGGAAGTTATGGGGCGAAGTTGTCCATCCGGTAGTCAATAATCTGGATGGTTTTGCACGACGAGGATCCCGATATGGTGGTGCCCCACTCAGGCCTTCAGTTTCTTGCCATTGCACACTGCTGGCGAGTACAGGGAACATGGAAAGTCCCTTTCACAACTATATGTCTCTTCATATACACCGTCGCTTACTGTGCTGCTGAGGGCTTGCAGAAGTCATGAAAGGTCCCTTCCAGTGTCGTTTGCTGCCATTGGTCAGAATCGCCCAGAAGGAGCTTCATTTACTTTGGAGGGTGTGGAGCCTGAACTGGAATTGGTTCAGAGTCTTTTACCCCCTCCCCCAACTGTTTCCTTCACCAAGATTACGAGTATTGATGCAACGAAGTCAAGAGCATTGTGCGCATTGCGGGATAACACTTGGCTCCATTCTGCATGTCACGGGACACAGAAACATGATGAACCTTTCAAGTCGGCAGTTTCTCATGCGTGATCAACCACTTTCACTCCTCGATATCATACAAATGGATCTGTCTCGGCATGAATTTGCATTTCTTTCTGCCTGTGAAACTGCAGTTGGTACTCCATATACTCCTGATGAAGTGGTACACCTGGCAGCTGGCCTACAGTTTGCTGGGGTGAACAGTGTAGTTGGGACATTATGGAAAGTCAACGATACAACTGTGGAGCGCTTAGTCGAGGCATTCTACAAGAACTTTTGCGGGGATGGCACGACGAACTCAAAAGAGCTGCCCGATCGCTGCACTGAGCGGTCCAGTCGTTGGCTTGTGACAAGGACATACCTTTGGACCAACGCATCGTGTTCATGCATATTGGCGTATGATCAACTTTGTGCGTCCTCCCTTATTGATTACTTGAAACAATCTGATGACTTCACGTGTAGCATCCTGCCGTCACTACACGTAGCCTATTGCATAAAAACAATTCAGATTTTAGGACTACACCTAATCTCGATTTCTGCTTGTATTTCCCAGTCTATTGCCTCAGGGCAGCAGGTGTCCGCTCCTAACGTGTGGGTAAGAACAAAGTTCAAATGTTTGAATACAGATCCAGTATCATACACCATAGCAGCAAGACATACTTGTGATGGATATAAAAATCGTGTCTCTGAATTGCGCGACCAGCACCAAAAGCATCTAACTATGTGGTATTTCCGTGTGGCCAAGATAGCCTAAGATGGCGGAATGCCGATGCGGATCATTTCACGGGTTCGCAAGATGTTGTTGTCTGGCAAGTAAGGGCTTGGTGACATGCTCGCATGGACACCGATGATGATTCATGACTGGATAGGCAGCGAGATGAGGCATATAGTACATGGCACACAGCGAGCTAAATCATCGAGACAGCGGGGTACAGCAGGTACGACAGCAGATATTTCTGCTCGTTTGTGATCAGAGATAAATCCTAGTCCACGAGATCCCAGCAATTCATTGATCGTGGAGGAATACGAGTCGAAGAAGCACTTAGTATCCGAGAATAATTGTCTGAGAGATCTTACATCACAGTAAGAGCGCCCATGAAACCCATCGTATGCCGCAGAAAGTCAGTGGTGGAAGAGCGAATCAAGAAATGTAGTACTAAATCCCGGCATGTATAAATCGGGTTTCGGCACTTGCCGGTCCAGCAACTTACGTGGAACTAGTTGGTAGTACTGCTAGTGTACCTTCGAGAAACAAAATTCATAATCCTCAGTTGTTCGATGCTCTTTGCCTGGTTTTGCCTCTGATATTCGGTCATCGTCATGCCTTGTCTTTCGCTTAGAAAGGCGATTACGCTCTTCGTTCTCTTTGCTACTATTCTCGAGAGTTCATTAGCATCGATACTAGCAGTTGACTATGGGTCGGACTGGATTAAGGCTTCGCTAATGAAGCCTGGTGTGCCCTTTGACGTGCTACTAAACAAGGACTCCAAGCGGAAGATACAGTCCTCAGTCGCATGGAAGAAAGACGAAAGATTATTTGGGTCTGACGCGGCGAACATCGTGAGTACTGTTCCCCACAACATTCTGCCCTTGGTCTGACTGGACACAGGCGTCCCGTTTCCCTCAAGACTCATTCTCATCCCTAAAATACCTACAAGGCGCACCATTCAACTCTGATATCGTCACTTATTTCACCTCCATATCCACTGCTCAGATTTCTGAGACTGACCGCAAAACCGTTGCGCTGAAACAAAGTGATGGCACGGAATGGAGTACGGAGGAGCTCGTCGCGATGCAGCTATCATATATCAAGAAACTTGCCGAGGATTTAGCAGGCGAGCCGGTAAATGAGGTCATTCTCACCGTTCCACCGTACTTCTCCCAGTTCGAACGCGACTCGATTACAGACGCGATAGAAATTGCAGGACTCAGAACCCTGGCATTGGTCAATGACGGCACGGCTGTAGCAGTTAACTACGCTATGACAAGGACCTTTTCGACCACGCCCGAATACCATGTCATCTACGACGCCGGCGCGTCTTCGACACGTGCCACTGTGGTTTCATTTGCTGCGGTTGAGGATCCAAAGACGAAGGCATCACACACGCAGATAAACGTTCTGGGTGTCGGGCATGACCGAAATACGGGTGGAACAGAGCTAGACTTGAGGTTGCGGGATATTTTGATAGACAGTTTTATGTCAAAGCACCGGCGGGATATCCGAAAGGACAAGCGCGGTATGGCTAAACTTTGGAAGGAGGCTGGACGCGTCAAGGCTATCCTCAGTGCCAACTCGGACGCCATGTCGACAGTAAGCAGCTGCCTAAACATAATGTGTGGTTTCGATGCTCACAGTGTTCAGGTAGAGAGTGTTGCATTTGACATTGACTTCAAAACCAAGGTTACTCGCTCGGAATTTGAGAACGCTTGTAAAGACCTCCACTCGCGCTTTGCAAGACCCATCTACGATGCGCTTGCGAATGCTGAGCTTTCATCGGTACGCATGCCCGTGGGTTATCTTGCAAACATTGTCTGACGCAGTTACAGGAAAATATCTCATCTGTTATCTTGACGGGCGGAAATTCACGCACGCCCATGGTCCAGGCCGCTGTAAAAACAGCTGTTGGCGAGTAAGCATTCCATTTTTCTTTTTGGACAATTGGTGTTTACATGTTTTATTAGAGATCGCATTGCACTCAATGTCAATGCTGATGAATCTGCCGTGCTTGGCGCAGCGCTTTATGGAGCTTCCCTCTCCCGCCAATTCAAGACAAAGGACATTCGTGTAACTGATATCCTAATACACGATATCCAGGCGTCCTACCTCGCGTCTAATCCAGGCACGCGAACGATTCATACGGCAGTCCTGCCTGCTGGGTCGAAGCATGGTGCAAGAAAGACTCTGACGTTCAAGCGTAAAGAAGATTTCTCTGTAGTACTGAATTATCCCAATGAAGTCATGTCGTGCGTGTTCCGTACATACAATGTTCAAATTCTACTAACCTTGTTCATAGTGGCTTCCCCCGCGAGATCCTCGAGGCGAAGATTGTTGGCATATCCGAGGCCATCGATAATCTCACTGAGCGCGGCGCAATCGATCCAGTGATCAAGGCCACTGTCGTGCTTTCCGAATCTGGCTTTGTGTCTATCGGAGACGCCATAGCCTATGGCGAGATTAAAGATGACTCCATCACTGGTACGTAACTTCTCTTTTTCCTGTTCTTGATCATGAAATTCGAATAGGGAAACTGAAAGGCCTATTTGGAGGTGGTGGTGACCAGGTACCATTAGAGACTGACGTCGATGAAGGTGCCTCAAAGGACGAGAAGATGGAGAAGGACAAGAAGGACAAGGCCAAGAAGCCGCTTGGGAAGGACCGAAGTACTATTCCACTTGAGATCGAAATTGTGTACAATTTCCAGGGTCCACTGAGTCTTATGGCAAAACGGGCTGCTCGTGAACGGTACGTTTGCATTGTCTGTGCTCATAAGACTGATCGGAATCATGCTGCGACAGTCTCAGGGCATTAGACAACATGGAGATGTCGAGGCAGCTTCGGGAAGAAGCGCATAATACTCTTGAAGGATACCTGTATAAGCTACGGGATCTCTTAAATGATGGTCCGGAAACGCCATTCACGAAATGCTCTCAGCCATCTGAGAGGCAAACACTTTCGAACAAACTCTCGGAGACTATTGCATGGCTACATGAGGAAGGAGACACTGCTGATACATTGCAGCTATGGGAGAAGCGATCATCTCTCGAGTAAGGGTCTTCTGTTGTGAGAAAGGCTATTCAATTACTTACCATTTCTGGATAGGACTCTGGAGAAACCAATCGTACACCGCTACAAGGAGATCGAGTCTTTCCCACAGGCACTGAATAACTCACAAAAGTGGAACTGGAGTACTAGATTATTCCTTACCCAAGCAAGGGAGAACATCACGGCAGACGCCATTGCAGGTGTTCCTTCGAAGTGGACGTCCGAGGAACTTGATGTGCTCGAGAAAGCACTCAAGGAGCATGAAAGTTGGCTTCATGATGGCGTTGAGCGGCAAAAGAAGACAAAGATGAATGAAGACCCGGCGATAGACACTAAGGAGATGCAGCAGCGAGCGAAGACGTTGGAGCAGCACCTGCAAAGATTGGTGAAGAGAAAGGTACCCAAAGTCAAAAGACGCCCGCGAAGTCTGGTGACGCTAATGGATCGTCATCCACTGAACCAACGCAGGCCCCTGGGGATAGACAACCAGAACATGACGAATTGTAGATGATACTCATACTAATTATTGATGGAATAGATGGAGTTTGCGTCACGTCTGTTGATCTCTATGTATATGCACAGCTGTGCTCAAGTGGGCATTCTGCTGCGGGTATGTGTGTTTGTTGGTGCTTGCCAAGGGCCAAAGTGGCCTATGATACAACCATCCGCCGGTGGTACAGCTTTTATCAATTTGTAGATATCTCAGTCCCTTCCTCCACCAAGAGTGATCATCGCCGTTTACCTATCGGAATCCGACTCCTTTGTTCAAACTTGGTCGGCCGTGCCGTGTTCAGAACTCTCAATATCGGCTGTGACCCATGTCCAAGCGGAGCTACGATAGCAGTGCTCACGAGAAACGCATTTCCAAGTATCGTGTCAACGATGACGATTTGTTCGAGTACGTATGCTAATCAGTCAACATCGGCCATTTCATGTAATTGACTGTTTTCGGATCCGCGACATAGATATGTCCTTCGTGTAGCGTGCGTACCCTTGCTCCGCGTACCAGTACCAATCTCACGCATTTTATGTCATCTGCAGTATCCTCAGCTATGTCATCCAGCCGAAAGTATCAAATCATCACGCTAACACCTCCGAGGCAAAGGAGAAGGAACATCATTCAAAATTCTCAGGAGCCATATCCAACTCCATTGTATCCATAGGTGATATATTCAAGGACCTCAGGGATGGGTCGAAGAGTGTCAAGTTTCCAGAGAAACTCCTCAAAGTCTTGGAGCAGAGACTGCAGAATATAGCAATGGGGAAAGATGCTGCGTCCGTGGCATAACTGTGCTGTGCTCTAGGACTATATACTGACGCTAAGGTCGCAGGTATTCTGACCAATTAACAAGGCGAACTATGGCCGTTTTCTATGGACAGTTCATGGGGGACCCTTTCAGAAGGCAGATGAAGGAAAACAGGAGCATAGAGGAGTTGATCTTGATGTTTGCTTCACAAGCCACCAGCGTGCTCAGGAAGGAGCCCACACTCGCTGATGATGGATGGAAGGTTGAGGTGAACAACCAAATTGCGCAGTTCGTGAGGATGCTTCGGGATTGCTTGAAGACTCTCAGCCATGTTTCGCCCGAGCTCAATTCACGCCTGGATATGTATCACGCCAAACTTGCGCCGCCGCAGCCTTCGAATGATTCGGGGTACGACTCCGCATCCGTGTCGCGGGATTCCATCAGTACACAGCCGAGCATCAGCCAAAGCGTTTCAGATATGCCCTTTGTGATGATTGTGGCACGCCTGTTCAAGATTCCTGAGAGCGCCATGCAGAGCGAGGTGGATCGGATGCGGAAAACATGTACAGAGAAGGTAAGTGATGTCCTCCCAGCGGATCTTGCTACTGAACATCAGTAGGCTGCTGTTATAGACCTCAAGGTGAGACGACAGGTAATAGGAGAGAGATGTATTGACCGTGCACGTATCGCAGACTTGCCTGAAGAATATCAATGCTGGCGCGCCATTCCCTGGTAGAAGGGAAGACTTCAGCAGTGATACTGCGTGGAATCATTGGCGCACTCAAGAAACCTCGATTCTCTCCCAGCTCATGGTAGCGATGATGTCGCTTAATCCCGAACTTGCTAAGTCCATGCCTTCAGACAATGGTTCCATCTATCCCACATCGGGGGCTCGTCCAAACTCTACTCGTATCGACTCTCCTGGTGGAACGAAGCGACATACTTCGATTGGGAGCCGACACTCGTTCTTCGGAGCTGCAGATGAAGGTGAGGAGGACGGCGACGACGAGGGGGACGACGGCGATGAGATTCGTGTTGGCCACAATTTTACGTTTATTCCGCCAAATCCCAAGAAGTTCTACAGGCGTCTCGTCGAATACTGTCTCGTCACGGATCTAGAGTTCATGTTCAGCCCCGAAGTGGACGATGCTGATGAAGTTCCCTTGAGTATCCTCAGTCCTCCTCACGTGGAACTTATAAACGAGTGTGCGATGCGTTGGCGCATAAACCATACGTATCGTGTAACAGTGTTTTTTGGATCAGATCAAGCAACTATATGAGCGTAGCGACGTTCCCATGGAGTGCATACCAGAGGCCCTGCAAGGCATCACGAAGTTATTGCAAGATCTCGAGATTGACAAGTGGCCCATCCATGATGTGCGTGGTTAATCCACATGATCTAACCTCTCGCTGAGTTTCTTCATAGTCAGAATTATTGGCATCCATCTATGGTGGACTTTACAACATCTTCCTCTCTTCTCTATATCACGCCGTGGATGCTTTGCCGAACCTAAAAGTCAGCGTGGTTCAGCCATATCTCACTGTTCTCGACCACGTACGGGAGAGTGGACTCATCGAGCGTTTTGAGGCAGATATCAGTGCCCGTTTGGCAGACTTGACGACTCGTATACAAGATGTGTCAGTCCAGTATTATCAAGAGAAGATGCAATCTTTGCAAGCAAGCCCCGGAGTCAACCGGGCGTTACCATTGCTGCTGATGACGGACGAACTGGAGAAGGCAGCCAAACAACTGGACAAGCGATTTCCTGATCCCCTTGTTGGGTATGACCTTGCACGAAGCTTGACTTCGGGATACTGATGTTATGTGCTTAGGGTGGTGGATTTAGTTTCTCTTGTGGTGGAAGCCCAGGTTCCACTGTTTATCAGCGAACTTCAGAACTCCTCGAAGCGTTTGTATGAATCGTCGATGAATGGTCCAACTCCAGATGTGCCTATACAAGACATATTTTCGCTCTACCGACGAACGCAAGCATTGCTGTCAATGTACAAGGCATTTGCTCCTCAGTGAGTGTTTTCACGGGTTTATTGCGAAAACCTTAATGTTTGCAAGGGGACAACTGGAGTTCGACCTTGGGCAGTTTTTCATGCCATACGTTCATCAATGGCTCGTCGACACGGACAATAAGACCGGCCAGTGGGTGCAAGCTGTAAGTCTCATTCACAGTCGCTGGGGTCAAGCTGAATGAGAGTTATCAGGCAATAGCGGCGGACAAGGTTCGTGTTGTGTTTGTATTCTCCCATTTTCCACTTAAAGCTGTTTTAGTTCGAGGCAGAGAATACAGAAGGGCACAGTGCATCTATCGTCGACCTCTTTGATTCCCTCCGTAGTCCAATATCTTTCTTGCAAGACCTCGAGTGGTCAGATGAGTATCAGGAGGCGAGATTCCTTACCAGTCTCTCCAAGGTGCTGATTCAGTGCATTTTTGTCACATGGCGTTTATTGACGGTGTTATCCCTAGACGATATCCAAGGCAATCGAGCAATACTGTCGCTCTGTCGAAGAGCTTTTCATGACAGAGATGTTTCCGCGCCCAGCGGACTACCTGCAGCCGCAGAAATCCTCTGCCTGGCTCGAGAGAGCCAAGTTGCTTGCAACGACAGGCGAGAAGAAAGTCGAACCATTCAACTTCCGCCCAGAGTCTTGCGTCAAGCTGAACAACGTCGAAGCTGCGCGGAAGCTTCTTGACAACCTATATAACCAGATACAGGTGGACAAGGTCGCTGACACGATCGCTAATCACGGGACCGCCTGTTCCCGACAAAAATGAGCGGGCGCGATTCCTGTTTGCTGTGAAGATTGTTATGGCAGAGGACTTGATACCACTTGATAGTAGTCCGTCCTCATTGCTAGACACCTTCGTGACGCTCAGCGACGAGGCTGGGAATCGCCTTGTAAAGACCAGGACGATTTATGAGAGCTTGAACCCGCGTTGTAAGTCTCCGTCAAAACTCTTGGACATGACTCACTTATATGGCGAAAAGGGGAAGAGACTCATGACATATCAGTCGACAAGCCTTTATGGTTAATGTGCAGTATACGTGATCGCGCGCTCGTGGGTCAACATGACGTTGTTGGCCGGTCCTTCATATGCCTCAATCCCAAGGAATTTGGCGATTTCTTGACCCACGATGTGTGGCTGAATCTTGAGAACACCAACCATGGTCACCAAGGGAGGATACTTCTTCGAATAAGTATGGAAGGTGAGAAAGATGACGTGCAGTTCTACTTCGGCCGGGCTTTTCGATTCCTGAAGCGGAGTGAGGGAGACATGATGCGGATATTCGTCGACAAAGTAAGCCGCCAAATACGATGCCTGGGCTCTTATTATAAGTCTCATTTGTTGGTAGATGTCACCATACATACGACAGTCACTGTCCCGACCTATCCTCAAAACCTTGATCAAAGCCGGATCTCTGGGGCTGGATTACAACAAGGCACTTGGGAATGTCACAGCGCTCTATCGCTCCGCACTGGGCTCTAACGCCAGTGAGGTGCAGGTACCTCTTCCTCAGAACGAGAAATCTCGCGTTCGGCCCGAGGAACTTACTGACGTGGAGATTGAGCGCGCGATCATTCCTCTGTTCGATTATTTCGACGCCAACCTTCATATTCTCAACACCTATCTTAGCGAGACCGCAAAAGATATGGTGATGATGAGGGTCTGGAAGGAGATCCTGGTCGTAATAGAGGGTCTGCTCATACCGCCATTGTCCAAGCTCTCGAGCGACATGAAACCACTCAGTGACAAGGAGGTAGACATTGTTTTCAAGTGGTTGAAGGTGCGTGTAATACTTTTGTGCACGTATATTCCTGATGGCTTCAAACTAGTTCCTCCGCGATTATTTCTATGCGGAAGGCGAAGGCGTTCCGCTGGAAAAGCTACAAAACCAAAAATATCGGGATGTTGTCTCCATTCGCTTGTACTATGACTGGCATACGTACGCAATCTCGTTTCATGTACTGGTAACGACGCTTCATTTTCCTTGCAGGGATACTCTTATGGAAGAGTGCGTGCGTGCTATGCAGCAAAGCTTGCGTGAAGCTGTTCCGGTCAAGAAGCGCGTGAAGAGTGTCTATAACCAGCGGAATCTAGGGACCATCAAGGAGCGCAAGAAGGTAAAGAAAGAAGAGAAGGAAGTCTCGAACGGTGAAACTATCATGAGAATCCTTCGCATGAGGTATGCATTACACGTCTCTGTGAGCATCAATCCTGACCGAGGTACACAGACCAAACACACAAGAGTTCATTACCCAGCAGCTTGAAATGATGACGACTGTGCAAGCCGAGCGCGAACGCACACAAGCTGATAAACAGCAGCGAAGATCTCAACGACCGCGGCAGTCGGAAATTCCTGAAGTTCCGCCGTTGCCCTCCGCTGCCTCGTAGCCTTTGTATATCACAACCCGTATACCCTACAGGCCATTTGTGTCATCTGTTGACGTATCTTAGGATGGGACGATGTGTTTACCTGTGTGTCCAAGAATTGAATTATTACGAACTCTCTAGTAGAGTGGACAATAACTGACGTACGAGAGGCTGCGGAAATTATACTTGGATCCAGAAAGTGCAGTCTCAAACGTACAACGTAATGCACATCCCGTCTATACGCATCGAGATCAATGTGATGTAAATCCTTTTGGTGAGTCATATTGAAACATGGAGACACGACCAACTTGTTCTTTTCGGATGAGTTGTGATCACGGTGAGGTAATGTGGTGGTCAAATGATCAGAGTGCTGGGGATTAACCAGGGGATTCCACACCGGGGCATTCATGAATCTAGAGGTGCGGGGGGGGCACAGGGGCCCCCAAGACTAGATAGTATTGTCTTACATAGAGTTACACTCTCAAAAGACAAAAATCTGGATTTTTTTAGAAAAAAAAAAAACCACGGGATTCCTCAGTATAATTTGTATCTGTTCGATGTACCTGAAATGTAGTCCAGTGCTCCCGCGACTGGCCAGAGTAAGTATCATGCTTGAATGTCTCACACCATCGCGGTCCAATCGCGGCGCTTCAACGTTATCAATCTAAGCGCGCGACTTGCCTTATTTAGCGAATGTTATACTCGTTCACAGCCTCAGGTGGTGCATTGTTTGTTTTTGCAGAAGTTGTGACTCGTGCATGTGAAAGGTCACCCACACGGTGTCCACAGCGACGGTGACCCTTGCGAGGACAATGGCTCTTTATTTTCCAGATCAGACGCTCTCCTGTACTTGGATTGGATCAAAAGCAGGCCTGTGGCCAGTGGAAGTTTCAGGTTATTTCACTCCGCGTCCTTCTGTCCACTTCAGCTGCCATTAAAGGCACTAGCGTTCCCTTTTTCTTTCTCTGTTGCTGGTCATCTTCTGCTTTTGTAGCCTTTAATTCTTCTCTAGTGATTGGCCGTTTAGTGTCACCCTTTTGTTGCGTCTACATTGCCCGCGATGCTACCCGCCAAAGCTTGTGAGTCGCTGCCATCCAGGAATGTACTTGCGAGTTAACAGGATGATGACTGTCAGATGTTTTCATCAGTCTTAATGCTGTCCGCGCTGTCAGCATTATCGCCCTTCTTTTAGTTTTTTCCAGCAGCATCCTGGTGATGGTTGATGATATCGAGGCAGTCAATGCATTTGTCAATGGCGGGAGTAACTCAAACTCCACAACTAACTATGACTACATCCAGTAAGTTCTTTGGGTGTGTCATCGCGAGTGTACTCAATTTGCTGGCTAGAAATAGTACAGTTCCTAATCAGCCAGCTGGCGTGTTCTGGGCAGTATTGAATCGGCTGTTGATCATTGTACAGACCGTCGTCTTGATTCTTTCAGAACTAGGTATGATATTGGCAACAATGTATGAGTATTCGTCATCTCAACCTCTCAAGGTTGGCCTGCCGCGTTCTTTGATCACTACTTCCCCGTTCTCGGGAGCAACTTTGGAGTAGGTGCTCTGGGAGTGATGCAATGTCTGTAAGTTGATAAGCCTATCCAATCGGTTTCTTACCAACTCATCCGGTATATCAACAGCATCGGAGCTTCTGTTCTTTCTCACTTTGTCAAAGTCTTCCCCCTCGTCTCTGGTTTCTTCCTGTTTTCTATTGGCTGTCTCAACATTTTGATCGGCCTTATCTTCCGAGAACATGTCAAGTCTACGCGTTCCATATTGTCTTTCCGGGACCGAGCAGAGGATGTGTTGTCATCGTTCGATAAAATTAAGGAAACACCGTTCAGCAAGTATAGGACGGATCGAGACGCAGAGATGGGTGCGTGACAAGATTCGAGTTTGCACAGGCATCACTGACTTTTACTTGTTGTAGGCCTGAGCGTCAAAGAACCGGATGCTGCGCACACTCACACTTAGCTGTGTTATTGATGCCGTCATTCCCCAATTCCCGCCAGTTTTTAATACAAGTGATCAATGTCCGATGTGCTCTTTGGTACTAGAAATGTATTTTCTTTGTCTATCTGTACGGCTTGCACTGAACTGTGAATCTATGCCTGTCCACCCCGGTGGCAGAGTACGAGTTAGCATGACAATCGGAAGTCCACCGACCCCCAAATATAAGAAAGAAGCTTATGACGAAAATGTCCAACATAGGGTTTACGACCCCAACGAACTCAATCTGAAGCAAAAAAAAAAAACTGTGAATCTAATCAATACCAAGATATGACTCTTGACGTCACTCTCGTACGTACTCATCCTTTTCTTTTACATACCCAACCACTCCTTGTTACACGCCTCATACACGTTCACCTTTGATTCTCCGTCTCAATGAGCGTATTAATTCCTCTCTCCGTCGAATATTCTCCCTCAGTCTTTGATCCAAGACTGAGTCCCTTTCCCGTTCCCAGTCCGAGCCTCTTCGTTCGTAAGACCCAACGTACTATCTATGTCATTGAAGAAGCGGGAAGTTCTCATGGTATTTTTAGAGCAACGGATCCTCCCAAATGCGGGCTGCAAGCGTTTACGCTTTAGTCTGTGGTCAACGATAACGACCGCATCGCCCACCGCATGATCTCAATGCATAAATGGTACATTAAGGTCCCAAACAAAAGCTTGGCATTTGGCAGTCCTCTGAGTCATTGGGCCAAGGAAGACCGCCAACTGAAAACTTTGGGGCGCTGTGCTGGTCAGACACCTGAGCTCCCCCTCTGACATCAATACATCCTGTCCTAGACTCATAATACCCCATACCACCAACACATTCATCAAGTAGATGAGCATCTCTCGCACTATCTTAGACTTCGATTTTGGCAATGCTTGACGTAGTCTAGCCGTCGCGATTTTATGAGTCCGTTGAATAATATTTATTACAAAATCTGTGCCTTAGGAGACGTATGCTATGCCTTTGCAAATCGAAGAGAAAATGGCCTCCCGGGCGGGTGGCATCGGTGTGCACACTGAGGACCGCTCATGGACTTCCTAGGGGTTCCGTATCATACATCCAGTATTTGTAGCAGATTGATCCATTAGTACGAACCGCCGATGGTAACCTAGACACGCTGCGAAAAAAAGAATTGCTCTCTTGATCAAATCTGTACTACTGGATCCATCCTGAGGCGCTCCGAAGTTCGAGATACCAGCTGTGCTCATAGCAGCGGATTAATTCGGCGATGCGACTTCACCTTGGCATCTAGGCCTCATACCGTCGTAAAAGATCAGTCCTTGGAGTGCAGTCACGAAGCATTACATTTTTTCACATACGTTGAGCTGGAAAAATACTACTGGAACACTAATGTAATACAATCACAGGTAATGTACAAAGAAACTGGACGTCCACATATTGGCGATGGAGAAGGGGGGTATGCTTGCACAGGTATAGAGAGCGGTCAGCATGTCCGCAGAATGGTGATGAACGTCGTTGAAGAACGACGACGTGAAAAGGAGCAGAGGGCAACAAGGTCGTCGTAACGCCACGAAAACCCCGAGAAGGAATACGTGGCACTGGTTTAACCAAAAGCGGTTTGATCCCAGCTTGAACACTTCCTTCCGATAGGTCCAACCATTTGGATACGAATCAGTCTTCCTCCGGAACTTCGTAAATACTGGACAATGAAAGTCGGCGACGTGGAGTCATGAGACTCGCGCTGCTCCTACGACGGCGGTGGCTGCGCTTGGAGGGAAGGGGTATGGAGCTTGACGGTGAATGAATGTTGTTTGACGGATGCGAGGTAGAGACGGATGAAATAGACAAGTCGTCGGATAAAGACGACATGGAAGATGACGGAGATGAACTATAAATGACGTAGGGTTCTTCCTCTTCTTCGCCCGATGATAAAGAGAGGGATGATGCAGTAGCAGTCAAGCGGGTAACATCACTATTTTCTGGCATCGGTGATGATGCTGCAAGACTACCGGAACAGCCAAAGGACATCTGAAAATCGCGTTAGTGACATAATTCATAATAATCCGCAGTGACGATCACCAACCACATCCTGCCGTGCACTGGTTGCTCGAATCCACTCAGCAACGCGACGTGCCCATTCTCTCTTTTTCAGAAACTCGATCCGTTCCTTCCTCTGCTGCGCGGTTTCGATGAAATGTTGCTGTCTTCCGCGCACATCATACGGAGGGGAATAAACAGGGGTCGTGACTGGATGTGATGAAGCGACTAGGAGATCGTTGACAGGGTATCCTGCATCATATAATGGGGACATCGTAGAAATCTAGAGTGGGTCGGTCTAGATAATGATGGTAATCTGAAAAGGGTGGAAAGTTGTGTACGAGGGTTGTCTCTGATTATATATGACGGCATGAATCGTGGTCTAGAATGTTTTCCAGAAGCGGTTCAACCTGTCTCGGATTAGTCAACGTAAATTTCATTTATGAATCCTATTCATTTTCGTAAAAGGCATCATCCGAATCGGATCCGTTCAATTATGGTCGACCCGAGCGTCTTGGAAAATGGACTACTAAGGCCTATTAGCACATACTAGCTAGTAGCTGAAGCGAGCTCAAGAAGCTGGAAGTTGTACGATCTTACGCGGATCACAAAAGCTGGACCGGCAGGCGCCGAGAAAGATGGGGAAAAACACGTTCCCGGCTCTTGCCAGCACTCCCCTTAATATAATAGTCCGACATGCATCGTGTGCTTGACACTGCTTTATAGTTCAGGCTCACCGTAATCACAGACCCAGTCATCTGACCATATTCTTTCGCGTCCGCGGTGATACGGCAAAACCCATTTTAAAGATATCAGAGGTGTGTTTCGAATCGGGCGAGAAACTGATCGGTGCCAAGAACCTAGTACTAACAATATGCAATCAGGTATGCCCCTCGTACCTTTCTTCTGCTCTGCTTTTAAGCCCTTCAGCCATGGCTATAAATCCCTTTTTCAGTCCATTCCCGACGAAGACCCTGATCAAATACGCGAGGAGCCCACCAAATACCTCAATCGTCTCATAACGTGTTTTGCCTCCCTCGATTTCTACGAGTGCCTGCCACCGTTCTGCGGTGAGTATCCAGTGTGGCATTTCGATGTTCACCCATGCTGTACGATAATTTTCATGATCCAACACAGTAATCCGCTCGAACGCGGAGCTTGGCAACCATTTGCTGTCAAAGGACGGAGGAATATGCACCGGGTGGATATAAAGGTAACACCCTTCACGTGGAGTATCGTCGGGCAGGTAATTCTTCCGCGCGTCTGTGATGCGCTGGTCTCGCCTTTCCACGTTATTCACATCAACAGGTACGCAAAGGATATGGAGAGCATAGCTTACACGAACGGATTCCTAAATTCCCGAGTCAGTTAGGTGATAGAATGGAGAGTGAGACCTGCAAGTCATCGTCAAGTGCGCAGCATTTACCATTCCTTGTATGACTTCCAGTCCATCAATACTTCCCACACTACTTCGCGAGGCGCATTTATAAGACATGAAGACGAAACTGAGAAGACGCCTTTCGAGGAAAGTGGGGGAAGACCAGTTCTAGACGCCATGAGATTTCAAGTAAGCCGCTATGTAGTACTAAGGACAAAGTTCGGAGAACACCAGCAAGTTGGTTACTGTCGGGTAACGTCACTGTAAATTATGTAAGCACAAATGATTGAATATAACACATCGGAGGTTTGGACATTTTACCTCTTGCAAAATTTCAATCAAAAGCAGATCTAGACCTGGCCTGGAACGCTCTGGAGCGCTCTAGATTGCATTTCGAATGTGATTTCACTAGTGGCAAAATGTGGTAAAATGTTGAAACCCCCGCTGTGTAACAGTCGGCAACCCCTCTTGCATCCAAATTCTGTTTGACTCCTATCTCTTACTAATTCTTCCAATGTCTCTCGACAACGATACATACAGCACGACCACCCCCACCCTATTAGATAACCTTGCATTTAAAAGCGCTCTTCTTAGCATGATGAGTGACACTGGGCCGGACTCGGAGACGAACGACGAGCTGAAGCATCGTGCCCAGTCCGTTCTTTTGGACATGGGATCCACGATAACCCCAGTTGGCCCGCACGGGGTTAGGACATATGACCTATTGTACGCAATGATTGAGGGTTCAGAAAAAGCCGGTTTGTTGAGCGGTGTACGCTACGCAGCGGCTGCCATCATAGTGGCCTATCAAAAGGGAGAAGCGTTCAACTCCTCTGCATCAGAGTTAATCAAGTTGGCGAATGATTGGTTTTTCTTCTTCCTCTGGCCTTGTATGTTGTCTTCTTTGTTCACAAGCTGCTGCTCATGGTATGAAAGTCAGGAGAGCCTTTAGATCTGACGACTTTCCACAATCAGAGTCCTCCGAGTCCACCCCAATTCTCCATGCTTCCGAAGACGTCGCTGACGCTGTGCCTGTGACGCCACGAGGGTCTAAATTCCGGAATTTGGTATGCTGCAGCGTTCCGCCTCGTTGTTTATCTAAAGACCGTCTAGATTAGCGAACGAGACGACAAGTGTGTAGTCACCGGAACTTTTAATATACAGAAAGGTCCATATCCCCCCGGTACCGAGGGTCGTGAAGGGCTCCTCCATGCTACTTACATACTCCGAAGATCCATTGCTCACGAGCGTTCCGGAAGTAATGTATGTTCTTCAACTGTCAAGTTGCTGTATCCGTTCAGCTGATTTGTTCACCAGCGCATCGCAGGGAACGATCGACATAATTAAGCACCTTATCAAGCTCCCTGAAAATATCATAGACGACCTAACTGGTATCATCGATAACCCAGAGAATGGAATGTTGCTTGATATGACAATGCATGATACACTCGACATCTACATGTGGTGCCTACACTCCACAGTATGGTTAGGTTTTTGTCGTGAAATTTAGATACTTATGCCCTTGACAGGATGTCTTGCACAAGTATAAATTGCACTGGTTCCGTCCCATCCCTATGTGTATGGAGAATTTTACAGAAGTCCATTTCCAGGATCACTCTCAAACTGGCATTCAGCTTCCTAACCCTGCGTACATTGCGCTCCATTCTGTGATTGCCCATGTCCTGCACCTCAGTGGTGCTGCAGAAGTCATAAACAAGGTTTATGATGCGTTCTTTGGTAAACTAGATCATACGGTGCCGTCTGAAAATCGTGCTAGCAAGGAAGATTTCCCTATCAGACTCTTGTTAATCGAGTTGACGACAAACAACAACCACCTCATGGATACACGCACCCTAATGAGATTGTTCCTCCTCGGGGCGGGTGAGTCTTTTCAATAAAACGCATCAACCAGACCGATATATCCGATGTCATGAGAGTCTTTTTGCTGATGAATATTTCACAGTGTTAATTAGGGGTTAGTATACGCCTAAATGTCATATATCACTTGATGTGAACTCAACCGAAAGCGGACTATTATTGTTACGTCAGCTTTTTTTTTCATCCAGACAGTTGCAAAGATCATAGTAGTCACTTATAGCGTTTGTGGAGGGCTAGTAAGACCTGGTTAAGACAACTCGGACGCGTTGTAATATGCCGTCTGCACTTGCGAGTCAGTTGGCCGCATCTGCATCTCTAAATGCATCTCTTCTCGACGCTCACACCAACAAACGGAGACGGACAGAATCATACCTTTTCACTGGTCGAGATGCCGACGTTCATGACCTCGACTCGATCCATGCACTCGCCAGCAATGCCTTCGCGCAATTGTCCTCATTGTCTCCTGCTTTTACTGCGCGAACCATAAAATTGGCTTCAGATGGGTCTTCTCTGTCTGTGGACTTTGACCAGACTTTATTTTCCGAGGCTGCAAGGGATGTCGACCGCACTATGCAATCTCGGGAAGTAAACACGAACCTCGATCGCACGCTGAATGCATTTCTATCATTGTTAGGACCGTGGCTCATGGAGGCACCTACAAGCAAAGTATTAGAGTGGCTGGTCAGGAGATTTCGGTATGTGTTTGTACCATCCTGTGAGCTCCTGCAACTGACAACGTCCTTGAAGCATCAATGAATTCAATGTCGATGCAATTCTTTCCCTCTTTTTCCCTTATCATGAATCCCCGCACTTTGTCAAAATGCTCTCGATCTTACACATATCGTGCGTTTCGTTTCGCTTCGTTCGTGCCGGTTTCATTTGACATCCGTTCTCAGCTCTTCTTCCATCTTTTCATTTCTGCTACCATTTAAATCTGCAGCAATGCCTCTCGCACGGAGCTCGATGGTCAAAGCCATGGCTGCCAATCAAGCGGTGGCAAGATTTATCGCATCATTACTTCCAACTGCGATGAGAGGTAAGAATATGTGTCCGAACTCACTCTTAGCCCAAAAATAACGCTTTTAGGCTCATGTTCTCATCGTACACTCGTGGCTTTCAATGCGGCCACAATGCACGACTATATCGCATCTTCGTCGGCTCTAGATGAAGGCATCGTCGCGTTTCTGCTGTCGGCTCTCCTCGCGCCGTTTCAGACTAGTCACAATGATGCCAATGCAACTGCAAGTCTCCCAAGTACGATGCCTTAGTATCACTGACATGATACCTTCCCTTAGCTTGGTAGTTACGTACTGCTTTCCACACTCTCGCATAAAGTTTCACTGTCATCTGCTGCCGTGGCTGCTATCGTTGGAGCAATGGCCACTTCAGCTGCTCCAAAGGGCAAACGGGATACGAAGGACAACAGATCTAGCGAACAATTTATCAAAGTCGCAATTGCAGTATGCTCACCTCAAGAGGAGCTTGGGGCTTTTCACGCCAGTACAGGGAATTTATGTCTAAAGATTCCGTAAGTCAACTTTGGGAATGACGACTATTTGACGTTGAAGTCGTGGTCGCAGCACATTTACGGAAGAACTTCGAAGTGCAGTTCAATTTGTTGGAGCGGAAAAGTTTATCTTGCCGCTCCTTGAATGTCTCAAGCCCCGGTGTGTACAGGCTAGCTTAACCATTGGGGACAAGGACTAATTATTTCCCAGACTCGAGGAGCCAGCTGTTTCCTCTCTTTACGCTGCAATTCTTAGTGCCACGGGTACCCCTCTGAGACTGCTTGAGCGTTTGGTGTCCTCGCTCATACGGCTAATTCTCGCTGGCAGCGACGAAGAGTCCGTCGCAACTTCAACGGCTAATGCTGCACGTGCTCTTTTGTCTCTCGTTCATCAACGTCACGTTGATATTCTTCGTGATGCCGTGGGTGAAATTATTGACGAAGGAGAGAGCGAGCACGAAGGCGACGATCAGCGAACGAAAAAGAAAGAGCGGAAGAAGAAAGCGGACGATTTGATGATCTCATTCTCAGTGGTAAGTTTCCTCAGCGTGTGTCATTACATATATTAAGTTAAGCACCTTTTCAGAGTCATCCGTGGGCTCAAAGCACCGATGTCAACGAGATTGTTGTTGCTTCAACAAGCTCCACCAAAGAGGCACGCGTTGGAGCTGTTGAACGGCTGTACAAAATTTTGCAAGGGGAGTTGACGCTCGAGGCATCTGATAGGGTAACGCTATCGACATTGTTGTCCCTGAATTCTTTTTGCTAACATCAGTATTTTAAGGCCTCAATACAGTCAGCTCTGCTCGCTCGCGTCTACGATATGCACGCTGGAGTTCTCCACGTGCTGTACTCTTCACCTGAAGTATTTCTCTCGACGGTGACTTCAAACATCACCCCTCAAAACTCCTGGATACCATCGTCTCGCAGATTATTCCAGGACCCACCAGCTCGCGCTGTTCTTATGCACACGTTGCTTTCCTCGCCGGTCATTTTAGCAAGACTTACCCGGAGTTATCACAAGCCGTACAAGAACGCGTACTATTTCCGTACCTGCTTGCCAGCAAACCAAAGTTCAGGACCTGCGCGGGGAGTGTGGAAGGCGCTGAAGGAAGCCGGGGGTACTACGACTGGATGGCTGAGAGCTTGTATGGACATCTGGGAAAAAGCTGACTTCTTCGTGGCAAGAAGGATGAGGATAACGACGATGCAGACGTGGACATAGAAAAAATTTGCGAGGTGAATCTCGATGTGGCAGCCAAAATTGCAGGTGCGTGCTCATTTTCCTGTGATGTCGTCATTTGCTTATTTTTTTTTGCAGAGAACATCCTTGCTTCCAATGACAGTTCAAGCGATATTTCCCTCATTCTCTTTAAGTTGCATGACCCCCTTGCCGCACGGTCGCGCCCTTGCCTACCTAGTCGTCCGCGTTTTGCTACTCAACGCGTCACGTGGTCAGCAGGTCGACATAGCCTTGCAGGCTCTGGCCGCCATGAAGTTGCACTCTGTTGACGGTTTCGGTGATCTTGCAGATAGCTCCGCGAACTTGGAAGAGGCATGACTATTTTCGTCCCCATCTTTGATTTGCTGATTATGTGACAGGAGGCTCAATGACGGTACACTGGGCATGAAAGTCGCGACAAAGCCTGGAGGAAGAATCACCGTGATGTTTCTTCAGGCGTCCATATTGGCGTTGATCCCGGCTGTTCGGCTAGTTGACGCACGTACACCTACTTGGATTACAACTTCATTGGTGCGTTTTCGAGCCTGACTGGTTTATCAGTCACTCACTTGCATGACTAGAGTGATTTGCCATCTGAAAAGAAGAGCATTGAAGACCGCTACGTTGTTCTCATGCAAAACCTATACGCTGTCGCTGTCGCTTCTGGAAATGCCAGCTCCATCGCAGTTATCTACTCATCTCATCCAGTCACTCTTCCTAAATCTGAGAGATACTTCTCTTATGTTCTTGCTTGGCATGCCTTCTTGCAGCGATCTCCAGCCTTGGAGCGCGTGCGAACCCGTGCTCTCTTGCATGCTTTAGCGTTCTTACGCGGGCACAACTCTGACAATGCTGTCGACTTTCAGACGGTATTGCCTTCGTTCATAGCGGTGCTCATGGATGCGCGGACGGACAAGCAAGGACGTACTTTGATATTCGAGTGTATCTCGGTATTGGCGTCTACCTCGGAGAGGAAACATGTCTATGGGCTGGACACTATATACGGAGCAGAGTCCAGTAAGTTTCCTACGCCTGTTATACACTACCCGACCTTACGGGCATTTCACTACTTAGCGCACCTTCAATACCTTGACGCAAAGGATCTCGAGACCTATTTGAAGGCTCTCCTCGAATCTCCGCACTCTCCTTGCGCAAGACGGCAATTATATCAAAGTATTCCACCAACAACACTTTGCCTACTGCTAGTGCAAAGTATGTTTGTCTCGTAACCATGTATGACTTTTTATTTATTTTCTCTCGACTCAGATACAGGCGCCGGGTGATCTGTTACTTGCTGTCGCACGCGGTCACTCATCCAGTGCCCGAAGCTCGCATATACATCATGTCCTCTGTCGAGGACGTATCAGACACTGCAAGATCGCACATGGTGATATCTGCCATGGAGACATTGGCTAAGGACCCAGCTCCCATCTCAAAATTATTCGGCGTCAACCTTCCACCGGTACACCGCTCTCGTAGCATCTACATTCCTCAGCGTCCCTGTTGGAGATTTGAATGCGGGCCCTGAAAATTCAGTTTGGCAGGTCTTCGGTTTGGCATTGCAAACATACTTCAAGCCAAGTAAGAATTTTTCTTTTTTTTATACAGGCGGTGGCTTGACGACTTGTAGATGCAATCGCTGCAGTTAGGAAACTGTTTTCAGACGCGTTAGAAGAGAGACTTTTTGTGCATCTCGACATGACACGGCAAGCTCAAATTTGCGACATCCTTTTGTCGGCAGGATCGCTGGGAAATGAAGTGGTATGATGACGTGCCAACTACAACGGGAATTAGGACTGACTTCGATAATAGTATGCGTGCGCGAAGGAGCTTCTGAGCAACCTTCTCCAGGACGTCCATCTGATCAATCATCTGCTCGTGGTTTATCAACCTAATGGAGCTCAGTCGGATACTCCTGCCAGTAAACGTGCTAAGCTCGCTAAGTATGCGTCCTTGCTCTGACTTTGTGTCATGTCCTCATATTTCCACCGATACAGCTCGTCTCACGGAAATGTCGAGGAAAAAATGTCGTTATTCACTTTCCTTGCTGAAGTTCTTGGAACGAAGGAACTTCCTGGGTCGCTTGACCTTCTAACACAGCTCCTTGACACTCTTGGCAAGATTATCCATTACGACTCGCCGATTCCATCCGATACGAGCTATCCTTGCCAGATGCTAATGGCTGCTGTGGAACAAGCAGCGAGCAAAATCACGGTATTTGATTACCATTGCGCGTACAATGGCAACTCTCTAATTGCGATGAAAAGGAGCCTCCTGCTAGACCCATACGATTAGACATACTTGTTGAAATCATCAGAGGTTTGATTTACTTCCTGATTTTCTTGTGCTGATTGAAATATCGTTGTCACAGTATCGGAAAAACCCACAAACGTTCCATCAGGCACTCCTCCTCATGGCAAGTCTGGCTCGACTCACGCCTGATTCGGTGCTTCATAACATCATGCCTATTTTCACATTCATGGGCACCAATGTGTTCCATCGCGACGACTCGTACAGTTTCAAGGTGGTACAAAACGTAAGCATATTTGTGGCTCGTGAGATGTATTGTTTGATTTATGTTCCCCTACAGACTATCGAGAATATCGTTCCTGTCATGGTGTCATCGCTCAAATCTCGACATCCCTCCTGGACTCGAACTTTACATTGGAGCTAGGGAGTTCTTGCGGATCTTCACAGACGCATCCAACCATATCCCACGTCATCGTCGACAAAAGTATGTCCATGAAGGATTTGACGCTCGTGACTTAGTGCTGATATACGAGCTAGCTTTTTCATACACCTCGCCGATGTGCTTGGGCCTCAAGAATTCTTGGCTCCAGTTTGCATGTCGCTGGTGGACAGGGTGGCTAATCGGGTGACTCGGCAACATGAGGATGAGGCTTTCAACCTCAGTTAGGACTTCCAATATCCCTGCTACGGCCATTTCCCCCGAGAGTTACATCTTCATGTAAGTTTTCTGTGGAGATTTGGATGCGGCTGACGCCTTACAGGTTCTTAAAGAAGTGTTGCGGGAAGCAAAAAGGCTTATTTCGCTGTATCGCATTTTCCGACGAGGCAGATGCTACCTTTTTGGATTACGTTCAGTACGAGAACCGATCACCTTTCTCACTCTCGTACTCATACATCCATTGCAGCGATGATGAGCACTCTGCGAGATCGTCCACTATCATCAAGCGACGTGCTCAGGCGCTGATTATGTTTGTCGGTTATGCCATCACACCCACGCCTTCCACCGATATCTCAAGGGGCGACAACGCAACAACGGAACTTGTCTCTCTTTTGGTCGATCTTGCCACAATAGAAGGCGACAGCCAACATTTCAGACATCGTGCCAGTCACACAGCAGACCACGTCAAAAGTGATGAATGCCATCGGAGCAGCAGACTTCCTGAACGGAGCTTTAGTCATGCTGCAATCAGATGAGACTAGGGTAGGATTACATTTTCAGTACGAGATCCCTCCTCACCTCATTTATAGATCAAAGCTGGTGCTCTTGAAATCCTCGCAGAGAGAATACCCAAAGTTACAGAAGCAGTCCGTCGCGAACAACAGAAGACTGCTATATCGATTATCGATTGCATTCAGGACGTCGTTTCTCGCCAGTCAGCCGGTGTACTAGTCAATTCAGCACTCAATGCTTTGAGAGCGATCGGTTCCTCCATTTGTCCTGGCGAGGAGTCAGCGTTGGTATCTACTGTCCCTTCTGTCATCAAAATCAGTCAAAGCACGTGCATCATTGCAATCTGCTATAGCTGTGTTACCGTGTTATGTGTATGGGGCTTTTCTTCCCTTGCGTTCCACGTTATTGACGAATTTGTAGATCCTCTCTTGGACCTCGGCTTATACCTCACTTCCGAGAGATTGCACAAGAGTGTACATCAGTCCTCCAAGAGGGATTGAGTGGCAAAATGGGTGGGTGGCTTGTCTCCCATGTAAACCCGCGTTACAGCTATTGACTGTTCTGCTCGAATAGCGCAATCTTCAGTCGATGGCACAATCTCTACCCTACAAGGCTTGGTATCGACGCTTCCCGCTTTCTACGGTGCTGCAGAACTTAGGGGCATCGTCAAACTCCATCTGGAATACTCTGTCACATTGAATGGACCCATGACAGGTTTGATGAAAGCTATTGCAAAGAAGATTCCAAGCAACATGCTACTACCGGTGCTCTGCGATCTGTGGCCCGATTTGGAAAAATCTCAGAAAAAGGCATGCACCTCGCGTCATGAACATGATTTGGAATATTGATGTCCTGTGACAGGAACATGTTGATGGACTCATCGCCTTTTTTGTCTTTTTCAAACGCAGTCTTCGGGTAGCTCGACGTCCTGACATCCAAGAACATATCCGTTCAATTTTCTCAGTATTCCTCGACGGCTTTGGCGTGAACATGAAGTCTACGACTGGTTCCAGAGATGTGAGTCTCTTGGTAGTGACTTGCGGTGAGACTAACCGGTGCCAGGGAGAACCTCATAGTCATTTCGGCATTCTTGGAACTTGTTGTGAAACTTCAACTGAGACGGCCTTCAGACCGTTGTTCCGTCGTTTGTATGACTGGGCATTTGCAACTGAGAGCGGTGAGTTACTCCCTATCAGAATGGTCCTTCTCTCTCTGAGCGTCGTACAGAAAACATTGAGCGTAAGGTCACGTTTTGTCACATGTACTCTGCCTTGTTGGATTATTTCAAGGTGCGCTCGTAACACATCTTTCGAATGTGCCGTTATTCAATCTAGTGCAGGGCTTGATGAACCCTTACATGTCGATGCTTCTGCAAGCTTTGTGCGACATATTGGAGTCTTTGGCCGCAGGGTCCATTCAAAACCCGTCTCTATGGTTGTCGACAGTCGAGACCCTCACAAAGAGTTTCGAAAATGACGATGGTGGTGAGAACACGCAACTTACATCACGCCGCACCACTCACTCAGAATTTTTTCAGTGTTCTGGCGTGACGACAAACTGGCCTCGGTAGCGAAGCCTATGATAGCGCAAGTTTCGAGTTGCATCAGATTGAATATCGCAGACGGAAAACAAGCGCTGACCGAACTGCTTGATTGCTATGACGAGCGTGGCCGTGGATGATTCCTTACTCAAGTCCATCAACCTTGACTTGCTCATGCACACTCGCGCAGAGGATGCTCGTGAGCGCATATTCGCTCTGTCCTGCTCAGAAGCCCTCTGGCGCGAACAGGGTGGGAAGCTCATTGGTTCGTACTCGTGTCATTCATGCCATCAAGGAGGATAATGCTAACACCATGATAGGTTTCGTAGCAGAAACCGCTACGTTCATTAGTGAGTGTGCTGAGGACGAGAACGACAGCGTCGTCCGTGAGACACACAAACTTAAGAATGCAGTTGAAGGCGTGGCCGGGAGCATCAGTGGATTATGATCATGCATCCATTCTGGATTGATTTTGAAAGGGTGTACGCTCGATAGATGTTAGCTAGATGACGTGGTAGTCAATACTAGTCATGTTTTGCATCTAGTCATTTACCTGATCGAACAAAGTTGAAGTACTAATTATTATATGTAGTGCCTGAGTTACATCAGTCCTGCCTAGCTGGGCCTCTGTCGTCAACATCTTCCCACTGGTCACGGAACGCCGCAGGCTGCAATCGGAACCCGATAGATCTGATGGACGTCATACGTACGCAGCAAGATACTTGACAGTTGTAGAGTTGGAGTCGATGATATGGCGTGGGCGCGCAGGATATGGTCAAAGGGACAGGCGGGCGGTAATAGATGTACTCATATTTCAAGTGCAGAATTCGCGACAGTAAGAACTAGATCGTGAAGCTTTGAAGAACTGTCAGCCAAGTTGTCACCGTGGCCGCACATCTCACAACAGTTCGACACTACCGTCGGTTGATTTACGAAATGAGGGGTTGTCCGTTTCGCCTAGCTTCGTCTAATGCAAAAACATTGAGGTTAAGGTGCTGGGACCGAGCATGGGCTGTTGACCGACTATGTCATGTATCGAGATGTAGATAGCTGGACATCGCATTCTGCTGTCGATATATCAACCGAAATGCGATGTGAACGTTGAACTGCAAATGATGGGAATGGAAGGTGGTTGAATGAGGACTGAGCGGAATGTACGGTCCGGACTCCGGGTGAAAGAGACAAAGCAACCACAGACAAAGAATGCCAGCTATTAGACGTGCGCGTGGTGCCGGCTCCTTCCGAGCACTCAAAACCGGCGATGTCCTGGTGTCGATCATGATACCGTGCTTGACCTTGATTGCGCACAAAGTATCATCATCTTCCACGCCTACTCGTTTGTCTAGTGATCTAATCACGGAAATCCTGGAGAACATCAAAGGGAAATTGTATTTTGAACGAAAGCTACAACGTTTTGTAAACAAAGGGACGTGGACGTCCGATACTAGTAAGTGCACAAAGCAAAGGGTTGATAAGCACGTTCTGAATCTTCGCCTTTGACACTCACCCATATTATTTAAGATAAACATTTATTCCTCGTAGCGGCGTACCGGTACGCCCGTCACCTTTCTCCCCTTTCCCAGCGGTCGTTATAGAATCGCACGTTCGACGCTAGAGTTCGTGGTTAATCACAGTATCTGCTCCCATCGAGGACTGACTTACTGCTGAATCCCGTCACCCTGTACTCGTCCCTCATCCTCTTCTGACTCTCCCTCTTCCCAATTTTCACCGCTCGCGTCAAATGAGGAGGCGGCTGGTGGGTGCGGTTCTGGATTTAAGCTGAAAAGCCCAGTCTCTTCTCCTGGTTAGCTCTTTATCTGCCTATAAATTTAGTTAGTTATTCATTCCGTTCATAGGAGAAATTAACTCACCTCTAGCTCGAGGATGCCCGGGCACTTGCTCCTGTGCTTGACCCACAGTCCAGGATAGTACCTGGAGCGCTTGTCAAGGCTGATGGCCTTCTGACATCCGCGACACCTGACGGATGTGGGTTGCACATCCTCAGTGTACTTGTCGTTCTCGAGCTCCTGTTTTCTGTGATCCTCCTTTCTCCGCTTTCTACCGCTCGCGACGACTTCATCACCGCGATTGCCGTTATTTGTACCCAAGCTCTCTGGAACGAGCTGCGGAGGGCTCAGCGCGTATTGTGGGTCGGAACGGGGAGGTGAATTGGCGAGTACATAAAACCCGCCCTTACAGACCAGCGAGTGGTCATTGACGAGGCAACTGACCGTGGGCCAGTCGGTCCCAACGTCGTAAACGATAACGACCGGACATCCGGCCCTGCCACAAGTTAGTGTGTGGGTTTGGGCGGCCGTTTGATTTATGGTGTTGGGTTGACTGGCGACGCAGTCATTGCCTGTTGATTGCACGGCGGCTGAGGGACTGGCGATTGATTTTTGCATTTGTTTTGCTGGGGGAGATGTCCTTTCAGATGTAGATGGGGAATTTGTTGCAGTGGCGCGAAGTTTTTCTTTTCTTTTAAAGCCTTTCTCGGAGTTGTATTGTTCACCCTCAGATACACGTGGTATTTTTTTTTCATTCCGATTTCTGTCCATCGAGGTAACGTACCCTATGTCGGACAGTACTAACTAGTCTGCAACACCTGGACTCGCGAATGCCCCAGCATGAGGGTATACGCGCAGTTCATTGGGTGACTGATCTCTCCGTGGCGTGGTATAAGTGCGCAAAGTACACATGGTATTCCAAGGCGGACAATCATTCTCATGAAAGTCATTCATAGCGGGCTAATGTGCTATCTTATTCTCCTGTCGCTCTCTTGAGTTGACGATCCCAAGGCTTCCCAAGCTGCAGGGTACGTTTTCTCGTCGTGAAAGTGAACCCCGCCTGACATGATCGTTCCAGAAAAACCACCAGAAGTCAAGATAGTATATCTACTCTGGCCACTGCCAGGACAAATTGTGGATTTTCCCACATGTTTGGAACTTCTTTAAGCCTACAATAGGGATGGTGAAGACACTTAGTCATGATGGTGCCTTTCTTGCGGGCGGTCACCGGTCAGTTCTGCTGTCGTCTTCTTGTCCAGTAACTTTACATGCACAATGCCAGACTCCGCACGCATAACCTAGTTCCCCCTAACTGGCGGGCAGGGCTTGGATTCAGGCATATAAGATGCAGCAGGTTCGGTGACCATGCTTCCGTTCAAGCAACTTATTGATTCGCACAGTTCAATCTAGAGTAAAAATCAGCTTTGGTTGCAAAAGTCATCTCGCTCCCACCTTTGCTGAAATCCCATGATGAAGAACGACTTCCAGTCATACAAAAGATCCTCGTCGAATTGAACAATAAAATTTCATGCCCTCATCAGCTCTATGCTTTGTATTGACTATCGTTAGAGCTTAATTGTTTTGAACACGGGATCTTACTCTCGACCTGCAAACGATGGCGAACTTAAAAAACCTTGCTTATAGCGAGAGTGCTTACGAGTATCTTGTTGCTGTAGATCGTGGTCCAAATCAATCACTTTTGATCTTCTTCAAGGGTCCCGTTCGGCACATTGTTATGCTGTTTACCAGCGCTAGCAATCCGGAAGGTGTTTCAAGTATCTGACATTCCGGACAGCACTTCTTCCCAGACCAGCAGAGGACACTGATCATCTATCTACGCCCGCCCAGACTTTATTTGCAATAAATCTGCGTTTGATCGCCATGGTTGATCAGCGTACAAGGTTACAAAGATTCAACATTCACCAAGACGCTCGGCCAACTGTGCCTTGTCTGTCCGTTCAATAGGCGGCAGGGCCTGGTCCGCAAGGTAATGCTTGTAATTCATGGCGAGTTTCCCCGCGGCCTTCTTGATCTCGTCTGGATTTTGGCACGGTCTGCTTGTGCATTGTTCACGGTCTATTCACAAGCAGCGACGCTGAACACAGTAGCGATATGGCACAATCCTCACTGTAGTGACTTCACCTGACGCCGTTAACTTGGTTGACAGGGTTGGCCCCTGCAATAAGTTATAGGCTAGTGGAAGGCAACTTGTTCTGCATTGTCAGGTGATATACGACACGATTTCGTACGATAATTTAACTGCCCGGAGTTTTCTAAGGTCGAATTTTGTGCCTTCGGAAATAGATCCAGACTTGCGCGGTCAAGCTTACTACTAGAGTACTGCAATCGGCACTTCGCAAGACTCGTATTTCTTAAACAATTCTTAATATAGATATCATTCTCTCTCAGATACAACTTATTACGAGGTTGAACGACCATGATTGAAGCAGAATTAAGTGAGATAGTTGAAGTCACGCAGAATCTTCAAATAGCACATGCCCATTTTGGAAGTACCGACCGGTGCGGGTGCAGCGCTGCTGGTCCTTGCTGGTCACACCACTGGCAGCAGTTTGGGAGTTTTTCAATTCAAAATGCGTCTCTATGGTTGTCAGCAGTTGAGACCCTCACAAAGAGTTTCGAAAATGACGACGGTGGTGAGAACACGCGACTTACATTACGCCGCACTACTCACTCGTGATCTTTCCAGTGTTCTGGCGTGACGATAAACTGGCCTCGGTAGCGAAGCCAATGATAGTGCAAGTTTCCAGTCGCATCAGATTGAATATCGCAGACGGGAAACAAGTGCTGACGAACTGCTTGATTGCTATGGCGAGCGTGGCCGTGGATGATTCCTTACTCACACTGTAGATAGTAGTTCCAATGAAAATCACTGGAAAATGCGCTGATGCTGAATGTTTCAGAGTAACTTCCACTGAAATTGCATGCAGTTAATTTCATTGGAGCGCTGATTTTGAATTTCAGTGGAAAATATACTGAATCAGAATTCAGCACCATACTCCAATCCTACTAGCATTTTAGCTCAGGAGATCAATCTGCTGTGGAGCTCGATAATTGAATGACCTGGCACCGTCACAGCAGAATTTTAACATTTTTGTTATGACATCGTTTTGGTATATATTGGTGTCACCATGTATATATTTTACAGGACTTATGGCTTAGTGGTTAGATCGCTGCACCTATCAAGATGAGGTCTTTGGTTCAATTTCCGCCATTTGCAAATTATGACCTATCACAAGTAAATTGGGTTAAGCGATGTTCCTAGGGTATGGTTCAATAGTTTTGCTTGTCATGCTAACATAAATTCAGAGTATCTTTTCAGAGTAAAAAAACAGCAATTTCAGCACCCTGATTTCAGTACCTAATGCTCTGAGTTTCAGACCGTTATCATATGATTTCACCCAATGAATTTCACTGGAACTACTATCCACAGTGCTCAAGTCCATCAACCTTGACTTGCTCATGCACACTCGCGCAGAGGATCGCGAGCACATATTCGTTCTGTCCTCCTCAGAAGCCCTCTGGCGCGAACACGGTGGGAAGCTCATTGGTTCGTACTCGTATCATTCATGCTATCAAGGAGGATAAGAATGCAGTTAAAGGCGTGGCCGGGAGTGTCAGTGGATTATGACCATGCATTCATTCCGGACTGATTTTTAAAGGGTGTAAGCTCGATAGATGTTAGGTAGATGACGGTAGTCAATACTAGTCATGTTTTTCATCCAGTCATTTACTAGATCGAACCAAGTCGAAGTACTAACGAAAGTCGCAAAGGCAGTAACAGTGCTGGACCAACGTGATCAGCCTTACTTTGATACGCCTGAAGCGCTCATGCGAGCCATTTCTCATCAGCATTGCGTTCGACCTTTTTTTCAACAAACTGGAAGAGAGGATGAGCGTCTAGATAGGCAAACAGCGCAGTTCTAGAAAGCGCCTGCACTGGAGCTTTATCCTCTTCCCTAGGACGTCTGATTTTGGGATTAGCTTGTTTGTATACGAGAGAATATATCATACGTACGATATCGAGATTGATACGATGCAAATTTCCTGGGATATTGTTCATGCGGAGGTGTTGCCAAGGTATGAAATGAAAATGTCCCGTGAAGCTTCGCAGCTACAATATCTCCAGCGTCCTGACGCTCATCATGTTATCAACAGAAGCCATGTCCCTGACTTGTGCGATGATATTGTTATCCGAGGCGATTCTCTTATACTCCCCACCACGCTGTTGCGCTAGCAAAAGTGCGCCAAAAGGACGAGAAAGGCGAACGAGCAACCTCAACCCTCTGGTGACCAGCTCATCATCTCCAGGCTCATCAGGCCAATCGTCCACGCTGTACGACTCGTCCGTAAAGTCGAGATCATACCGATTCCATGGACGGACGAGCAGGAATGTCTGCCGAGTACGCCTTGCAGGCGAGAATTGAACAAGGTTGTCTTCTGTTGTGACCAGCAGGTCTTGTAGCCCGTCTGCCTTGACTTCATATGTGAAACATTTGTCCCCATCTCCACCGGTACTCCGCCTGACTTCTGTGAGAGGAAATGTGATGCAGGGCAGTTGCAATCTGGCGTTTGCGAAACGTGGAACGCCAAGGTTCTCAAAGGTGGTATACAGTGTCGAGGCTGACTCCACAGCCACAATGTTGTTTCGCAGCGTGGAGACCGAATTCTGCATGTCGTGTTCAGATAGACATGGTAGCATGCATGGCGGAGCCTTGTATGAGGAAATCTCGGCTGGGAGACAACTGTTGAAGTTGGACGCTTGTCCCACCCAGTCCAGGGCTGTGATGTCGCCCGAATGAGCTATGATCTCCTGTAAGAGACGTCCGAGTGCATTCTGTCTTTTTTCTCCGTAGATTACAGGAAGGTGGACGCTGAAGATGCCAAACAGTGAATACGCGATGTCTTCCTGCAACGTAGTGACACGCGTTGATGCCCATCGAAGTTTCTCTCGGGCATTTCTCATCCCCGGGCGGAAGGCCACGAGCGCCCGCGCATTTATGCCAGTTGAACGCTCTAACTCCTGCGTGATAGCGACAGACTCCTTGTGATTGCGTGAGCGGTCGTCGAGATACAGGGTCCAATCTGCTTGGTAGAAAAGAACAATTTTAGGAGCGAGGAACTCCTGAACAGTCCATCCTCGTGTGTTCCAAATGCTGTTTGCGAGCGCGCCAGACTCTGACGAAGGAGGAACATCCGATAGGTAGACGATGGTGAGCGCTGAGTAGTGATACCAGACGAACATGGAATTGACTGATTCTTGTAGCTCAACGTTGTTACACTGGTCGATGCAGCATGTATCGCTCCACGCCCAGCGATACCCCGCATCGCGAGCGACTTTGCAGAACTTCTGCAACTTCACAATGGTTCCGACCGGATGCAAGCCGTATATGTTCCTGGCTTGAATATCGTGCAGTAGCGGCTCCTTGGTTCCCCACCTATGGGACAACATGACCCAACTGAAGCACTTGATGACCGCTTCTTTGATGGGCTCCGTTTGGAGGGGCGCATGCATCACCAATGAATACAAAAGCTCTTTGTACTCTGTACTCTCCGTGAAGCTGTTGGTCTGGGCATTTCGATCACATATATGCCCAGTGATGGTATCGATTAGACGAAGTGGGGGCGTTTTCCAGTTGGGCGTGAATGGCTCGTCGAATAGCATCTTCTACTTCAGATGGACTGACGTATTGCTGGCGTAGTTCTGCAAAAAAAAAATGCAATTCATCTTAAAGTTGGCACTTGAGTTGCTTGGGGCTTACGTCGTATCCGCGTGTCGGGTGCATCATCCAACTTGGAGAGCATGATTGTGAAGGCCTCGAACGTATCATCATAGTGCTGTGCTCCATGAAGAGCTGCATGCTTCAGTTCGTACCCGATATAAGATGAAGGGTTGAGCTCAATGACCTACGAACATTGTCACAAATGTTAAAACAACGATGGATATCATCCGCACCTTGTTCGCGTCCGAAAGGGCTTCCGCATAGAGGTTTTGGCCCAATTTCATCTTACTGCGGTGCGCAAAGTAGAAATTATATGAGGGATCAATCCCAAATGCTGCGGAAAGTGTGTTCTCGATGGACCAGAGCTGAAGATTCCCATGATGGTCTCCACCTACGAGCAGTTCTCCGTTGGGAGAAATAGCGACAAAAATAACCGATGCGGTGTGTTCGAGTGCCTGTCCTATTTGCTGGTGTGACTTTGTGCTCCACAGGCGCACAGTATTGTCGAACGAAGCGGTTGCGATGAAGGAACCATCGGAAGAGATGACCAGCGAGTAGATTTCCTGAGTGTGACCAGTGCAAGGTTGACCAATCTGGGTCCCATTCGACGAATCCCAAAACTTGATTGTTTTGTTGTGTGATGCAGAGACAAGTTGCTGGCCGTCGGGCGTCCACAGAACACTTGTAACGAAATTTTGGTGAGCTTCAAGTTGAATGTTGAGAAGAAGCTCGGCGTTATCGGTGCTCCAAACCCGAATGCTGCGCTGTGTTCCATGTGCTAATTTTAGCCCATCGGGGCTGAAGGCAACACAAAAGACTGGACCCCCGGCCTGGAGTGTTGAGAGAACAGCGCCAGTCTCCGTATCCCATATAATAACTGTTTTATCAAGTGACCCGCTTGCGAGTCTCTGTCCATCAGGAGAGAAACACACCGACCAAACCCGCCTTGTATGCTTCACCAGCGATTTGAATACCATCTGCTTGCTAGGGTCGATGTCCCAGATGATGATGGCTCCATCATCTCCACCACCACTCGCAATTCGCTTATCGTCTGGCGATACAGCAACTGAAACCATATGGTCACTGTGTTCCTCAAATGGCCCTCCCACCAATTTTTTCTTCTCCACATCCCAGATTCGCAGGGTTTTATCCTCTGAAGCAGTAACGATCCGATGACCTTCTTTAAAGAACGCGACTGCCGACACTTTCTTCGTGTGTACTCGCATGGTTTGTGGTGGCGCCGGCGTTGCACGCGTTCTCACTGTAAGATGTACTTTTTTTGCTACATTGAGCAATGCTGACATGTTGCTAGACGGAAGATGGACGGTCAGTGACGTTTAAAGTTAACGAGGAGCGCACTCTGTGCTGCCGTCGTCAATCTTATGTGTCGTGAGTAGAGCTGGATTTATCATAACCAATTCATGTAGGTTCTTTATATATCGTTTGCTTCATACTATGTTGCTACTCATTTCGCTCCTTTTATCGGTGCCTATCCATAAACGCGCGTCATAACCAATTCCTTCATTCTGTTTACAGCACTGATTGTATCCTGACTATGCTCTCCTGAAGAATTATAATGGAAAAAATACGCTTGCCGTATACCCCAGAATCATAGTTTGTACCAAGTGGTACCACTTCGTCCCTCAGGCAGACTACTCAGAGGGCTCTGCCAGACGCAATCAATATCTCCAGGCACATCTCACGATGGATAAATGCTGCGGACGAGAGCGATGCATCAGGTTATCATTTTTCGAGCATCGACAGCCTGGTGTGCCTTAATTAGAACGATCTTTCGTTCACAGGACGTCACGATTGAAGTCAAATATTGCTGACACTATGCCCGTGACGTCGCGACGGTCCAGATTGCGGAATTTGGTATGCTGTAGCGTCTCGCCTTGTTCTTTGCAGAATGTTGATCTAAAGACCATCTAGATCAGCGAACGAGACGGCGACAAGTGTGTCGTCACCGGAACTTTGAATGTACACAAGGGTCCATATCCCTCCGAGGACATTGAAGGGTACCTCGAAGCTGCTCACATACTACGAAGATACATTGTTCATGACCATTGCGGAAACAACGTATGTTCTTCAACTATCAAGTTCCTGTACCCGTCCAGTTGATATTTCTGCAGCACATCGCGGGAACGATCAACATAATTAAGCATCATACCAAGCTCCCCGAGAAAATCATGGACGACCTAGCTGGTATCATCGATAACCCAGAGAATGGAATGTTACTTGATATAACAATGTATCGTAGATTCAACAGCTACGCATGGTGCCTACACCCCCCAGTAGGTTAAGTTTTTGTCGTGAAATTTCAGATACTTATGCCCTTGAAAGGATGTCTTGCACAAATATACAGTGCACTGGTTCCATCATGTTCCTTTGGGTACGGGGAATTTTACGGAAGTCTAATTCCAGGATCACTCTCAAACTGGCATTGAGCTTCCTGACCTTAGGTTCATAGCGCTTCACGCTGCGGTTGCACATGTCCTACACCTTAGTGATCCTTCAGAAATCATAGACAAGGTTTATAATGCGTTCTTTGACAAAGGTTTTACGGTGCCGTCCGGAAATCGTGCTAGCGGGGAAGATTTCCTCATCAGACTCTCGTTGATTGGGTTGATGACAAACAACCATCAATTACCTCGTGGGGGTAACACGGGGTGAGAGACACAATGTACTATGAGAAATCGGTGAGGTTAAACTGATCAATTTGAACTTGTGTGGCGCATGGATGAGCGGTGACAAAGGTCAGTAGGAACTGTGGGCAACAACCTTGCTTGTCATACACATGTCATTGTCAGTCCCGACCGCGCCTCATGATCATGGATCCATGGGTCACATCCGAATACCGTAATCGCACGATGTGAACTGCCCGCCAGGAGCGCGGTGCCAAAGGAGTTAAACACAACTTGCCCTTGGGGCTCCTGGGCTTGTTTATGGGCGCAAGCAATTTCTGTCAGTCTTTTTACTTTTCGCGCAATGAAAACCGTATAGAAACGTTGTGGAATAAATTTAACTTGGCAAGCAAGACAATAACAATAGCAGTCAGAACCTATGGGCGAGTCGATTTGAGGGTCGGATTACCTTTCTAAAGCACCAGGGTTATCTTCCCACATCACAAGGTCTATTGAATAGTTAGGATGCAGTACAGATATTTAAACCGACAGCAAGATTGATTGGTGCATTAAGTATGTGAACTTTTGAAGTCATAATGGGATGCAAACCCATACCACACTAAACGAGTCCAGCTAATCATATGATGGAGGGCGACGGATAACAACATGACGTTTTGATGTGGCAGTCGTCGCTACAGGCTTCAGCCGCTTCGCCAAGGAATCATCCACAGCTCCGGGCACTTCTTCTCGACTCCGCTTGCTAGGGGCACCACTGATAGACACCCCTGCAGCCGAGGAAATTACATCCCGAGGACAAAGTAGAGCGCCGCGTGGGCCAGGAGCTGCACCTCTGGTAATAGAATCTCTCACAACGTCGCGCGGTGCAACTCTGACAACCCTGGACCTCAGGCTGGGGACACTACGTGATGCTGCACTAGCAGCATTTGTAACTTGACGCGTCGCGGCTGAGCTGGCAGGGTTCGTACGTAGTGCGTTCGTCGCGACTGCACCCATTTGCGAGAAGTATGAAGCTTGGAGCTCTGTGCCACGAGCGGGGATGGAAGCCTTAGTACTGGTGGCTTGCCTTGACTTATCGGAAGCGGCAGCGGCCTCTACTTTAGTAACCACAGTTGCAGCGTCGGCTGCTGCCTTGAGAGAAGCTTGCATTGATTTGTCGGAAGCAGCAGCAGCAGCCTCCGCTTTTGCAGCCATAGTTGCAGCGTCGGCTGCTACTTTGAGGGATGACTCGTGCAGGGCAGTCGTCTGGGCGTGCAGGACAGTGACCTGGGCGTGCATGGCAGTGACCTGGGCATGCTTTGTTGAGGGTTCTTCAGTGGCCGGAGAGGCATTGGCACTACCGGCCTTCTCGATAGCAGCAGCGTCCCTGCCCCTGTCAATGACGGACTGCAATTCAGTTATTTTAGACTGATAGTGCTTGCATTTAGCAGCGTCTTCCAACAGCAGCTTTTTCATCTGCTTGGCTCCCACCTAGAAGGAAACGCGGTTAGCACGACGATGCAAAGTCGGACCAAATCACCAACATCAGCACGTACCACTGCGGAGTCCCTTACCTCTTCGAGTTCAAGCTTTTGGGACTCCCATGCCCTCGCAGCGTCGGACGCGGCTGAAGAAGCTTTTCTCTCGGCCTCCGCGACAGCAGCAGCATGCTCCAAATTAATCCTATCCCTGAATGACAGCAGGTTCGATCCTCTGAACTGGAATTTTTCATTAGATCCACGAAGAGACCTGACATCACGGGTGAGATTTTTAATCGACTCGTCTGCTGCCTAAAAAGAACAAGAAAACGAAAGCGGGGTCAGAGCGGGATGCGCATGCGAGAGGATAACCTACATCAGCGCGTGCTAAAGCCTCGTCTCTCGACTTTTGAAATTCGAGTTTTTCCGATTCCCATGAGCTTGTAGCATCAGAGGTGGCTTTGAAAGCTTTGCTCTTGGCCTCCTTGACAGCAGCATCCCGGAGCTCCTGTTCTAATATCCTAATACGGTATTGGACGTTGCATTGACGGACGGTCTTGAGGTCATCGGACAACGTTTTCACCAACTCGTCTGCCGTCTAAAAAGAAAGAAAGAAAGCGGTCAGGTCAGGGCAGCGGTGCGCGGCCAGAATAATAACGAACATCAGCACGAGCCAGCGCCTCGTCCCTGGCTCCTTCGAGTTCAAGTTTTTCCTCCTCCCATATTCTCGCAGCATCGATCAATCTCGCAGCATCAATCAATAAGGCGTCTTCATCTGCATGTGGGAGGCTTTCCATGGTGGAAGCTGGAACCTGCTCGTTGTCAAGTAAGGTCCAAGGCGAGGAAGACCTGATAGGGGGAGAAGATGGTTTTCTAACTGTAAGATATGATCAGTAAGCGGTAGCGTCGATATTGTTATTAGGAACCCGTGAGACGTACTGTTTACGATCAAGTGTAATGTCTTTTCTGCTGTGTCCGGAAACACTTCTGAGACTTTTTGGTTGTCATTTTTCAGCTCCACTGCGACTTTCTCTAGGTTCATAGCTTGTACGCGTTCGCCGACGGTCTCGTGTGGGAAAGTGAGAATTTGTGTGGTGAGCTAGAGGAAAGTAAGTGAAGAGTTTTATGGTCAGTACTGGGAGGTGAACTCACCTTCCACAAAACGAGATCTTGTGGAAGTATCTCACGCAGAGGGCCATCTTTGCGGTGCACACGAATGGTAGATTTTAACTCGGCTATCTTCGAGTTGGGTGGTACGCTGATCCAAAAAATAGTAGGATTTTTGTCCACCGTGTACGACAATGTGAGGTTGGGTGGAGCCATGGTGGTTGGTGAGTTCATGGTGGTTGGGTGCTGGGAGGAGACTTAGGAGCTGGGTACGATAGAATTTGGAATTCCTGCCCCTATTCAGACATCCTCTGGTAGACTCGTCTGTGACTCTTCATTCGAGAGTACATCTTTGATTTGGAAGTGGGCTAGGAGAAGCCGAAAGCAGTACTAGTGCTGGAGCTTCATAGCTGACTTGCCGTGTACGACGCTGGAGCGCTAAGCGTCGAGGAGAGAATCCCTTGCAGGGTCTGCCAAGAGGTTTCTGAGGAACTCAAGTCTGTTGATCTCATCAAAAGTTCACTCACGTCTGTTCAGTGAATGAGAATTCACATGCACAACCGATCAATATTAATGCAGGGACATCAAGAATCTGACATGAGAAATCTAAAGTTGCGTCATTGAAATGATGTGCGAGTCTGTGAATTTTCAGAGTCTGTTCAGGGAACCGTTGAGGCTGAACTGGTCAAAGCTGTGACACTGCGTGTGTGCATTGACATACCGGCCAGTCGCAACACGTTCAAAGAGCTGTTCGTTGGGCCGGGGGATAGAGCGTGTGAGGACTTGAAACGTTGAAAATCATTTAAGAACGAAAGATTTAATATGGCAAAGTGAAAAAAATGGTTGAGTTTTGGCCACGGTTTAGCGCCCTAGCCTACTGGGTCACGTACGTAGTAGTGCCACCACTCAAAGGTCTTAACGTACTACTACCACTTACTATTACTCTTCTTCTTTGTCGTCGTCGTCGTCATCGTCGTCGTCAACGTTGAGCTTGTCGATGTATTAGGATGTCGAGCAGGAACAATTCTCGGTTCTCTACCCTCAAAGTATTCAAGTTTAACAAGGAGAGACCGCCACCACCGCCTCCTCCCAAGGATAATCAATACTGTCAACAAGGGTTACAGGTACAAGAAGGTCCTTATGGTTCAAGTAGATCGCTTCACAACCCAAGCGTAACCTCTTTGTCTCCTCCTGCCGACCTACCACCATCACTACCAACAACGCCTGACTATAACCGGGCTTCACCTGAGTCCACTCCTTCAGTTCGTTCTTTTGGTCCTGCAATGTCTATAGAGAGCGAAAAATCGAAGCGAAACATATTCAAGTTCTCGTCGATGGGAAAGCGTAATAAGTCAACCAGAAATCTCATAGAAGCAGAAGATCCGGAGCCTCCTCAAGAGGATGAGGGCATATCTAATCCATGGAATTTCCAGGTGAGTCTACTTGTAATTCCTTATCATCCTTTGCTAAATGAATGATCAGCATCATATACATGTTGACGAGGGGTGAGTATCCTCTTACTATGCTCTACGACCCTAACACCTCTTCTAGATTCGTAGGACTTCCTCCTTCATGGTCTAATGCCCTTTCTCAAGCTGGTTTCACCGACGACGAAATCGCAGCAATTCACGCCCGACGCACAGCTATTCGTGGAAACCCAAATGCGGCCCGTCCCGATTCACCACTCTCCATTCTACACAACCCAGCACCCCGAAGTTCATCCCTTGCACCCCGCTCATCAAATGCGACACTCATAGCAAATGCCTACATCAACGCCCCATCCCCATCCTCCTTCAACTTTCCCCCATCTCGCCAATCCTCATACGCCGCCACATCTTCCTCTCACTCGCACTCTGCTGTCGAAGGAGACACAGTAGACACACAGTACGTATTCGTCAATGGCACAGGACACGAAAGCATGATTGACCCATACCCCTTCGACACCCAATCCGTGTCCACCCACCACAGCAGCTCCAATCACACAAATGCACCTCAAATCGCTCGTGTTCAATCTGAGACTCCTCATCGGTCTAGCTCAGGGCACGTCCCGAGCCCCCTGGTGCATTCTCGCAGCTTGCCTCTGAGTCATCACCCCCCTCGATGCGCATAGCATTCACAGTGCCTCCCCACGCACGCCTCCGAGGAGAGTGTTCCATGTTGCCAATGCGGACGAGTCGCCGCCTCCTGCTTACCACTCTTCAGTCCATACGTCTGTTTTCCAGGACAAATCTGGATTCTCATCTGAAGGGAGTAGAAGTGCAATGGAAAAGGAGTCTGGACAACCAAGTGAGAAAGAACGGGATCTGGAGTCGATCTTGGATATCTCAGCAACAACAAACACCACCTCTTCATCGTTCTACACGGACACAGATCTTTCACTTCCAGACGTCGATCCTGCGCTGCTGAATAGGCACATGAGTCCGACGCCCCCGCTGGTCATTGATAAGAGGCTGACAAAATTGGGTGCATTGCCTCCAAGGCTTAGTTTTCACTTGAGCTCGGAATCGGGGTTGGAGGATTGGGGGGCTGGGTTATTTAGTGGGTTGCAAGACGGGAGTGGAAATGGAAGTGCGGGAGGGAGTGGGAGTAGACTTGAAGACCGACTAGGACTATCAAAACCCGGGAGATTTGTCGAGTCGAAGCGGAACAGCCTCTTGGTAGATAGAGGGGAAGGCAGCAGCAGCTCGCTCCTCCCTGGATTCTCGTTCCCTTCCTCCTCATCCTCCCCATCTTCCTCACGACCATTACCATCGCTATCACTGTCGCCATTGACATCAACATCACGTTCTCCATCAACATCATCTCGTCCATCAACACCCTCATCTTCGAAATCCGACTCTCCTAGTACTTCTGCAGCTACGTCGACGCCGTCCACCTCTCCTTCTCCGTCTGCCCCTTCACATTCTCCTTCTGAATCGACACAGAGCGTGCCTTCGCCATCAACTTCAAGCTTACTCTCGCCGCCAAGTTCAAGCATGCTCACTCCTACGCAACCAACTTCAAGTATGCTCTCTCCAACCCCAACACAAACTCTCCCGACTCTCCCAGATGTGTCATTTGGAGCGGATATAACGCTCGGGGCTCCGCTACGTGTTATGGTGCCGAAGTCATCTGCACCTGGAAAGAGCGTGCCGTCTACGCCGACGACTAGGAACACACCATCGCCTACATCGACCCGAAATGTACCACGTACGCCGATGAGAGAACTTCCGCCTGTGCCTCCTGAAGAGGTAGAGGTTGATCATAGTATTGGTCCTGTGTTACCGGATATTTCGTTGGGACCTAACGTCTCTTCGCTTGGTGTTGGGTTGGACCTCTCTTCAGTTGGAGTTGGGTTGGATGTTTCTGGTGGACCGAAGATCCCCAGTACAAAAAACACAGACCTCACGAAACCCTCATCGCCTCTGGCTTGTAGACCGGGAATCAAGGTTGCTGTGTCCTCGCAGTCGCCTACCAGCATGACGTTGTCATCGAGGATTTCGGGTGGGGATTCTTCGAGAGGAGAGGATGTTGGTAACTTGATGGCAGGTGATCCTGGTTCTCCTTCGATGACAGGTTCTCCTACGACGGGCGCTTCAACAACAAGCAACCGCAGTCCACCTTCAACCACAAGTGACCTCAATTCCTCTACAACCCTCCTCCCCTTACGACCCGCAGGCGACCGCGACTCCGGCATGTCGACGATGACAGTTACACCCGTTACGATCGTGAGCGTGAGCGGAGCCGTGGCTATCACGTTGGCAACAGCTAGTGTCGTTGACTCTGATTCTGTGTCGTTGAGTGCTGTTGAGCCTACAGATGATGCAGGGAGCGAGACAGAAGACGGCGCGTCCGCTGTGTTGGACTCGGATGACACATCCATGGTGCTAGGTTCAGATAGTGTGTCCATAGCGCTAGACTCAGATCCTGCATGGCCAGAACCCCCTCTCACGCCCGACCTCGACACGACCCCACGTCAATCCACGCGTTTCCGTGCAACTTCCCTCCGTGTACAGGGTTCTCCTCATAGTTCGCATTTCAGCAGTGATACGGGCTCCACTACCGAAAGCGCCCCCCTCGTCACGCCCAGGTTGCACGTACCGCCTTCGCCGCTCCGGGATAAGAGTTTCGCGCCTGAAGCTGCGCTTCTCACATCAACCACCGATACGTTTGGAGTTGGAGGGCGGGACAGTGATAGCGACGAAGAGTTCACGCTCTCTCTCCCAAAAGCATACTCCCAATCCCAATCGCAGCGCTTACCAGGATGGATCGCAGATGCGGTCTCCCCCCTCTCCGAATTCATGATCGACGTCGATCCCCAAGAATATTTTGCGGACCTCCAAGAGATCGCAGAAGGCGAGAGCGGCTCCGTATACGCCGCACGTCTTGTCTGTCCCCCTAACACGCTCTCTTTACCCCCCGGAACAACGCACGTAGCCATAAAAACCATCGCAATTCATCCAGCTGTATCTCCGAAGCTCCAAGATCTGAGCCACGAGATGGAGCTGATGCGCGGGGTACACCACGACCACGTATTGCGCATGGACGCGTTTTATGTGAATTTGGTGGATGATTCGGTGTGGATACGGATGGAGCTGATGGAGAGGAGCTTGGCAGATGTTGTGGGGCTTGTTGGGGAGGGGTTGTCGTTGCAGGAGAGGATGATTGCGCGGTTTGCTAGTGATGTGAGTCTTTCGTTTCGTTGTGCGTGGATGGATGTTGACCGATGAATGGATGAACAGGTCCTACTTGCGCTTGAATACCTCCAAAAACACTATATAGCCCACCGAGACGTCCGTTCTGACAACCTCCTTTTAAACGCGAGTGGAATCGTAAAAGTTGGTAAGTGACTCCTTTATATGCTCGATTGTCTACTCCGATCATCACTTGTTTTGTTGCCATCTTTTTTGTTGTTGGGGAAGATATGATATGCTGATTCCATTTCGATTGTGTGATACACAGCTGATTTCTCGAATGCTGTGCGTGTGACAAGAAATTCTCCGATGTGTTCTGGGGCCGTGGGCGTCATCTACTGGCAGGTGCGTTTTATGATGTTTTTTGTCCTTCGTGTATGTTGATGGTGTTCATGTCCATGTTTTGTAGGCTCCAGAGATGCGAGTGTGAGTGCATTCATTCCTTTTTCTCATTAGGAATGTCGTCTCATTCTTGTTATCACAGTGGAGCGTACAATGCGCTCAAAGTCGACATCTGGTCTCTAGGTGCGACGGTATGGGAACTAGCACAAACAGAACCGCCCTTTTCAGACGTCCAAGACCCGCGACAAATCGGTGTTCAGTGGCCGCCTCTACGTCAACCAGAGCTTTACTCGCGCGGGTTTCATGAGTTTTTGAAGTTATGTTCGAGGCCGTATGGGTCGAGGCCGAATCCTAATGAGTTGGTGAACGTGCGTTTGTTCTCTTCTGTGATTTTGACTCGACTCTCATGCCATTGCGATTTTGGATTTGACTTGTAGACACCTTTCATCCGCAACGCATGCGGCCGAGCGGTGAACGTCCAACTCTTATCACAGTGCAGAGCTATTGAAGAGCATATGTTGCAAAGGGAGAGTGGTGGGGAGTCGTGACGAGTAGATGAACGGACGGACGGATGGACGATTTGTTTATGTTTTTGCTGGCGCTGTGTCATTCCTTTCATAACTATCTATCATATCGCTATCTATACCCCCAAAGTCATTACTTATTTCATCAGATCTGACGGGGTTTTTACATATCATGATGCTATGGCTTTGTTTGTGATTTGAGTGATGGGTGACGCATTGATGGGCGAGTGAATGATTAATGATGGGATTTCTAGGCCGAGTCGGATGAGTGATGCGGAGGCTTGGGTTTGATCATTATTGCAATTTGTAGTAGTTCATATACGGTGACCATGAGCGTAGAGCAGCCAATGAGGCTTTGAATCGAAATAGTTACGAGTCATTGGGCACTGCCGTAGGCTGATATATAGTGGTGCTTCCTGTTGAAAAATCAAGTCTTTGGCCCGGGTCCGCGCGGTGATGTAGTTCATGATGATAGATCCATGCCACGTACTGTGAATTTGGCATGATCAGATTAAGGGCGCTTCAAGTGATCCTGAAATGACAATTCCTGTGCATTCCAAGAGATTGGGATATTGCTGATGTGACGGTCCGTCGTCTGCAAGATCTCGATCTGGAATTACCAACTGACAAACTAGAAGCCATAGCGACAAAGACGACGGAGAGGAGGACGAGGAAACAAGGGAACAAGACAAAGGAGACTTGAACTTGCTCGATTCCGAGTCATGTTGGGCGGCCCGTGTGAAGCCGCTGTGATTTTTTCACACGGGCATTTTTTGGACTAGCTCTCTTCTGTGGACGGTTGAGCTAGATCCTGCCGTCCTTCGTGTTTCAATTGTCTTGCCTCTGGCTTAGATTCCCTTGGTACGCACTAGTTTCTACCGCCACTGGTGTCTTCAGAGTCCAGGGCTTCCTCGTTTGTCACATCCTGTGGCCTGACGGCAACCTTACCTGTTCTCTTGGATTCTCTAGTATGTCCCTGTTAATCAAATGACAGCATCTCCGAGCTAGGGACGAGGGCCCAGGCATGGGATGCAAGGTTTCGAACGCAATTTTGAGTGGCGCATCAAACCAAATATTTGCGTCTTTCTATATGCTACTACGTTGGACTCGCTGATCTTTTAGCTCGTCATAGTAGCCGTCCTACTCCGAGTCGCTGTCATACTTAATTCCTTTATACTCGCGGTTCCGGTTTCAGGCCTCTGCACTGTTCGTCTTGTCACGTCTTACATTCTCGTTCGGTTCCAGGACGGACAGCAGACACGGTGACACCAGTTTTGAGCGCGTCTGCTGTCAGCCATGTCTTCCTGTGCCTTGGATGGATTTCAAATTTCGTTGAAGCCAGCCCTGTCTGCCTACTTGTCACCTATCAACAGCGCCCATACAGCGCCCATCTATGTCTCTTGGAGATTTGTCTGATGCGGCCCCTTGTACCCTTCATCGTCGTGTTCGCTCCAGAACAAGGTGCCCGCGAGAGAGTTACATGCCCTCCGATTGGCGCCCATGAGCCCTGAAAGGCCGAGATCAACACCGTAATTTGATCCTCGAGAGCTGTGATCCTCCTGTGCTGAAAAACCGCGAAATTTTAACTCTCTGTTGTTTGACTCTATGCACTGGCATCATAATATCTTGGCGTTCCAACTGACAACAAAACGTTCCTGGTTCTGGAAGCCGTGCCATGCAGCAACTACACATCTCAGTAGTGGGATTTAAAGCCTCTGTACTCTGAGTCTCGTAAAAAAACATCAAAAGCATTAGGGTAGTTTCTTTTAGGCATGGTTTATCAAAGCTCTGATTGGAATCCTACTACCCCGAGTCCATCGGCAATTTAACTTCTCTCCTTTATTCTCATCAAAAAAAAAATCCCTCCAATCGAAAGGTTGGTATAATTCATCCGTAATCGATCTACTTACGAGATCCGTGTTCCGTCTACAGCATTCTAGGTGCATACTATGTATGTTGTTGACCCTGGGGAATCGTCTCCAGGTACTTCCTGGAAGCTTTAAAATGTCCGTACAGAAAACTGATACAATGTTCCTCTCACCTCTGCCCACGGTAAGCTCTGTGTTCGCTTTATCGTTCAATATTTCTTGACCGACATTGTTATTGTCCAGCTATCAAACTGAAGATGAATTTTGTATCGACAACCACTAATCCGAAAAAACCCCAGTGCTATAGCAGTCAGCTCAAGCCCTTTTACCACGGAACAGCATCGCGATACACTAGCCCCTCTAGCGGAAAATGCAAGCGCCTAGTTGTGCAGTCCGTGAATCCCAGCTTGGCAAGTGATTGGAACGAGGACGACGTTCGATCGAACGCGCCACTATCCACTCAGCTTGCTGGTCGGTTGACCAGGATGATGTTCAACCCGTCCAACGAAACATTTTTGTGGTTGTTCATCTGGCTCTTCTATATCATCACACTGTTGTCTCCATCCAGGGGGCCTGCGTTCAGCCATTACTACAAGCCGTATTTGATGCGGTTTGTTGGCCAACTGTGGACTGCACGCTCACCAAGGGAATACTCTCTACGGGCACGAGCAGCAGATGAAGATGATGGACGCGTCCGGCGTGTTACCCACGCCCTCTACCCCCGCTTCCTCGTTGTATATGATGAAAACAGAAGAGATTGGTCAAGAATCGATGCCGAGGCAGTAGTGAGGCGAAAATCATATGTCGCTGTCACCTACTGCTATGACGATGTGATAAATTCTGGAAGCATGGAGGCGCTCATAGAGCGGGTGCGGAATGCTACCTTGGATCAAGGTTTTAACGCGTACTGGCTAGATCTCGAGTGCTTATTCGAGGATCCCGTGCAAAAGGCCCAAGACCTTTATCGCATGTCAGATGTCTACCGACTCGCCTCCTTCACACTCATCATACTCTCCGACGAGAGCGCTTGGCCCGCTTGGGGCGCCCGCGTTTGGACCCTGCCGGAAGCTCTCCTCAGTCGCGAGCTGCGATACCTGGCTGGAAACAGCGCAGTCACCCCCATCAGTCTCATCCAAATCGCCTCTTTAGCTTACTCGCACCACGATGAAGAATCCCATATTATCAACTCTTATGCCCTCGGGAAGGATCCGCTCGAGAGGTTAGAGCGCAATCTCCAACTAAAAGAAGCAATATGGCGCCGACAAAGCTCCTCCTCTCAACTTACGAGTGAGGAGGGAAGTTCTCAGGGGAGATATCGCGCAGAAAAGGTCTACGCGCTCATGGGATTTTTCGAGCATCGCATTCTCCCAAATGCCGAGGAGACAGAGTTGCAAGCGCTTGCGCGCTTGTTTATGGCGAATGACAACGACCGCATTGCTGATCGCATGATCTCGATGTTCCCCAGAGATCGAAGAGGTATAGATCAATGGTACACCAAAGAAGACGAATATGGTGCCAAGCTTTGGGACATCGAGCCCGCTGTACAGGTCATCGGGATTACATCCAATGGTTCCCTTGTGTTGGATGGCTGCCGGGCGGCAGCGATTAGGTGGAAGAATTTTCCGTCCGTCGCATTTGCTACGAGGCGTTCTATCCGACGTATTGTGGCACATGCATTGCCATTCGTGACCTTGATCCTCTTTTTCACGAGTTGCACCATGATTTCTATCGGAAACCAGACCGCCTCTACTAGCGCATATGGAACTTCCTCGGGAACTTCACCCCTAGTTGCAGGCGGCGGCGTCCTGCTTGCTTTCTCACTTATTCTGCTGATATTTGCGCCAATCTTCACTACTTATGCACACTCTGGACGAGTCGTCCTTGCTCGTCCATGGCTAATCGGAGTCAAAGGAGTCGTCTCTGCGCAGGAAGCCTCCGAATATCTCTATGGACGTCAGATTGGGGATGTTCGTCGCACCCTTTACACTCCTTCAGGTTCACCTTTGGCGAGACCAAGAGAAGGTGATTCCAAGTTCCGCGAGGGCCACGTTTCGCAGTACAATGAGGCCCTCGCAGCCCCACCATTTGACCCTATTGAAGGCCACATGTTCACCCTCGTCGACACCATCTCAGGTACGATCTACTATTTCCGTGCGCACAGGCCTCCTACGGTCTGTCTTTTTACTGGATCAGAGGGTGGACAAGGGAGGTTTGTCCTGGCCAGCGAGGAATGCAGCAATAGCGAGCTGCGACGTGAGACGGTGCTCCGCATGCCGAGTTTCATCTCTGCTTACATGCACACTTCTGATTGGGTTGCTCTGGGTGGTAAGCCTTAAGTTCGGTACAGGCAATGACAGTTTGCATCATTGTTACTCTGCTATTTTATCGACACTTTCATTTCTATGGCGCATTTCTCTTCTCCTTTCCTATTTCCTTGTATTCTTATTTTTATTTTCACAATACATACCAAGTATGCTAATTGGTTCCTCACGGAACGTCCGTTCCTTGTTCCCTTTCTTTCACTCTGGTCTGTTGTCTATTGTCTATTTAATATTTGTTTGTCTAATTGTATAGATAAATCAGTAGTTCTTGCTTTCGCGTCAAATGGACGAGGACACACACATATATAGTACCATGGGTGCTTTGTTTCAGGCCGTGCTAAAATTTCAGAAATCGTGATGTGTTTGTAACAGTAAGTACACACGGGATCCAAATTCGGTCTATAGGCCATTACCAAGCACTTAGTTCTCGTGACTCACATCCTGCAGCCGTCTCTCCCAGAATCCATTTTTGTTCATTCACCGCTTTTGTTTACCTGTTGAGCTAGACAAATAAAGGGTCCTGCCTATTACGATACTTTGTCGGGTGAGATACCCCAGAATGGCACTGCGCAACTTATTCGGCACTGTCTTCGGACACCATTCTCACCATGGTTGGAAACCGCCGTCACATTCCAGCAGCCATAAAGCAAAAATGGGTCACTATGTCTGCCCAAATGTCATTCAAGGCTATAGCACAAGTCACTAACACGAGCCACTGAACTATCAACGTTGTGAGTTCTTCGGCTTTCTCGTCTCGCAGGCTCTGTTGTCAGAAGGTCCTTGGAAGGCGGTCGTCCTCGTCTGCTCTGTGCAGTAGATGTATCGGTGGGTGAAATAGGCCAGTAGTGTTCAATTACCCTAATCAAAGTCAAACATTCGAGAAGACGAGAAAGCCGTCGCGCTAATGACCAGGTTTCTAGCCCTGAGCAGATCATGTTGAAACCTGCGAGTACTAACGCTGAGCTCATGCCGTCATGATCAGTATCAGAGATGATGTTAAACATACCATGATGAGTCGGTGATAAATAGTCATAGCGGCAGTGGGCTCAGAGGGGTGTCAGACGCAGCGTCAAACGAGCTGCATACCGTATCATACAAGGTGCACAGTCCAGTGCCATTCTGGGATATTTCGCCCGACCAAGTATCATATGGCAGTGGTACCGCCCCCAAGAATCATGGATGAAAATACACCAATGTACAGTGTAAACGAACAGCACAAGGGACCAGTGCAGGTACTGGAATTGGACTGAGGGAAGGAGTTCACAGCACATGAGTACATACAGGAGCTCGGAAAAGTGGAAAATGAATCATTGGACACAAGAAGTAACGAGAATAAGGTGCATGTCCAACATCAAACACAACGACGTGGTGTGGAATACAGCAGAGAAAACATATGACCTTGATCAGGCAGAGTGGTGGCCCGGTGGCGAGCCACCGCCTCGGGGCCAGGTGAAATTGACGCGGTCCTGCCGCGCCGGGAGTCTGACGCGGCTTATGTGACGCGGCCCCGTCACAAATCCTTACAGATTATGTTCAAACTTCAAACACTATCTTATGTCGCTCGAAATGAATTCCAAACACTTTGAATCCTCGCTAATGATCAACATATGAATGTCCATCTGCGTACAGGTCCTGGAATGCTGTATTCACCTCTTACCAATTTTACAGTGCTTGTTCTCCGTGTTCGTACTACTTGGGAATGTTCTGTGCATCTTGTGTTTGTATTGTATTTTCTCTAATAATTCATCCAACCTTTGTTTTCAGACAGCAGTGTGAAGTATTGTATCACTGTGTCAAGTTTCGATCCCACCTTATCAGTTCTGGCAGCCTCTCTACTCTGGAGTCTGTACTACTACATCAAGCCCCCAACCATGCCATGTCAAGCTTCAGTCAGGCTGGTCAAGCACTGCTCACACTACGACAAGTTCTCCCCAACATCTTTGCAGCCTCCGTACTAATGCAAACCTCCACACTTACCTATGCCACGTCAAGGCCCACTTGCATGCCGCGTCACAGGCGCGTCAAGCAAGTTGTGCCGCGTCAGACCTCACCCGAATCTCCATCCGAAAGCAGCATTTTATTGCGATGGATGCTCAACACAGCAGTCAAAAGCCGTGCCGCCGACTCACAAGTGAGTTTGTACAGCTGTACCACTTGCATAGACTGACTTCTGTGGCTTAGGAGCAGCAGGAAAGCCACAAGCAAGAAGAAAATGGCTCCGCTTCACACGCGTCTGATGTTTGTCTTTTGACTTCACTTGTAGTGCAGGCAAAGGGGCTCTTGCTCGTCTTGGCAAGTATTGGTATCATGTGCGGCTGATTCAGTCCCATGAGACTGCTAGTCTCCCTAGTACTGCACGCAACCGAGTGCGCTGGCAGGTGGTTTGGTGGCGCGGTTGCAAATTCCCATCCAGTCTCGGATCACCTCCTAGTGATGTCGAGCAAGGAGATCTCGTGGACGAACTCTGGCAGGACCAATCTAAGAGGCGTGAGATTCGCGTGAGTGTCATTGACTGGTTATGTACTTAGTCCTATTAACATGAAGTATTGTGTAGCTCGGAGAATGGGTCCACTCTTGGATACCTCTCGCGAAGAAGACTTGATTCAAAACTTTATGTCAGCACAACCATCGAAAGAATTGGATGACATTCTACGACCTCATATTGCTTCGCTTCAGAAGCTCCTTGATAGTCCTGACTTGAGCCAGTGTGGTGCGGAGGCATATCCTGTGATAGACTACATCTTGCGGTCGGGGAGGAACCTAGATGGTGTGGGTGCATACAGCATACCATTTTGTGGCGACATCTCATCTCACGAGTATGCAAAAATCGCATGTTGGTTTGCTGAGAACATTCCTGGTGCCTCCAGTCAATTCGAAAAATGGCTTGGTGGCATGCCTTTAGCGCACGCTTTCACTCTCGTTGCTCATCGAAAGGCTGGTTATTTCAAAAAACGCGAATGGAACAATAGCGCGCTTTTGAAGATGGCTTGGGATGATCTCATGGTAAGCTATCCTGCCGACAGTTTCGTGGCTGACGTAGACCTTGAGTGTCTGACCACACTAGAAGCATGGATGTTCGAGGATTCCGAAGAAGCAGGACTTGCAGGCAACTGGCAGTGGAGTTTGGATGCTGGTCAATATCACAGGCGGTGGGACGTATCAACATTCCTACTGAGAGGGTTCTGGGCAGAGATTACAGCGAGAGTGAACTTGAAGTAAGGAAAATATTACCTGCTCTGTTCAATAGGTCTCTAACCGGTGTGATTGACAGCGCGGTCCTTTATTCAGCAATAACTCTGATGCCACGTCTGCAGACGAGTTGTCCGACGTTGTAGCTCCTTCGCTGCCGGCTGAAGAAGATATTGCGCCCGTGAAACGTCGCCCTTCACTGCCAGCTGAAGAATGCGCATCAGTTAAGCGTCGACCGTGCTTCAAAGAGGGTCCAGAGAGGGAGGAAAAGAAAATAGTCATTGGCTGATGCGATTAGTAGTATGTGTCCTTAATGTAGAACACTGGCGCGGCAGGACCGCGTCAAATTAGCTACGCCCGCCGCCACGACATCCACGCACAGCTCTCTCCAAAGGGCCCCCACGCATCGAGGTATAGGTGCCTGAGGATTTGGATCTGACAAAAACCCTCCTCCCACATTCATGGGAAGTCGGGGAAAACGTCTCTGATTTTAGAAGCCATGCTATACAACAACTGCCCATCTCAGCATGTGTTATGGATCCTGACAAACCGTCTCTAGGCACCTCCTGGAAGCTTTAAAGTGACCGTATAGAAAGCTGATGCTATCATATCCCTCTCGCCTCCGCCCACAGTAAGCTCTGTGTTCGCTTTATCGTTTAATATTCTTTGACCGACGTTGCTATTATCGGGCCATTAAGCTGAAGATGAATTATGCCACTGATGAGACATACTATATCCCTCTCACCTCTGCCCACAGTAAGCTCTGTGTTCGCTTTATCGTTTAATAATCTTTGACCGACATTGCTATTATCCAGCCATTCAACCGAAGATGAATCATGTCACTGATAAGAAACCCCGGTGCTATAACAGTCAGCTCAAGCCCTTTTATCATGGAAAAAATTTGCGATACACTAGTCCCTCTAGCGGAAAATGCAAGCACCTTGCTGTGCAGTCCGTGAAACCCAGCTCGACAAGTGACTGGACCGAGTGCGCTGTTCATTCGAACGTGCCAGCATCCACTCAGCTTGCTGGTCGGCTGACCAGGATGATATTCAACCCAACTGGCGAAACATTTTTCTGGTTATTCATCTGGCTCTGTTATATCATCACATTGTGCGTTCCATCGAGAGGGCCTGCGTTCACCCATTATTACAAGCCGTATTTGATGCGGTTTGTTGGCCAACTGTGGGCTGCACGCTCACCAATGGAATACTCTCTACGGGCACGAGCAGCAGATGAAGATGATGGACACGTCCAACATGTCACCCACGCCCTCTACCCCCGCTTCCTTGTTGTATATGACGAAAACAGAAGAGCTTGGGAAAGAGTCGATGCTGAGGCAGTAGTGAGGCGAAAACCATATGTCGCTGTCACCTACTGCTATGCCGATGTGATAAATTCTGGAAGCATGGAGGCGCTCATAGAGCGGGTGCGGAATGCTACCTTGGATCAAGGTTTTGATGCATACTGGCTAGATCTCGAGTGCTTATTCGAGGATCCCGTGCAAAAAGCCCAAGACCTTTATCGCATGTCAGATGTCTACCGACTCGCCTCCTTCACACTCATCATACTCTCCGACGAGAGCGCTTGGCCCGCTTGGGGCGCCCGCGTTTGGACCCTGCCAGAAGCTCTCCTCAGTCGCGAGCTGCGATACCTGGCTGGAAACAATGCAGTAACCCCCATCAGTCTCATCCAAATCGCCTCTTTAGCTTACTCGCACCACGATGAAGAATCCCATATTATCAACTCTTATGCCCTCGGGAAGGATCCGCTCGAGAGGTTAGAGCGCAATCTCCAACTAAAAGAAGCAATATGGCGCCGACAAAGCTCCTCCTCTCAACTTACGAGTGAGGAGGGAAGTTCTCAGGGGAGATATCGCGCAGAAAAGGTCTACGCGCTCATGGGATTTTTCGAGCATCGCATTCTCCCAAATGCCGAGGAGACAGAGTTGCAAGCGCTTGCGCGCTTGTTTATGGCGAATGACAACGACCGCATCACTGATCGCATGATCTCAATGTTTCCAAGAGATCGAAGAGGTATAGATCAATGGTACACCAAAGAAGACGAATATGGTGCCAAGCTTTGGGACATCGAGCCCGCTGTACAGGTCATTGGCATTACAACCAATGGTTCTCTTGTGTTGGATGGCTGCCGGGCGGCAGCGATTAGGTGGAAGAATTTTCCATCTGTCGCGTATGCTACGAGGCGCACTATCCGACGTATTCTGGCACATGCACTGCCATACGTGGCCCTGTTCCTCTTAATAATAGGTTGCTACATGATTTTAATCGGAATGAAGACCGCCTCTGCCAAAGTCCCCGGAATCGTCGTGCTTGCTTTCTCACTCATTCTGTTGATATCTGCGCCAGTCTTCACAACTTATGCGCACTCTGGACGAGTCGTCCTTGCTCAGCCATGGCTTATCGGAGTCAAAGGAGTCATCTCTGCGCAGGAAGCCTCCGACCGCCTGTATGGATATCAGATTGGGGATTCTCGTCGCACCCTTTACACTCCTTCAGGATCGCCTTTGGCAAGACCAACAGAAAGTGATTCCGAGTTCCGCGAAGGCCACGTTTCGCAGTACAATGAGGCCCTCGCAGCCCCACCCTTTGACCCTATTGAAGGTCACATGTTCACCCTCGTCGACACTATCTCGGGCACGATCTACTATTTCCGTGCGCATAGACCTCCCACGGTCTGTCTTTTTGCTGGTTCGGAGGGTGGGCAAGGGAGGTTTGTCCTGGCCAGCGAGGAATGCAGCAGTAGCGAGCTGCGACGTGAGACGGTGCTCCGCATGCCGAGTTTAATCTCTGCTTACATGCACACTTCTGATTGGGTTGCTCTGGGTGGTAAGCCTTCAAGCCGGTCCAAGCAATGATTTGCATCATTGTTACTCTGCTTTTATCAACGCCCTCATTTCTTTTCTCTTTTCGAGCTCCTTTCTTATTTCCTTTGTGTTTTCATTTTTATTTTCACAATATCCGAGCGATCCATCCGTCTTCGGACGTTTTCTACCGTGAATTACAATAAGAGACATTTGTACACTACGTTTGCTATTGTCTTTCTCTCTTCTTTCTTGCAAATAGCGTTCGAATGTCTCGCCGACATCGTACTCTTAAAACTGCGGTGTATCAAGTTGTCGGTAACCTCTTTTGTACAAATTCTGTTTGACTCCTATCGACTCAATTCTTCCAACATGTCTCTTGACGACTACACATCCAGCGCGAGCACCCTTACTCTATTAGATGACCATGCATTCAAAAGCGATCTTCTTACCATGATGAGTGACACTGAGCCGCACAGGTGCCAAAATTCCAGAAATTGTGATGTGTTTGTAACAGCAAGTAGTATATGCGGGATTCAAATTCGGAGTCTATGGGCCACTGCAGGCGTCTATTTCTTATATATCTTGCTCATGTCGAATCTCGATCACCCACCAAAGTTTTCTTCTACAGTCAAGTCAGTCGTCGATCGGTAATTGAAAACTGACTCTCGTCTACTGAGCTCTGTTGATCAAAGGTACCAGATGGAGATTAGCGTTCGAGCCTGCGGTACTAATGTGTTGCAACTTGCATCCACTGGCATGTGCATGCCACTAGTGCTGGTTGAAACTTCCAAGATATATCGACAACTTGATATACTTATTTACGATGCCCTTGGTCTCAACTCTCGTGACCGAGTCACATCTGCAGCCAGTCTTGAGTTCCCCGTGGGCCACTAGACTCTGTGCATGCAGCCGTCTCTCCCATTATGCCATGGGTGTGCGACAAATCTACTGTAGAGCTACGACACTAGGTTCGTCACAGGTCACAGCCCTTGACGAATCGAATCTATTTGGTGTGACCGTCACATGAATTTTGGCGGGACGAAGCTAATTTGTGACATTCGGAAAAAACATAGGAAAAACATAGGTTGTGCACTAATGGGACCAAAAATCATTATACATCGAATTTGTGATGCGTCTATGCTTTCCACGCCCATAATCAACCGTCGGAACACTGTTCGAGCCACCTTCCACATCTTCAGCGGCAATGCCACCCACATCATAGACTTCGGAGTGGCTTGCACACGAAAGTCCACCATCTGCATTGATATGGCAGTCAGAATGGACCTGTTCACCCCCGGAAGCCATATGGTCAAGAAGTGCATCCATTGGCACGTCACACAATCACGAAGCAGCGGCATGTCAGATGGTTGCAAGCGGCAAAGCACCCGCAGGCAAATCTATTTGGGTGTGGTCACAGGTCACATGGTCATTCGAACCAGTGACACTGAGTGTGACATAATCACACGCTGCATGTGACGAAGCTAGTGTCGTAGCTCTACAGTACGTCTGTCTGGATCCCAGGCCTGGCTGCCTCTACATCAGGAAATCACGCATTTCCTTTTCTAGCTTTTGTCACGCTTTTTTACGAGACCTGTTACTAATCTTCGCTTTTTCTCACTTGTGCTTTGGACATGAAAAGTTCGTGCGATTGAATTAAGCAAGCACGCTAAAATGAGTGAAAAAGCAAGAAAAAGCGGAAAAGCAAGAAAAAGCAAGAAGTTCGAAAAGAGTATGTCAACATAGAAAAAGGTGAGCCATGTAGTCTAAAGCACTACCAAGCTATCTCAAAGGCATGATGATCCGCATATTTGTTCACGTAGAATAGGTTGAATATATCGAGAACATGATAAGATTGAATTGACGAGGGGAGCGGTTCAGTACCATAGACCGGAATAAGATGTGCGGAATGAAAAATAGCCTCCACGTGAATCACTGCATAGTGTGCGTGGTTACCATCAGAAGATGGTGACACTACCCACATTCCGGTGTCTTCATCTGGCGCATCGTCGATTCGGTTGAACCACCGGATGACCGCGCATGGATAGTACTGACATCTAAGTCGAAAGGAAAAAAAAAACGTGAGTACCTGACCTATGTCCATGCCCCGCATTCCGGGAATATTCGGGTCAGTAATAACAAACACGCAATCCTTGCGCGCATGTCTGTTCCTCCATTTGGGGGACATGCGAATGTGCTCGCGTTTCATCCCTCCAACTCCACTCAGGTCGCTTGGTGCAAAAAAAGTCGAAACTGCGGAGTGGAAAACTTGTATCCTTCCGTCGTAGCGAGGGCAGTCCATAATACCTGAGGGGATTTGTGCAGGGTCCTTGTCTGGGTACAGCTGCTCAATAAGGAATTGTTGAACAAGTTCAGCCAAATTGGGGATGTTGAGCTCATTAGCGAGTGCAGGAATGTTTTGTGGGTGCTTTTTCCCCTCTGTTCATAATGATACTTAGTATATCAAGGTTATACAAATGAAAAAAAAGACATACAAGATGTTTGAGCAAGTTCTACGTGCGCAAGGACCGAAGTGGGTGTGTCAATATCCTCGGAGTCAGCGCTGACATTGGCGTTGAGTACACTGGCACTTTGGATTGTGCTGGGCAGCTCAGAGTCTGTATTGGTCTGCTCTTCCGCATTGGTAGGTGCAGGATGAGCAGACTCTCCATCTGGTTCTTGTAACAAAGGTCAAATGATTGAATGACGAACAAAGTAAAAATGAATTACATACCGACTGCCGCAAGAATAGATGATAAACACGTACCCGGTGTCTTAATAACTGAGGGTCTTATATGAAAACGTGTAAGAATGTAATGACACCACAATTACACTGGATAAGACTTCTTGCCAGTCCTCGATTAACACAGTCTACGACTTTTCTTCTTTCGTAGTAGATAATGTGTGAGTTCTTGGGAGGCTCGCTAAACCAATCAGTTAGATTAACTTAGCCGGAGCTCTATTATCTCTGATTGAAACTATGGGATTGTCTAGGATATACCGTCTAGACACTTGAACTGGTTTCCTGAATATACGGTTAACTGTTGAGAAGCTGGTCTCAAATGTGACTACGTGGACCAAAGCTTGTGTTGGTCAATATACAAATACCTGGTGAGAACGCTGGTCTCACAAATAACAACAAATGACAAATAGAAAACAATGACAAATAACAACAATGACCAAAGCTCGTGTTGGTCAGTATACAAATACCTGGTGAGAACGCTGGTCTCACAAATAACAATGGTGACCAAAGCTCGTGTTGGTCAGTAAACACTACGTGGTGAGAACACTGGTCTCACAAAACTGGGTTTCTATCGCGAGAAACTTACGTAATCTCAAGGGAAACACTTTCCCTGCACTTGTCTGGACAGTTCTTACAAAGGAAATGGGCTTTGTAAGCAGCAATTTGTTCAGACTGAAGCTTCTTAGGTGAGAGTTCAATTTGCTCAAGTGGGAGTTCTTGAATGCAACAAGTGGGAGATCTATTTTTTTGGGGGAGAATGGGCTCTCCTTATATACATTTTGTGTGGGAATATTATGTAAGTAAAAAGGTGATGTAATGACTTCAGAATGTGAGAAGAATATTCCAAAAACTGGAGCAGAATGTTCTAGCAGGTGCAAAAGAACATTCCAGAATATTCATGGTGGGATAATGACATCATTCTGAGTCACTATGAGTCACTATGAGTCATTATGAGTCATTGGAATGTTCTAGCAAATTCCATGGAACATGACATCATTATGACATCACTATGATATCATATCTTTCAACCAAAATACCTGCAGGAGTGTAGGTGAAGTCCTATGACATCATTATGACATCATACCTTGTAGGTACAATTTTAAGAAGCATCTGATTAGTCAGAGCATCCTAATAGAAAAGTAAAGTAAAGAAACACTAGAGAAAACAACTCAGAAATAATGGAACAAATAATAGTACACAATACGCGGGCTTTTTAGATAGGTTTTTGTTAGGCTTTGAACTTTTCTCTATGGGTTTCTCTAGCCAAAGTGAATAAGCCAAATGAAAGGCAATACCTTAACCTTCATTTTGCTTCTCATATCAACTAGGTCATTATGTGATTCCCATCTCACATATGACTTTTCTTCAAAACATGGTGGATTCATGAATCACTGAGGGAAAACTGAAACTATTGGACCAAGGTTTGATACCAAGGTATGGGTTGACTAGTCTGAGGACTAAGCTAACAGACTTTGTCTTTTAGGGGGATACCTAGTAGTCATGTCCATGCATGATTCCCAAATCATGCAGGACATCCGCGGGGCAGTGAAATCACAACTGTCCCCAGTTGTGTGCTCAATCATGCATAATGGTGGTGAATAAATAAAATCATGAAATGGAATATGGGCACCAAATGTGGGTCAGGAAGAAGCTGTCAAGTACCTTGTCAAAATATATAGATTTTTGGCTCCATGATCATGTAAGCTTATCTTCTGATAAGGTCCATGCTCACAGATCTTTTTCTTTAGTAGTCATATCTCTCTAAGTTCATGCAAACATATGTACTATATGATGCATGTCCATAGAATATGGGTGGGTGGGATGGGTTAAAATAAGTCAATCACTTTCTATGACTGACTCATCTTCTGTTGATACATTGGCACTTGACAGGGATATGTCATCATCTTCCTCTTCAAGGGGATCTGCTAGTGATGGTAATAATGATAAATCTCTTGAGATATAAGGTACAAGTCTAAATGCAGCTACACCACGTTTTGATAAGACACCATTCATTTCTCTTAAGACATAAGATCCACCCTTGGTTTGTCTTTCTACAACAAAAGGGCCTAGATAATGGAGTTTGGTTTTGCGATTGAGTTCTTTCTCAATCCTTGTATTGCATACAAGGACTAAGTCTCCTTTTTGGAAAGCTTCGCAATGCATTCGTAGATGAAACTTGTGTTCAAATTGAGCTTTAGACTTGAACCGGGCCTTTTTCAAGGTCTTTGCAGCACGGTCTAAGTCTTCCTGCCGTCTTTCAATCTGGCGGATACGTAGGGATAAGAAATCTGCTGGATCCATATTAGCATGGAATCCTTCTACCATGAAGGTTGCTTCTGTTAGGTCAAATGGTAGAACGGGATGAACTCCATGTAACAAATAGAAGGGGGACCATCCAGTCACACAACTGGTGGTTATGTTTTCTGCAAACAATGCCTGCCTTACTTTCTCAGGCCATTTTGCAATATTCTTTCCACAACTTTTTACTATAGCTTCTCTGATATTGAAATGCCCTCTTTCAACAACTCCATTAGCTTGGGAATTGTAAGGGGAAATCTGGACATGGGGAATATCAACACGCATGAGGAGTTGTTCAAATGCTCCTCTAACTTCGGGTCCATTGTCAGTCACTACTTGACCAATGGCTCCATATCTGCAATACAAATCTTCCCAGAAAAACTTTGCCATAGCTTTGGCAGATGGGTTTCGTAATGCTCTTCCTTCAACATAGCGGGATAAATCATCCCTAGCGAGTACAAGATTTTTGTGGCCTGCAGCTGAAGGCATCTTCATAATATCCACATAGATCTTGACAAATATAGTCGCAGGGGTAGAAACAGTAATGGGGATGTGCATTTTCTTTACACTTCTTGCTTGACAATCATGACAAGATTTGATACCAAGGTATGGGTTGACTAGTCTGAGGACTAAGCTAACAGACTTTGTCTTTTAGGGGGATACCTAGTAGTCATGTCCATGCATGATTCCCAAATCATGCAGGACACTGAGAGCATTCTGCGAGTGCGAAAATCCACGCGTAATGCTGCCAGCTTATCTAGACGCTGATTAGTTAGCAGCATCTGACCTAAAGCATTGTACTGGCTAGACCGCCTCCAAGGCTCCTTGACGGCCTTAATGTGCTTCGACTCTGTAATAGAGGAGCACAGGCCGTTCGGAGCACCGAACAGTCGAATGAGGTAGATATAGTGAGTCATGGCATGTTGTCGGGGAAGCGAGAAGGTTAGGACTGTTCCAGTAGTCTTGAAAATCTCCCAATATTGGTGAAAACGAGTGGGGGGCGTCTTGGATGGCATCGAGTGACTTCTCAGTGATTACATTGCGGCGGACAAGGTAACAGAATTTGAGAAAGGCACGGAACGTACGCACAACATCCACAGGGACGTAACCTTCGATGGCTGGCAAGTACACCTTCATAAGAGCCTTTGAATCGTCACCAGTCCACTTTTTGAAATGACGTCCTTGAGGAAATCTACGAAGTCTGGGGAATGGAGGAACTGCTGCAATTCTATGAAAAGTTAATCGTAAATAAAAGATTATGGTGTGTAAACGCACCATCAGTCAATGTCATCTAGAATTATGTTAGCCTGCGTCTTTCCGTGTGTGTGTAGTAGATATTTCTCCACCCAAGTAACTAAATGGTCCTTATATGCCCCCTTGATAATCTGATGGAGAAGATCAGGGGCGAGGAGCTCGTGGATGTCAGCGCGGGGAAATCGTTTGTAAATGGCTGAATATAAGAATCAATTCTAAGCACAAATGAGACTGAACAACTGAAGTACCACAAGCACGCTAACAACACCATAATCTTTCCACAGTGTATCAAAATCGCACTCCTCAATGAGTGCATCTGCATGAATTCGTGAACGAAGGAGGCTGATTTCATCGAGGTCATCACAATGGGCAAGACACCTAGAAGTATCTCAATATAACAATAGATACAATCCGTACTTAGAAAAACTCACTTGGCACACCAATTTCGAACGATGCATGCCAGCAACACCTGTTCCTCGTAGTCCGCGATATATGGCCCAAGTCCATATATGACGCGGTGATAGTGGCCGTCCCCAAAACGAACAATCTCAGGTGTCGTCATAGCCGGCTTCAGGTTCTTAAGGATGAATGAGAGAGACGAGTGAAAAATTTGACGCCGGAAGCTTCGAAAATCTGATGTCTCAGCATGTTGCTTCGTTGCTTTGCAGCAGGTAAGGACAATACTAAGATGTGAACATGTGAACACGTACTTTTTGGCATTGCGAGAAATCCCACCACAGCAACAGCGTTGCAGTGTGCACGGCGAACGGTATTCCGGATGTTCCCAATAGATGCATATAGAGGGTAGTTGTCATATACCATATATCCGGTTACAGATCCGATGATCTGGATCTCAGATCCGATCCAGATCCGATGAACATATCCGTCGTCCGGTCCACAGATCCGCTTTGATTCTTATTTCATTTCCTGTTCATATAACTCTAACTATCGTTCATCTCCTTTCGGTATTCCTGTACACCGGTATACCGGTTATCCTTTACTTCCGCTTTGCTTACTGATCCGCTATGCTTACTGATCCGCTACACTTACGAATCCGCTTTTACTTGTACTTCATTCCCGGTTCATGATTCGTGATCCATCCAACTTACCAATACGCTCCACTTAGACTTTGCTTATACTTTCGTACATAGCCTCGCACCTTTGCTTATTGATCATTCCGTTAGCTATCCGTAGTATATAAACCTTTGTATATGCGCTGTAGTAGATCAGTTCGAATATCATCTTAGATTGCACTCATTCCGTCTGGACTCTGAGTCCCTCCGTTATCCATCCGGACTTGAGTACGCTACTCTTGTCAACTCCGAGACTTAGGATAGATTCCTATAGTCTACATATCCGCCTCTGTCTTCGGACAGTCCTCACCCGTTAGTTTCTAGTCCGGATCCGATCCGGATTGGCCGTTACTCTATATACGCGATACTTTAGCTCTCTGAAATAAGGGGCAAGACTCGGGAAAGGGGCACAGCGCACGAGCTGAGGCCGAAGCCCTTCGGATCCGATACTACTTGAGTATGGTCTTAACAGTATATTCGAACTCATACCTTTCCGAGTTACTTAACATCTATCATGCCTCCTACCAAGACACAAACAACTCTGCACGCGGTCGGACTAACCTCCCTCCGTCGTGATCCAACACCTATAGTCAACACCTTCACCAGTTTCTCTCAGCGCCGTGTTAGCGCCCACGGAACCGCTCAAACCATATCCGAACTCCTTAATCGTCGACACCCGGAAACCCCAACACGCACTCCTGCCGTAGGACCTCCGGACGATGATGATCCCGATGATGGTGATGATGATTTCCCTGGTAATCCACCCGATGATAACGGTGGTGATCCGGATGATGATCCGGATGTTGAGGATGATGAAAATGACGGTCTAAACCCACAAGACCGCGTTATGCTTCGACTCTCAGAAGCCATCGATAACCTTGCTCGCAATAATCGTCGCGCGCCCGCATCCGAAGATTCTAGAGTCAAGGTCCGAGAACCGGATACCTTCGACGGATCCGAACCACGGAAGCTCCGTGCGTTCTTTGTCCAGTGTGAGCTTAACTTCCAGAGCAAGCCTAAGGCTTTCCGTACCGGAAGGGCTAAAGTCAACTTCGCCCAATCCTACCTTAAGGGTATGGCCCTTGAATGGTTTGAACCGGATCTCCTGTCCGATGATTCGGACGACCATCCGGATTGGATGGATGACTATTCCGTGTTCATGCTTGAACTCCAAGCCAACTTCGGGCCTCATGACCCATCCGGTGATGCAGAAATGCAGCTCGAACAGCTCCACATGCGCGATGGACAGCGCATCAACAAGTACTGTTGTGGAATTCCAGCGTCTTGCTTCACAGGTTCGTGGCTGGGGCGACGGAGCCTTACGACGCCAATTCTACAACGGACTCCCGGCCCGTATCAAGGATGAAATCAGTCGCATGGGTAAACCCTCTACTCTTTCCGAATACAAAGTCCTCGCTCAGACTATCGACGCCCGATACTGGGAACGGAAGGGAGAGATCTCTCGAGAAGCTAAACCCACTTCATCCACTACCCCTAAGCAATCCGCTTCTGACCGGACGAACTCCAATACGTCCGGATCCGGAAATCACAAATCCGGAAACTCCCATGATCAGAAGTCTACAAAGCCATCCGCGTCCTTCAAACTCGTCCGCTCCTAAGGTTCCGGATCTTACTTCCAAGCTGGGTAAGGACGGAAAGTTAACGTCCGAAGAGCGGCAGAGAAGGATGGACAAGAAACTCTGCTTATTCTGTGGTGGACCCGGCCATACTGCTCGGGAATGCACCAAGTCTACTTCGCGTGCTGCCAAAGGCCGCGCTGCAGTAGTCGCTCCGGAAGTCAAACCGGATGTCTCTACTGAGACAAAAAAATAGTCCGCGACTCTCCTAGCTCCATGCAGGAAGAGGGTCGCGTTGACTCTGCCTGCACAAAGGAGTTAAGACTCAACGCTGTCGCGCTCTCGGATCCGACTTCCCTCTGTCCATATGTTTCACTTCCGTTACTTCCATCCGTATCCGAATTTCCAGCTCTTGTAGATTGTGGTTCTTCTCATTGTTTCATAGATACTGCGTTCATCCGAAAACACAAAATCCCTACAAATCCGATACCTACGATTCCGCTCCGCTTGTTTGATGGTACTTGTAATAATACTATTTCCGAAGCTATAGATTTGTCCGTCCGCTTTCCGTCCGGTGTAGTCACCTCTGATACGTTCTACGTTACCCCTTTGGATTCATCTTGTTTTATCGTTCTTGTTAAGACCATACTCAAGTAGTATCGGATCCGAAGGGCTTCGGCCTCAGCTCGTGCGCTGTGCCCCTTTCCCGAGTCTTGCCCCTTATTTCAGAGAGCTAAAGTATCGCGTCTAGTGAAACGGATATGTATTGCAATGGATCCGTTAAGACTTCCGGATATCGAACGTATAGAGTAACGGCCAATCCGGATCGGATCCGGACTAGAAACTAACGGGTGAGGACTGTCCGAAGACAGAGGCGGATATGTAGACTATAGGAATCTATCCTAAGTCTCGGAGTAGACAAGAGTAGCGTACTCAAGTCCGGATGGATAACGGAGGGACTCAGAGTCCAGACGGAATGAGTGCAATCTAAGATGATATTCGAACTGATCTACTACAGCGCATATACAAAGGTTTATATACTACGGATAGCTAACGGAATGATCAATAAGCAAAGGTGCGAGGCTATGTACGAAAGTATAAGCAAAGTAAGTAAAAGCGGATTCGTAAGCATAGCGGATCAGTAAGCAAAGCGGAAGTAAAGGATAACCGGTATACCGGTGTACAGGAATACCGAAAGGAGATGAACGATAGTTAGAGTTATATGAACAGGAAATGAAATAAGAATCAAAGCGGATCTGTGGACCGGACGATGGATATGTTCATCGGATCTGGATCGGATCTGGATCGGATCTGAGATCCAGATCATCGGATCTGTAACCGGATATATGGTATATGACAGTTCTTGGATATAGCTGGCTCACCCGACACAATCCGTTGATTGACTGGGTTTGGGCAGCATCGAATTCCGGACGACATCTCATGGAATGCCATCGACCCCTCCGACGTCACTTCCGTCCTCGGATATCCCTCCTCCGACGGAAACCATACCTCCTCCGACTACATCCGTACCCTCCGCTGATAACACTGTTCCTAATATATCCCTAATCAATGCAGTTGCCTTTTGCCGGGCCTGCAAGTTAGAAGGATCGGTCCAGTTCAGTATATACCTTCGACCATCCGGTGTCGATCTCCGATCCGCTTCTCTATCGTCCGATCCTCCGGATCTATCCAAAATTCCTTCGGACTATCACGAGTTTGCGGATGTCTTCGACAAGGGAAAGGCTGGTCAGCTTCCTCCACATCGTCCTTATGATCTGAACATAGATCTGGAAGAAGGAACTAGTCCTCCCCTCGGAACCATCTATTCGCTATCCCCGGTCGAGCTTGCAGCCCTCCGGAAGTTTCTTGATGAAAATATTGCCTCTGGACTCCTCCGCTCCTCATCCTCTCCTCACGGAGCTCTGGTCCTATTTGTCAAGAAAAAGGACGGATCCCTCCGCCTTTGTGTGGATTTCCGTGGACTCAACCAGATCACTAAGAAAGACCGATATCCGTTACCCCTCATTGCCGACCTATTAGACTCTCCGAGCCGTGCTAAAGTTTATACCAAAATCGACCTCCGATCCGCTTATCATCTCGTCCGGATAGTGGAAGGGGACGAATGGAAGACTGCCTTCCGAACACGCTATGGCTCCTATGAATGGTTGGTGATGCCGGAAGGTCTCACTAACGCTCCAGCAGCATTCCAGCGCTTTGTCAATAGCGTGTTTGCTGATATGCTGGATGTATGCGTTATCGTATATCTGGACGACATCCTCATCTATTCCCATGACCTTGCGTCCCACAAGCAACACGTCCGAGAAGTACTCTGTCGACTCCGTAAACATCGTCTCTATGCCAAACCCGAAAAATGCGAATTCCATTCCACTTCCATTGAATATCTCGGATATCTCCTATCTCCGGACGGCTTAACTATGTCGTCCGATAAGATCCAAGCGATTACTGACTGGCCGGAACCTCGGAAAGTCAAGGATATCCAATCCTTCCTCGGATTCGCAAATTTCTATAGACGGTTTATATTCAACTACTCGGATATCGTGGTTCTGTTAACACGGCTTACACGCAAGGATGCTCCGTGGAACTTTTCCGATGAATGTCGGAAATCCTTCGAAGAACTCAAGAAAGCCTTCACTACGGCTCCGGTGCTTACGCACTGGATGCCGGATGTTCCTATAGTTGTGGAAACCGATGCCTCTGACTACGCTATAGCTGGAATACTATCCATAGTATGTCCGGACTCAGAGCTTCGTCCGGTAGCGTTCTACTCTCGAACGCTAACCGCTCCGGAACTTAACTATGACACCCACGATAAGGAACTTCTAGCTATATACGAAGCTTTCCGGACCTGGCGACATTATCTAGAAGGCTCGGCCGAGCCTGTAGATGTTGTCACGGACCACAAGAACCTTGAGTACTTCGCCACTACCAAACTCCTCTCTCGCCGTCAGGCCCGCTGGTCGGAATTCCTCCATCAGTTCAATCTTGTCATCCGCTTCCGTCCCGGAAAACTCGGCAGTTAAACCGGATTCCCTTACTAGACGCTGGGACGTCTATCCCAAAGAGGGGGATAAGGACTACGCTCGAGTTAACCCTCATAACTTCCGTCCGGTATTCACGTCCGAACAGTTAGCTTCGTCCCTACGAGCCTCAACCTTAGCAACTCCGGTTCTTAGAGCAGCTGTTCTAATGGATATTGATGACCTTCGGAAAGACATCCTGACCGCACTTCCTAATGACCCTATTGCAACCAACCATCTTCCGGTACCTTCAGATCCGAGATGGACAGTGGACGATAGGGGTTTCCTCCGTTGCGACAACCGTATATATGTCCCAGAATCCGATAACCTTCGACTTCGCGTCCTCCGTAATACTCATGATCACCCCTTATCCGGACATTTTGGTCAAAACCGAACCCTAGACCTCATCCGACGCGAGTATACATGGCCGGGTATACGCACCTATGTTAAGGACTACGTCCGGTCCTGCACTACCTGCGCCCGAGCCAAGGTTCCGAGACATAAACCCTACGGATTGCTCAAGCAACTACCCATACCGGAAAAGCCTTGGAATTCCATATCCATGGATTTCATAGAGCAACTTCCGGACTCATCAGGCTTTACAGCCATCCTCGTTATCATAGATCGTTTATCCAAACAAGCAATATTTGTTCCGACTCACGATACCATTACCTCTCTGGATCTCGCTCGTCTATTCCTACTTCATGTGTTTTCCAAGCACGGAGTTCCGTCCCATGTCACCTCGGATCGCGGTACAGAGTTTGTATCCCACTTCTTCCGATCCTTAGGAAAAGCATTGGATATGGTCCTCCACTTCACATCCGGATATCATCCGGAAGGGGATGGACAAACCGAGCGTGCCAACCAAACCCTGGAACAATACCTTCGGATATATTGCAATTATCAACAGGACAACTGGTCGGAACTACTTCCCTTAGCAGAATTTGCCTACAATAACTGCTCCAAGTGCTACTACCGGAGTATCGCCTTTCTTTGCTAATAAGGGTTATCATCCGAACATATCCGTCCATCCGGAACGCGATCTATCCTCCATCCGCGCTCGCGACTATGCTATAGACCTCGACGACCTTCACCAATTCCTTAGAGAAGAAATGGCTCACGCCCAAGAAAGATATCAAGGACCTGCGGACGCTAAACGGAAGCCTGCTCCGGATATCAATATCGGAGACCAAGTCTTTGTCAAGGCTAAGTACTTCCGGTCCACTCGTCCGTCTAAGAAACTCTCGGAAAAGAATCTAGGTCCGTTTGAAGTCATATCCCGTCCGGGTACCCATTCCTTTACCATCCGACTTCCCGAATCCATGACATCCGTCCACCCCGTCTTCCATGTCTCACAGCTAGAACCATCCGTTCCGAACACAATTCCCAATCGGATCCAGCCTCCTCCACCTCCGGTTGAAGTCGACGGAGAACCAGAATATGAGATATCCGAAATCCTAGACTCTAAGCTGGACCGTCGTAGAAGACAATGCCAACTCTTATACCTCGTCCGATGGTCCGGATACGAAGGAACAGACGAAGAGACTTCATGGCTACTAGCCACGGAACTCGGAAACGCGTCCGATCTAGTCTCGGATTTCCACACTGCATATCCAGACAAACCCGGTCCTATTGCTATACAATGAATATACAAAGCGGATATACAAGTACATTAGTAGCAGAGAAGGCAGATCCGAAAATCCTCAGCCATCCATCTCCATGTCCCCACCCGATCCGGATCCGGATTCATCAACGTCCTTGTCAGTGGCCTCAGAACGAGCCGCCTCTGTAATCCGGATTCCATTCCGGATCCCCTCAAGGAGGATGGTCTGGAACTCCCTCTGCTGCTCCAAAAACGCCTCCAAGTTAGTATTCATCCGCTCTATAGCAGTCCTACTCCCTTCTGCCGCTCCGATGCTCTGCTGGAGCAATCCGTTGGTCCGAGCCAGTTCCGCTACAATGCTATTAGCGGCCGCGACCCAGGCCTGATCATCATACTCCACTTCCACCTCATCCGCTACTACCGTCTTCATATCCGGATCCGGAGTCGGACTCTGCTGGCGCTTCTTACCCTTGCCTCTCGGAGATGGGTTCTCAGCAGCGCGCTGCCTCTTCTTAGACTTGGAATCCGTAACGGTTCCAGGTCGTCCGGGACAAGGAGCCTTGTCCTTCCGGCACGCGTTACAAGCCTTGATCTATCCGAATGTTAAGAGTCACGGATCCGAAGATTCAAGGATGACTTACCAAGGAATTGCTATCCGCATCGGACCACAGACAGGCCCGACCCTTCTTAGCGCAGCGGGTACAAGCCCCATCCTTATCCGCTGAGATGGCGCGAGACTACGGATCCGATGAGGGACGGATCCGATAGAACAAGTCATAACTCACCATTTCCGCTACTATAGCCCTGCGCCTAGCCTCCTCCGCTTCCCTTCGGGCCTCAGCCCGTTCAATCTTCTTAATCCCTGCCAAGCGCTTCCGTTCCGCCTCTTCCGCTTGTTGCTTCAGCTTTTCAGCCTCTTCCTCCTTCTGAACCTCGGCCTCAGCAGCAGCCAGCGCGGCCTGGATATCCGCCAGAGTCTGCTTAGCGGTCTTCTTAGAGCCGGATCCGTTATCAGTCATGGTTGAGATAAGCTAGTGGTAGTGACAAAGTAGGGAAAGGAAGGAACACCCTGTGACGCTTTGGCATCCGTATATCTGTCAGAATCCGAACTCAGCAACTTCTCCCATCAGCTTCTCCATTGTCTCGCACTCATACCATCCGTTCCGGATCGCTGATTCTTGTGCCTCTAGGGATCGGCCCTAAGGGGGGGATACTGTCATATACCATATATCCGGTTACAGATCCGATGATCTGGATCTCAGATCCGATCCAGATCCGATCCAGATCCGATGAACATATCCGTCGTCCGGTCCACAGATCCGCTTTGATTCTTATTTCATTTCCTGTTCATATAACTCTAACTATCGTTCATCTCCTTTCGGTATTCCTGTACACCGGTATACCGGTTATCCTTTACTTCCGCTTTGCTTACTGATCCGCTTTGCTTACTGATCCGCTACACTTACGAATCCGCTTTTACTTGTACTTCATTCCCGGTTCATGATTCGTGATCCATCCAACTTACCAATACGCTCCACTTAGACTTTGCTTATACTTTCGTACATAGCCTCGCACCTTTGCTTATTGATCATTCCGTTAGCTATCCGTAGTATATAAACCTTTGTATATGCGCTGTAGTAGATCAGTTCGAATATCATCTTAGATTGCACTCATTCCGTCTGGACTCTGAGTCCCTCCGTTATCCATCCGGACTTGAGTACGCTACTCTTGTCAACTCCGAGACTTAGGATAGATTCCTATAGTCTACATATCCGCCTCTGTCTTCGGACAGTCCTCACCCGTTAGTTTCTAGTCCGGATCCGATCCGGATTGGCCGTTACTCTATATACGCGATACTTTAGCTCTCTGAAATAAGGGGCAAGACTCGGGAAAGGGGCACAGCGCACGAGCTGAGGCCGAAGCCCTTCGGATCCGATACTACTTGAGTACGGTCTTAACAGTCCCCTTGTTCCTCCAGCACAGGTTAAGGCCAAAGGTGCCGGCAAATATGGCATCATGGGCAAAGGTACTGATAGTGGGGGTGCAGAAGATAGCGAGGTAATTGGGAACAAGGGTGCAAAGCCGAAGAGTTCAATGAAGAAGCTTAAGAAGGCCAACCCTCTGTCGCGTGATGTGATCAGCACTGCAACGAGGCGTATCATTGATCAAGGGAAGGCACCTGACAGCGACAAGAAAGGAAATGTCAACCCGTCAGTGATTTCTCTTCTCACCATCATGATGTTAATGCTCACAGAATCCACGCTCCGCTTTATGACACTTACTTGGGCGCTTAGTAGTAAAAAGCTTAATCTGGCCGGCAAGGTTGATAACTGGCGCAGTCACCTGCAACCCGACCCGAAGAAAAAATCACCTGTTGCAAGTGCTGTTTCGGGCAACTCTCTGCCAGTAACAACTTTGAAGACAAGTCAGACTGCAGCAACCTCGGTCTCATGCGCAAAGGAACCCCCCCTCACCTTGACGGAATCTTCAGAGGAGTCGGTGCCAGGTGAGGATGAGGAAGAGGAAGAAGGCGAGGCAAAAGATGACGATGACGAATTGCCAGAGCAGTTATCTAGCTTTGTGGCTGATGGGAAAGGGAAGGTGGCAATGCAGGTAAGTGTCAGACTTGGCCCAGATCGATGAAATTGCTCACTTTCGGTTGTCGTAGAGTGCTATAGCGATCACAGAATTTTCAGATGATGATGAAGTGCCGGAAATACCACTCACCACTCCATTCAACTTACTACCATTCACGCAGCAAGCAGAAATAGTCAGGTTCGCTCTGGAACAAGCTCAGCCTCGCCCCATTAGCATGTCGAAGAGGAAAATCAAGGACCTTGTTGAATACTACAGTCCGAAGAGGACATTGCCAACAACGACGCGGACGTCACCTCTCTTGACGATATAATTGTTGACCCAGAAGATTGGCTTTCCTCTGAGATTGAGGATGTTCCCAAGTCAATGCGCACCACTGGCACTGCAAAGGTAAGTATTTCTTAAAATTCTACTTATATTCCGACACTGAGGCATGCACTTATAGACTAGCATATCAGTATCTACGAATCCGAGCCCATCCAAGAAAGCGAAGGTCGAACCAGCTTACTGGGACCCATCCAAGAAGGTGAAAATTGAACAAGTTTCCTGAAAGACAGCCAAAGTTGAACCGCCTTCTCAGGACGCGAGCATTATGGTGTTCACAACCCCCTGAGCCTGACTCAATGTTTGAAGACATGACGACAAAGCCCAAAACTGGAGGGCAATGGAGAAACACGGATCTCCCGCGGATGATGTTGGAGGATGGTGTGTGGCGCAGGAATTTTATACTGACAGTCTTTCTATGGGCGGGTGCTCAGCCAAAATTTTGGAACATCGAGTCTGATCAGCTACTTCCAGCACTCCAGTGTATTTTTGATGTTGCTTATCCAGGAACAGATCACAACATCCAGCCAAAAGGCCCTATCATAGGCTTGGTAAGTTTTCTACTACATTCGAAATATTTTTTCTAATGTCAAGTTATCCCCAACCAAAGGTGAATCAGCGTCTATGCTCCTGGCGCAGTAACTTTGGATCCATGGCCATCGCCCTTGTTACTAATTTCCTTGCTGCCTCCAAAGATGATGATAACGAGGATGACCAGGATGATACCAACGACTACGAGCAAGTGCTGGCAGCCAACCTTCTCGAGGACTATGCCTTCCTCTATGAGGATCCAGAGACCCGCGACCCAGACCAGATCTACCGGTCCATATTCATGTTAGAAATGATCGAGGCTGCCCACATTAATGCCGTTGTCGGATTCCTCGATGTACCTGCACTCAATACCCATGGTCTGCATTTGACAGGAATGCAGGCTGTAATTGCCGCAAGTGCCGCTGTGGTAAGTCCTATCTGCAGATTTGGGCTTTTATTAACAGCCCATTTCTATAGCTTGAACGTGCCTTTTCTTGAGCTGCAAAGCCAAAAACTCTTGCTGACGACTAAAGCATTGCTACTAGCAGCAGTAAGCCTCGCAAAATACCCCTAAAGCGCAACAAATCCTCGGGCAAGGACAGTACTGTAGCGTTGGCCTTTTCGGAGGCAAACTGTGGGTTAGTAACATCTGAATATTATGATTCCCTGCAGAGGTGTGGGCCAAAGTATACAACGGACATCATTGCCATGGCACGCCAGCGGCAGGCAGCATCCCAAAACCTCAAGAGCGCTGCTGCTGGGGAGTTGAAACCCAGGATGGGACGTGCCCTGCTCTGTGAGTATTTTTCATTCATCAGGTGCTCTACTGACACATCTGATAGAATATTCTGTGTTTTTGACATCTTGCATCATTTTCCCTGCTTTTGCTTGCCTGGTAGTATGCTCCAAACACATGCACTCCCATCATACTAATACTACCCCCATCGCTACTACTACTACTAGTAATTTGAGCCGTCACTCTCTTAGAGCTATCCTTGCACATTTGGACTACATTTTTCAATACCATTCATCGTTTTGGACTACTTATACCGCACTTATGTACTGCTTTTTTTGCTTAATGCAGCTTTTGATCCTTAATATCGTGCTTTTGAGTGGATCTCGCCAAAAAAAAGTTGACGATAAGTCAAGCATAAGTAGAATTTGAGTAGAGAGATCTACTGAAAAAAGTGGGTTCAACTTTTTTCAACCTGATGCAACTTTCCTACCGAGTCGTGCAAAAGTTGGATATAAGTGGGCAAAAAGTAAACGCGTAATTTCTTGATGTATATCCCAGGCCCAGGCTCTTTCACCAGGTGCGCCATTGGTTCCTCGGCGAATCCTTGCCAGGACATGCCTATCTAGACTCAGATCCTAGGCCCAGGTCTTTAGTAATCGGAGCGCCGCTGACGCGCCAGTTCCCACCTCCCGCGGCTTCTTCTGAATACTGTCCTCTGCCCCAATCATGTCGAATTGGTGTTGGCATCTAATGTTTTATCGTTTATCTTGTAGAGAAAAAGACGGTTCCTGCCATCAGAACCCACCTTAAAGAGGTGGGAATATTAGACTTTGATTGAAAACTGAATATGCACCTGCGGGTGATGCCCGGGTGGGTACCCAGGTACTTAAGCCTTGCGAAGCAGCATTTTTTTAGAGATATATAAGATTAGATCAGAGTTTGCAGCGGTTCGGGTAGCCAAACGGGTCTGCAAGGGCAGCAAGAACAACAAGCGCAAGTATGTCAGCCTCGAGTATATTACACTTGTCATAATTAATTGATTGCTCCCTCAGGACTTAGGACTTGCCTCCTCGGAGCCCTCCACTGTTTCAACTTTTAACTACTGGATTTCTGCTCGTTTCTTGCATATTCACACCGATGTCACGCATTTGTGAACCTAATAGCGAAATCATTGGCAGTGAGATGGGTCAGTCGCAATACCAGGCTTACTACCTTCCATTTACACCGTTCAACTCTTCTCTAACAGATAATGTGGAGCAGTGTCGAGCGGCCTTGCAGGAATGTTCCCCCAATGATTCTCATTGATCGACTTTTCTCAACGACCTTGGCAGTGGCCTTCAATGAAGGTTCCTTCAGCATGGAGACATGTCTGACCTGTCTGAATCCATCGACCTCTATCGAGCTGCCCTGGCGCTCTGTCCCTCTGACCATCCTAACCAATCCACATCTCTCAACAGCCTTGCCAGCGGCCTTCGACAAAGGTTCATTCAGCATGGAGACATGTCTGACCTGTCTGAATCTATCGACCTCTATCGAGCCGCACTAGTGCACTGTCCCTCTGACCATCCCAATCAACCCACATATCTCAATGGCCTTGCAAGCAGCCTTCAACAAAAGTTCCTTCAACATAGAGACATGTCTGATCTGTCTGAATCCATTGACCTCTGTCGAGCTGCACTGGCGCTCTGTCCCCCTGACCATCCTGACCAATCCATGTCTCTCAACGGCCTTGCCAGCAGCCTTCGAAACAGATACATACAGCATGGAGGCATGTCTGACCTGTCTGAGTCCACTGAGCTCCATCAAGCTGGAGCCCCTTCAGTGACAAATCCCGTATTATACGGGTCACCCGACCTACATAATATCCCGTGTAATACGGGCCAGCAGATTATGGGCCGATGTTATGTATATTCCCGATGTTGACGGGTGGGCCGGGAGGCATATTATTTCCGATGGAGACGGGTGGGCCCATCTATGCTGATGTTATATATATCATCGACGATAGCGGATGGGCCGGGAGAAATATTATTATGGAGATGGGTGGGCCCATGTGGGTAATATGTAGAGTAGGATTGACATATATTATAGACCTGAGGAGAAATGTATAGCAAATAGTATTATATAGACGTGTGGGCCGACGTATTAGTATTATTTTGTAGACAGATGGGCCGAGGGAGCGGTGAAATATTTATTAGATAGACGGGTGGGCCGACGTGGGGTAATATCAGATAGACGGGTGGGCCGAGGGTGAGGGGAATTATTTATTACATAGACGGGTTGGCCAATGTGGGGTAATATTAGATAGACGGATGGGCTGAGGGTGAGGTGAGTTATTTATTAGATAGACGGGTGGGCCGACGTGGGGTAATATCAGATAGACGGGTGGGCCAAGGGTGAGCGGAATTATTTATTACATAGACGGGTGGGCCGACGTGGGGAATTCTACATAGATGGGTGGGCCGACGTCGGGTAATATTAGATAGACGGGTGGGCCGAGGGTGAGCGGAATTATTTATTACATAGACGGGTGGGCCGACGTGGGGTCATATTAGATAGACGGGTGGGCCGACGTGGGGAATTCTACATAGATGGGTGGGCTGACGTCGGGTAATATTAGATAGACGGGTGGGCCAAGGGTGAGGTGAATTATGTATTAGATAAACGGGTGGGCCCAGATACATATCATATAGACAGATAGGCCTAGGTATTGTACATTTTTACGAGTTTCGAGTCTCGAGTTAAGAAAATTCAAATTTAAGATGATATACATTTTTGTTGTCTTGAAATACCGAGACCCGAGACCCGAGATTCGGCACTCGGTAGTCGGTGTGAAATGAGTACAGAAATACATCAGATAATACACATTGTTCTCAGAAATCACAAGTTTCAAATGTCGATTTGTAAATCACGAGTCACAAGTCTCGAGACTCGAATCACCGAGTACCGAGTACTGAGAACCGAGTACTGACACCCGACACCCGGAATTTGGCACTCGGCATGCGAGACGAAAGATTGGAAACAAAACTCAAAATTCGAAACTCGAAAGTACTGACTACCGAATACCAAGTACCGAGTACCGAATCTCGGGTCTCGGTACTTGGTATTCGGTACTCGACACGATGCTCGAAACTCGTAAAACTGTTTTGAATCACCGAGTACTGACTACCAAGTACTGAGTACCGAATCTCGGGTCTCGGTACTCGACACGATGCTCAAAACTCGTACAACTGTTTCGAATCACCGAGTACTGACTACCGAGTGCCGAGACCCGAGATTCGGTACTCGGTACTCGGTAGTCAGTACTCGGTGATTCGAAACAGTTTTACAAGTTTTGAGCATCGTGTCGAGTACCGAATACCGAGTACCGAGACCTGAGATTCGGTACTCGGTACTCGGTACTCGGTAGTCAGTACTCGGTGATTCAAAACAGTTTTACGAGTTTCGAGCATCGTGTCGAGTACCGAATACCAAGTACCGAGACCTGAGATTCGGTACTCGGTACTCGGTACTCGGTAGTCAGTACTCGGTGATTCGAAACAGTTTTATGAGTTTCGAGCATCGTGTCGAGTACCGAGTCCCGAGTACCGAATCTCGGGTCTTGGCACTCGGTAGTCAGTACTCGGTGATTCGAAACAGTTCTACGAGTTTCGAGCATCATGTCGAGTACCGAATACCGAGTACCGAGACCCGAGATTTGAGTGCTTTCGAGTTTCAAGTTTCAAGTTTCAAATCTGTCGTCTCAAGTCCCGAGTGCCGAATTCCGGGTCTCGGGTCTTGGGACTCGGAACTCAGTGACTCAATCAATGGACTGGCAGAGGTTACATTCATTGAAAACTTGTATATACATCTATCACTATGCAATTATGTAGCCATGTCAACCTCCACAGAAGACTCTTCAACCTTCACCTCCACCTCAACATCCATGTTGCTGGAAGAGTCATATTCTGGGACAAGGTTGCTTGGATCACCTGGGTCCACAATTTCGCCGGATGCATCTGGATCCTCTGGATGAACAACTTGGTTGTAGTCGAACAGGAGACCCTCGATGGCAGAGGCATCCGGGAATGTCGGGGCTGCGGGTGTGGGAGCCATTGTTTCCATACTGAGATCAATCAGAGGAGGGAGTGCGGATTCTGGGGGGTGACATGGTGCGGGGGCCGGATTGATCAAGCAACAAGGATGTTGCAGGGGCAGGAGTGTCGGGAAGTGGGAATGAGGGGTGCCGGTCAATGATTTTGCGCCTAAGGCCTTCATGAAGGCGTTGCAGGGTGTCAATCTTACCATCCTGCTCTGCCACACGAGCCTCCAGAAGAGCGATTCGAGCTGCGCCATCTCGAATCGCAATGGACATGGCATGGAGATCTGGCATGGGCACCCCAAGTGCTGCAGCAGGGACTGCCGACCTGGAAGACGGAAGGGCTACAAGGGAAAATGAAGGTCAGACGGTGATGAAAAACTCGGGTGACTTACGAGCTGGTGCAGGTGCGGGTGCAGGTGCAGGTGCAGGTGCGGGTGCAGGTGCGGGTGCAGGTGCAGGTGCAGGTGCAGGTGCAGGTGAGCAGTGCAGGTGCAGGTGCAGGTGCCTTGACAGCAGTGATAGTCTTGCTGCGACCACACGTCTGGGTCTTGGGAGTGGTCACAGCAGTGACACCAGAAGTTCTGGCCTGGCCACGAGACTGACTGCGAGTTTGGGCCCTGGACTGGGAGGCAGGGGAAGCTTTGGAGGGGGCTGGAGTTTGGGATGCGGGGGGAGCCTTGGAGGGAGTCTTGGAGGAAGCCCTGGATGGTGTTCTGGACCTCGTCTTCCGGGTAGTAGAGGAAGAACAATCGCGAGGAGGCGGGGATCCCATAGTCGCAGGGGTGCACTTGATCTTCTTTGTTGTGCAGTAGACGCACGACATACATGGAGCCCCGGTCCTCTTGTCCGGCCGAGTTGCGCAAGGCCAGTTGTGCTTGTGGCAAGCATAGCATGGGTTGTTCTGTTGGTTGTATTTGTGTATGGACACATGAGATATTTCAAAGTACTCACCGGTCCGGGAATGAGAATGTCAACTGCAGGGATGACTGGGGGTGCCTGCACCGGAGGTTCGGGAGTGGGCTGGGAGGGCTCCACAACTGCTGTGTGACTGCCGGCAATCACCTGGTATAATGTAAGCACACACCCGAGTCCCGGACGCATAAATGACACTTACTGTGGCAGGGCCAAAGGGCTTCTTCTTGGGTACCCGGGGCGAGCGAGGTGAATCAGGCGTCCTTGCGACAATTGTGGAGAGCTGGGGAAGGACGACCTCCGGCACTCCACCCAAAGGTGGCTACACAAAAATGAGAGACAATGAAAAATGAACAAGACGACATACCTGCATAACCGAGTCTTCATCATCTTCCAACTCCACGATGGCCTTGGACTTCACAACGTGAGCAGACCTCTGACGCTTTTGACTCTTCATCGCAGATTTCGGGGGTTGGGAGGAGGGTCCAGAAATCAAGGGGGACTTCCTCTTCTTACTCCCTTCTGCCTCGGGGTCTGGGTCAGCGAAGACGGCCTTACCTTTCCCCTTGTCCCAGGACTTGGTGGTGGGGTTGGTGGAAGGGCCGGCGACATTGCCGGCAGGGATGGCTGGGGAGGGAAGGTTGACAGGAATCGGACCTGTGGATGTGGGGGGCAGCAGTTGGGAGATCGAAGGTCTGGTCGCCTAAGGCGTTCCAGGCGAGGACCTTGGGGTACCAGGTGTGCCTCAGAATGCGAGGATCGTCATACCCGATGGAGTGCCAGTCTGGCCAGACCTTGGGAACCATGTTGCGGATGCGCTGGAGCTCTTTGGAGCACGAAATGATGAGGCCGGGAATAGGACCATCCCCGGACCCATACTCCTTGGCTACATCAGACTACCAAGATGTTAGAGAAGAAAAGCACCCAAACAAAATACATACCACAAGTGTAGCAACCTGTTTTCCCAAAGCCGAGTGGCTGGGACCCGGGGGAATCTGCCGGGCGGCACTGATGATGGCCATGATCTGGGCAGCGGATGCCTTGAGATGGGTCAAAGAGTTGTCAACTGAAGTGGACATGATGAGTGGGTTGAGAGATTTAAAGATCTTGAAATCAGATTGAAATCAGTTATCAGAAAGATGAAGTTTCAAACAAACAAGACATTTGATGGGCGATCACCAAAATCGTTTATTGTTTGTGTTTGTTGGTCGTGGTTCAACTT